AAGCACAAGAACTCCGGGGAAGTAACATGCATTAATGGGACATGAATGTGTGCAGAAAGAGAGGGGGAGGATGAGAGGAGCTCAGTGCATCGTGGGAAATCCCCCAAAAATCTAGGCCTATAGCAGCAAAACTAAGGGATGGTTCAGGACTCACCTGAGCCAGCCCTAACTATAAGCTTTATCAGAGAGGACTGTCTTAAGCCTACTCTTGAATGTGGAGATGGTGTCTGCCAGCCGAACCAAAACTGGAAGCTGGTTCCACAGGAGTTCATAGTTCATAGTTACTCTAGATGGCATTAACTTGGCCTCTAGCACCACTGTCAGGAATCTTGGAGTTATCTTTGATCAGGATTTGTCATTTAACTCCCACATAAAGCAAACCTCTAGGACTGCCTTCTTTCATTTACGTAATATTACAAAAATTAGACACATCCTATCACAGACAGATGCAGAAAAACTAATCCATGCATTTGTTACTTCAAGGCTGGATTACTGCAACTCTTTATTATCAGGTTGCCCCAATAAGTCCATTAAAACGCTCCAATTAATTCAGAACGCTGCAGCACGAGTACTGACAGGAACTAGAAAAAGAGATCACATCTCTCCTGTACTAGCTTCTCTGCATTGGCTCCCTGTAAAATTTAGAATAGAATTTAAAATCCTCCTCCTCACCTATAAAGCTCTTCATGGTCAGGCCCCTTCATATCTTAAAGAGCTCATAGTACCCTATTACCCCTCTAGAACACTACGTTCTCTGAATGCTGGGCTACTTGTGGTTCCTATAGTCTCTAAAAGTAGAGCAGGAGCCAGAGCCTTCAGTTACCAAGCTCCTCTCCTGTGGAACCAGCTTCCAGTTGTGGTTCGGGAGGCAGACACCCTCACCACATTTAAGAGTAGGCTTAAGACGTTTCTCTTTGATAAAGCTTATAGTTAGGGCTGGATCAGGTGAGTCCTGAACCATCCCTTAGTTATGCTGCTATAGGCCTAGACTATCGGGGGATTTACCATGGTGCACTGAGCTCCTCTCTTCCTCTCTCTTTCTGCACTCATTCATGTCCCATTAATGCATGTTACTATTTCACTTCTTCCCCGGAGTTCTTGTTCTTTCTCGTCTCGCAGGTTCTTATCGATCCTGGTGGAGCCTCCTGCCATGGTCCTGCTAGATTGCCATTGCCAATACTGTTGTTGCTGTGCGTCTGTCTGTCTGTCTGTCTGTCTGTGTCTCTCTCTCTCTCTCTCTCTCTCTCTCTCTCTCTCTCTCTCTCTCTCTCTCTCTCTCTCTCTCTCACCCTCTCTCTCTCTCTCTCTCTCTCTCTCTCTCTCTCTCACCCCAACTGGTCGAGACAGACGACCACCCACCTAGAGCCGGAGGATCTGTCCTAGGTTTCTGCCTTTTAACAGGCAGTTTTTCCTTGCCCTTGTCGCCAAGTGCTTGCTCATGGTGGTACTGTTGGGTCTCTGTAATTAATGTTGAAGAGTTCGGTCTAGACCTGCTCTATTTGAAAAGTGTCCTGAGATAACTTCTGTTATGAATTGGCGCTATACAAATAAAATTGAATTGAATTGAATTGAATTGAATTGAATTGAATTGAATTGAGAGGAGCTTGGTAACTGAAGGCTCTGGCTCCTGTTCTTCTTTTAGAGACTAAAGGAACCACAAGTAGCCCTGCATTCAGAGAGCGCAGTGTTCTAGTGGGGTAATCAGCATCAGAAAATTGCAGCTCATCCAGGTTTTTATGTCCTTAAGACATGCTTGTAATTTAGATAACTGATTAATTTAATCAGGCTTCATTGATAGATACAACTGGGTACCATCTGCATAACAGTTATAAGGAGTTCAGTCTAGACCTGCTCTATTTGAAAAGTGTCCTGAGATAACTTCTGTTATGAATTGGCGCTATACAAATAAAATTGAATTGAATTGAATAACAGTGAAAGTTAATTGAGTGATTCCTAATAATGTTGCCTAAGGGAAGCATATATAAAGTGAACAGAATTGGTCCAAGCACAAAACCTTGAGGAACTTCATGACTAACTTTAGTGTTTATGGAGGATTCATTGTTAATGTGTACGAACTGAGAACGATCTGATAAGTATGACTTAAACCAGCTTAGTGCGGTTCTTTTAATGCCAATTTGATGCCCAAGTCTCTGTAAACTGTTTAGTGACTTATTTCTCCAGAATCTTAGAGAGGAAGGGGAGGTTAGAAATCGGTCTATAGTTGGCTAAAACCCCTGGGTCAAGAGTGGGCTTTTTAAGATGGGGTTTAATTACAGCTACTTTAAAGGACTGTGGTACATATCCTGACAATAAAGATTGATATATCCAATATCCAGTAAAGAAGTGCCAACTAAGGGTAAAACTTCTTTAAGCAGCCTAGTTGGGATGGGGTCTAAAAGACAGGTTGATGGCTTCGATATATGTATATGTATATATATAATATATATATAATTATGCAGATCCATATATAGCTATATACTGTATTATAGTATACTATAATATAATACGCTATTATACACTATACAGTATAATAATACTACACTTTGTAGTCTCACTGACAGGTTACATGTCATGAGTAATAACCTATCAACACTGAAAACTGACGCAGACTGGCAGAGACTGGACCTGCTCCTGGTTGAAGGGAAGGCTGCAGATATTTCTGAAGTTGCAATAAACTTTACAATCTTGTGATATATTTATGTAACCACAAACATGTCCACTTTCCCAGTTACACCGCTAAGAATGCCCGAAGGTGACGAAAGCTACTGCATTATGAAGCTTATGAAACAAGGTACATTAGAAATAAAGCCTATTCTAAGACTGTTGCAAATAAGGCGAATAAAGGCTAGAATCTGAGAATGTATGGTACTTTCAAGCAGCATGAACCTCTCAAGCTATAGACATTACAATTCCATAGCACTGCGGCTGTTGTGTACTCATTGAAAGCTCCTGGTTGGAGAACGTGAGCTTGTTGGTGGTGTTTGGATCTTAGTCTGCTGCCATCTGTTTGCCTTGACTGATCCTATTTAAAAAGGTTCACTGAAGGTTGCTCTGGAAAGGGCTGTAGTGTGAAGAGTTAGAATGCTCTTATTTAACACCTGCTGCTGTGTTCCTTACAAGGCTTTCTGCATTCCCGCAATTAAACGATTCTTTGACTAATCTCTAAAAAGGTGCTCAACAAACACACAGAGACAAAGATAATTGTATTTTTTTCTGTCAATTAGCTGTCACACTTTCTTCAACCAATAGACCCTTTTCACAGCAGACATTTTGACTTATCAAAGCACGAAACGCATAAGGGGAATTAAAAACATTAATGATGGCTGCATTACATTTAGGTGAGCCCGTTCCAGGGTTCTGGTATTTGACACTTAATGGAATGGAGTCATGTAAATGTAATTAGTTATACCGAGGCTTTTCCTGCTTTGACAAGTCTGCAGTGAAAATAATCTATTATTGGCTAAACTAAAAGACAGGTACATACGTAAGTCCATCTTGGATGGGTGCTGGATCAAAAAAATAAAAAATTGCACACCAAATAGCTCCTGTAGAAAAAAGAAAGTTTTTATATATATATATATAAAAAACTTTTTTTTTCTTTCTTTTTTCTACAGGAGCTATTTGTATATGTATGTATGTATGTATGTATATATATATATATATATATATATATGACTTATATAGCTCAGTCTGTAGGGACTTGACTTGGGAACCGGAGGTAGCTGGAGAGGTGCCCTTGAGCAAGGCAACCTAACCCCAAGAAACTGCTCACGGGGCGCTGCTACAAGTACATATTTTATTTATTTATATATATATATAAAATTTCATTATTATTTAATTGACTAGAAGTTATCCCACTTAGAGAACGTATAACAATGGGTTTCACACTAAATCTTATCAAATACAGCCTGATCTGTATCAATATGGGGGTCCTTGACACCATAAAAGGTTGAGAACCACCACCCTAAAGGGCTCAGGCTGAAAAGGCTTTCATATATACACTATCTGTTTAGAGGCGCCTCTGTCTGATTGATCATACTATTATCAGGGATAACTAGGGTAAGGTAAAAGCCCAAATATAAGACAAATGTACAAACATCAGGTACATCAAATACAAATTGATCAGACGGTTCTGACATCGCCAAAAACACTGGAAATCATCCTCTGGGGACTGAGAATATCCACAGCATAGTTCATGGCATTTCAGTCATTAGTTTTCACGATACCTTGTTGTAAACTACAGTGTTTGTAATTTGTAATTGTCCTCATAGTAGTGCAAAAGGAAAGGTTGGGAGGTCACAAAAATGATTTGGAATCAACTTCTGTGGACGTATGTTTGTATAATAAATTTCATGGCAGTCTGGCAGTTGTCTTGCAGTAGTGGCTGAGTTATCTTAGTGTGAACCAAGATGTTGGCTCATAGGTGTCGGAATTTTTCGAACATTATTAGCAGTATAAGAAAATATTTTTGTTTTTGATATATATATTATTTATTTTCCCTCAGATTTATGCATATGGGGAGTAATGGACCTAATTCTAAAAATGGAGCTGTACTAATATAGCGTCTTTCTAGTCTTCTGACCACTCAAATCGCTTTTACACTACGTGCCACATTCACCCTTTCACACACATTCACTCAGTGATGGCAAAGCCCATCAAACATAAACTAACTCATTCATACACATTCACACCGATGCACAGCATCTGGACCAATTTGGGGTTCAGTATCTTGCTCAAGGATACTTCAACACGTGGTGGGAGGAGCCGGGGATCGAACCACAACCTTCCGATTAGTGGACGACCCGCTCTGCCTCTGAGCCCCAGCCACCCTTGCCGGGAGTTTTCTTTATACTATGACAGTTTTCTCAAATCTTGCAATATATGGCACCTTGCTTACAGTATCGCCAGTATATTGAATCGTAACCCCTGTACCGTGGTATTGTCGCCAGACTCAGAGCCCCTAAAACCTTAGTAACACTGTGTTTGTCCTCTTTACCCAGGTCAGTGACGGACCCCAGAGATGGAAAGCGAGTTGCCCTCAAAAAGATGCCCAATGTCTTCCAAAACCTTGTTTCTTGCAAGAGGGTATTTCGGGAGCTGAAGATGCTATGTTTCTTCAAACATGAAAATGTAAGTACACAGCAATGCTGAAATTTGTCATCTGCAGACACAAGTGCGCTCTTAGACCCCCTGTCCACCTGGTATTAGGATGTATGGATCCTCAGCCAGTTGTGAATGACAGCTGCCCTTCAAAAAGCTACAGAAAAGTCCTTCCTCAGCGAAGGAAAAAATAAGTAGACTGACAAGTGTAACAGGTTTTCCACTGACACTGATTACATTCTTATAGAGTTAGTAAGGTTAGCCCAGTTAGCAATGTTCCAGCCCGGCCTACCTGATTGGCATATTGAGATGAGATCCAGATATGGTCAGAATCAGCACATTGAGAACACTTATTTACACAAAGGTTTGATGATCAAATGTAATTACCCTCAGGTGCTCTCTGCTCTGGACATACTACAACCTCCACACATCGACTACTTCGAAGAAATGTATCCTTTACTATTGATTAATTCAAACATGGATCCAGGGATTGCTTTATTGACATGTTTTAAACCTGTGACCAGCAATGGAATGGTTCAGTAGTGCCTTTATCAAAGATCTCTTTCAGCTGGACCTTTATCGGTTACAGCTTTAGCCTTTAGCTTTCCTACTTGTTGGATTACTAAAAACAGTAACAACACACAAAATGTCCATTTTAAAAGCAGTTTCCAGTTGAGTGTGGAAATTAATTATTGATGTTGGAAATAGAAGTTGGAAAAACAAATGCACTCCAAGTTGTATACAAGCCACTATTAGATGTCTTGTTTAATGCAGTCTCTAATTAAACTGGAGTATGTTAGCAGCTGAAATGCATTAACAATACAAAGAACACTATATAAAATGTAACATGTAACTGTATCAGAGAAGTAGGATGCATGAGACGCCCCAGTGACCATAGTTCGCTCCCTGCCTCCAATCAGACACAGTTAACCACTTTACAAAGAGGGCTTTGGTCTCACTTTCCCTCTTTCTGTGTTCATTTGAATATTTATTGATGCAGGACTATAAAAAGGAAGCAGTCTGCCTCTTGAAAGTCATTGGTGTAAAATCCGTATCTCCTCTGACTGGTGAGATCCTCTTTTAGGGATTGAGCTTTTGGGACATGTCCAACCTGACACACACTCATATGTTTACTTGTGTCACTTTTGAGGACATTACATAGACATTTCCTGGAACTGGATTTACTCTAACCAAAACCACAACTGGGGACATTGCTTTTGTCCCCAAATAGACAAGCCATCCCCAATTAACTGGTCTTTTAAATGTGTCCCCAAAGGTAGTCTAAATCAGACCCAGGAATTTAATTTGTGGTGAGTAAAGTGTAAAGAAAAAAACCTTTAATAAATTAATCTGTAATATCGTCCCAAAAGTGTAAGTGACCTTACTGTCAGTTTCTTTTTGGGACCACTTTCCACTGATGAAATAGTCCTTAAGAGATGTTGCTTAGTACATTTCAAAATGTCATTTTTAAAGTGCCACAAACTAAATCCACCCATGCTTAAAGTACAAGTGTGTAGGATTTGGTGGCGTCTAGTGGTGTCGCCTCATCCTCCTGCAAAAGGCCCAATGTAGATCCAGTGGTTGGTTTGTCCATTCCAGACTACTGTAGAAACATGGCTGTTCAATATGGCGGACTCTGTAGAAGAGGGCCTGCTCCCTCTGTGGATTAAAACCGCTCATTCTAAGGTAATGAAAACACCAATTCTTTTACTCAGGTGATTATACACTAATGAAAACATACCTATGATTATATTCCATTTCTGACAATGAATTAGGGCTGCAGCTATCGAATATTTTGGTAATCGGGTATTCTATAGAATATTCCATCGATTCATCGAGTAATCGGATAAAACATACTTTTGCTTAATTAAAGCCCAATTATAAATATACAATAGAAAGCAAGACAGATCACTGTTTTCAGTTTTCAGTCCCGGCGTCTGCCATTCTGTACAGCAAAACTGTCCACTCACGTTACAGAGCCCGCTTCCGTCTTCTTCCGCATTGTAGGGGACACACAGCCTGTGACGTAAGCACGTTGTGTCACACTAAAAAGAATCTGTGCAAAACGTGAGCTTTACGAGGCTTCGAGGCAGACAAAATTCCTCGATCATTCTTTGTAATCGAGTTACTCGAGGTACTTGAGGAATCGTTGCAGCCCTACAATGAATCCTCCTAAATGTTACACACTGGACCACTTTAAGCTACAAAGTTTTCTGGTTGTTTGAAAATTAATTCTCCACCATTACCATTGAGGAATCACATCAAACTGCCCCAATTTATGGGTTCAGTGTGCTTCAAATGATCTAGTTTTTGCAAAGAGTCATTTGACCACAATATGTTAAGTGTTACAATAATTATCAGACTGGGCTCCAAGCGCCCCCTGAGCTTTAACATTGGTGACTGTGGGAGGTTTCAGGCAGTGGTGGATGACTCTTTAGTATGAGCCACTCTTGGTCCACCTGATGTGAATTCTCTGTAAGTAATGTTAACACTTTTCTCCTAAATGATCTAAACCTAAAAATAATGCTGTTGAATGAAGTTAAATACCGGTCACGTTCACAAATCTACAACATAACCAAATGCAATGCAATTCAATTCAGTTGTATTTGTATAGTGCCAATTCCCAACAAAAGTTATCTCAGGACACTTTTCAGTGTAGCAGCTCTGGACTATTTACAGAGACCCAACAGTTCCCAATGTGTTTTTATATTTCATTAATTAATAAAAAATTCCATTAAAACAACATGTGACTGGCTAACTTTCCTTTGATATGGGCCTTATCTATCAGCCTTCTGTCGCCCTGTTCTCTAAGTATAGGCTTTGGCCATTTAAAAATCCATCTCAGTCGACCACTGATTACAGCCCCACACATATCAGAGTTTTCAGGCCGATACTGATGTCAGTGTTTTGTAATTTAAGTTTTTTTTTTTTTGTTTTTTTATGAACATAAACTAGTGAGGTGAAAGGAAAAGGTGCACGCAGATGTTGTAAAAACAACAGGAAGTTAGTTATTGTGGTTTGGCTGCTGATTTGACTGCTCACCAACACAGTCAGAAGTTAGAACTGCAGCCATGGCCCATGACTTACATTTACTGAGGACATGATTACCTCTTATGTTCACCCTGAATAAATGTCCATAAGTCCACTTACAAATCATAAAGACATGCGTACTGCTAATAGCTCATTCAGAATACTTTATGATTTGTCAAAATGTAATCAAATATAGGCAAGAAATCATTATCAATTATGCTTCCTGTTTATATTTCCCATAGCAAAATGGAAAAATACTTAGAGTGCAATGCTCTATCAAATAGAAGTAAGACAAGGAATAATAATGAGTGACAATAAACTGTATTTTTTAAATTTTTTTCCCATCAACACTTTAATCTAGAGATCAAGGTCTTGATCCACCCTGTCTGGGTCCATTTCACAAAACTGAGTAGTCCACTGTACATTAGCCTTTATAGTTTATGCACAGGCTATGTACAGTAAGTCACAAAGGAGATATATTTCTCACCGCCTCATGTTTGCCAGGTGGTTTTCCCTTTACAGCTGAGGCATACTGCTGACTCAGGAGTCTCTGGCCATTAGGGCCCTTTTAAATATTATGTGCCATTTAGTTTTATTGGGCTTGCTTCATTACTCATACAAAGAATGGAGCACCAGAGCTCCCACTGTGGAACGATTACCTGTTGAGATACCTGTTCTCTGATTCGCTAATTCGTGTATCTGCTGGCTGAAAGTTTTAGCGTATCAACCGACAGTCAGAGGTGAATGCTTGAATTGGCCTCACACTCGAGCACCAAAGAAATCAGCTTGAGACATGACTAAAGACGTGTCTTTATTGAATTCAGCCTTGCTTTTGCTTGATGATGTCTTTGACTGAAGCAAAGCTCAGATTTTTACATTCAAGGTTGAGCTTTATTGTCATTATAGAATACAGGATTCCACATTGAAATGCAGTTATAGCCCTCTCCACACTCACACACACACACACACACACACACACACACACACACACACACACACACACACACACAAACATTAGAATTGAATAAAACAATAAAATCAAAGTCTGTAAAAGTAGCACTAACAGAAGGAATAAAAATGAAATATTTATAAGAAAGATATACAGTTATGTGTGTGTAGGTGCAGCAGGATTATTATTATCAATTTTGTGATGTTAGTGGGATTAGCTGTTTTTGCTCTTGGATGTGTTTTGGTTTGTCCCCTTAATTTCCCATTGGTCAGCTATGTGGTGACTGAACTGATGCAAAGTGATCTCCATAAGATCATCGTATCGCCACAACCTCTGAGCTCAGACCACGCCAAAGTCTTTCTTTATCAGATTCTACGAGGTAGGTTCTTTTCCTGTTATTATATTTATTCAGTCTGTTACATAAGATGTTCTCTAATAAACAGCACTAGGGATGAAATGTGCAAATTTGTGTTCGGTAGAGGTGGAGTATTCCAGATACATGGAGAAAAATTAAAAAATTAATAGTTGTGAGCAGCGTGTGCACCTGCTATATGCTATAGTTTCCACTATTTAACTTTTAAATTAAGAGCTGATCTGGCTACTGTCATCTACGCTACTGTCCTGTACGACAAAGGGATTTGGTCATTTGAGCCACTGGATGGCTTTTAATGTGAAACATCTGTGAAGGAAGTGTTGTGTATCGTTGATGGTAGCTTAACAGCAATCAAACAAATGCACCTGTCTGTAAATAATTAGTAAATGGAATGAGAGACTTTCCTGTTGATTGAAAACTTTAATTTCAGAATGTAGGGTGTAAGTAACTGATTATTTATCATTTGTGTTAAGCAAATAATCATGCATCATGACCCCATGCTGAAAATAACTAATAAAAAATATATATTCCCCTGACAACCTATCCAACCCGTTTGCTTTGTTTCCTATCCCATTCAATTCAAAGAACACAATTTAACATTTTCCTGTTCTAAAATCCTTCTGTTCCAGACATGGCCCTTTTTGCAGCCTATAAGTTGGACAGTGTTATGATAGACATGAGGCTTACAGCAGTGGCAGAATTACATCACTGTAATGGTGATAGTGGTTTAAAAGACACATTATCTGACACACATTGATTATTACAAATAATGAGCAGATACCAATTTGAACTCCTGTGCAAGAGCCTGTAATAGTCAGTGCACTCACTCAACCTGTTTGAGTGCAGCTAATCACTGTGTTATGGTTTCAGACAGTGAGCAGGATTGTAACATCTCATGTAATATTCTACTATATTATGTTGTTTCTTCCTTCTCAACTATTCCCACCACCAGGACTCAAATACCTTCATTCTGCTGGCATTCTACACCGAGACATCAAGCCCGGCAACCTCCTGGTCAACAGCAACTGTGTGCTGAAGGTGCGTGGAACAGGCTATGTGCCTACCCTTTCTGTTGGCAGAGAGCATCCCACCTGAGGACAACATCACAGTAACAGAAGCATCATTATAGGCTGTAGTTTTTGTACTGTATTACATTTTATTGTAAGGTTCTTTGTTATTTAGTAGACCATGGCCCAAATGAACAGCACTTCAAACTAGGGTCAATGTGTAGGATTCAGTGCCATCTAGTGGTGAAGCAGATTACAACCATCTAAATACAGCTCAGCTACAGTACAGTACAGTACACTGGAGATAGAAAAATTTAGGAAAACTTTTTCAGAAATAACGTAATCTTCATTGCCCAACATTTGAAAGAATTTTTGTTGTGGCTATACCATTCTACTAGAACAGTGTTTTACAAAATAACCAAGACACTTCAACAAACCTTTTTTTTTGCAGAAAACACAATGATCAAAATTAGAGAACAGCAATGACTGTAACACAGAGAAATATTAAAGCAACATTTTCTGAAAGTTACAACAGTCAACAATTAGTAGGAAGTGTACAGGCCGTTGCTTTGAATGACCTCTGCGGCCACAGGACATCACTAGTCTCTCACACTGCTCTGGTGTGATTTTGGTCCACTCTTCTTCCAGTCTCTTCCACAGTTCGGTGACTGTAGTGGGTTTCTTGGCCATAACTTTGTCGGCAAGACTTTTCCATCCAGGATTTCTATTAGGTTTAGATCAGGACTCTAGGCTGGCCATCTCATTATTTCAGTGTTTTCAGTATCAAGGTAGTGCTTTACCCGTTTTGCTGTGTGACGGGGGCATTGTCCTGCATGAAAATTACTGGCTGATGAACCACACGTTGTTGAAGAAGGTTCTGATAGACATTTGTATTCACTCTGCCATGTAGCTGTATAAGAGGCCCAACTCCTGCTGCAGAAAACATTCCCCAAACCATGACACTTCCTCATCCACCTTTCATTGACTTCTTTACACACTTTGGGTTCAGTCTTTCCCCAGTTTGACGATCGGACCCTAATAAATTTAACTTGCTTTCATCACTAAAGTAAACTTTGGACCTGTTCTCCTCTGTCCACACAACATGCTCCTCGGCAAAGGTTAGTCTTTTAAACATCGAGACACTGTATGACAAGACAGCTGCAGCGTTGAACCGATTGCCCACTGAGATTCTCTGCATTATCCTGTCCTCTCTTGCATTTGTCTTTTGTGGATGACCGGCCTTCTTGGGGGACTTGAATGCTTTTGTGACATTGTAAAGATGCAATATTCTAGAAATCACAGATTTGGAACGACCAACTTCTCTTGCTATGACTGATAGGGTCATCCCTTTGGCCTTCATCTGGACAACCTGCTGCCAGAGGGTTTCAGTCACTTTAGATCGGCTCACCATCTTGCAAAGTCAGTGAAAATTGGAAAGTTAGGCTGCAAGTTAAATAGGGTTTGTCAGATCATTAAGGACATTAGCACCAGGTGCCAGATTAACACCAATAACTGGGGGGTTCTGAAAGTGTTCTCTAATTTTGATCAGTGTTCCTTTTTCAAATATCTCATTTAAGTTTTTTATACTGTGCTTCAGAACATATGTAACTCATGAAATATGCTTAAAATACTGCTCTTTTACTCCTGTTTCGATTTTAAATAGGGTTAGGGTTAGTGACGCAGTGACCTTGACATTTAGGAAATTGTAGATTGTTCTCTAATTTTGTGGCTGAAAGGAACATGAAAGACCCAATCTTTAGCCAGTGTTTGGTTTGTCCATTCTGGGCTACTGTAGAAACATGGTGGTTCAAGATGGTGGCCTCTGTAGAAAAGGTTCCCGCTCCCTCTGTTGATAAAACAGCTCCTTCATTTTGATTTCAAAATGCACCTTTCATGTAGGCTGCAGAACAAAACTGTTGGTGATAGGAGGTGGTTAAAGCTCCTTTATATATTAAAATATTATTTATATATTATAAATAATATTTTAGCATCTTTTAAACTGTGCTGATGGGTTACATTCATGTGGGTAGAAAACTGACACAATCCAGTCTGTGTGGCTTTTGGTGCCTTCAATGTCAGTGTGTTTTTTGTGTTTTTTGTGTTTTAGATGCTGCCATTAGGAGTCACCAAAGTGAGAAATGTTCAAATCCTAGGGGTTGTAATTATATACATTAGAAACCCTGTAAACTATGGAGTTTAATGAATGCATCTTTTACATGGTGTTAACATGTTCTTAACTATACAGGCCTTACAAAGATGGCTATTGTAGGGTGTTTTTTACAGGAAGTGTGTGTGTGCTGTTCTTCAGGACAGATCTTGGGATTTGGAGCAAATTCACAAAAAGAAGCATCCTTACTGGTTACTAATATTAGTTTTCACAATAAAGCTGTGAAGGGAAAAAAGAAAACTATGACTAACATCTGACTGTCTTCCAGATCTGTGATTTTGGCCTGGCCCGAGTGGAGGAGTCTGACGAGTCACGGCACATGACTCAGGAAGTGGTGACGCAGTACTACCGAGCTCCTGAGATCCTCATGGGGAGCCGCCACTACTCCAACTCCATCGATATCTGGTCTGTGGGCTGCATCTTCGCTGAGCTGCTGGGGCGACGCATCCTCTTCCAAGCCCAAAGTCCCATTCAGCAGGTAACTCCTACTCTTATCTTATCTAAGAGGAAATGAGACAAGAGACAAGTAGAGAATGGACATGCTTACAATTATTTATCTTCGAGATAATTGTGATCTCGAGTAACAGCATTAAAAAAAGAATTGCAAGCACTGCTGATACACTTTAAATTGGGTTAAAGAAGTAATAATGATGATTCATAGACCCAGAAGCATTCTGGGTAGGATGTAGCTATTTTGGATACACGTATGTTTGTTTTACTTTGTATTGTCATTTTTCTAATGACATACTGTATCATTAGTCGGCTCTTTGTTACTACTCCCTTCCACAGATAAAATTAATGCCTTACTTGTTGAAGACAAATATTTTGAGTTGTGACATGCAAAAAACAGAAACTATCTTAGTCTGCTGTCTGTGATGTGTGTGGGTGTGTCTTTTTTTGCCTGGTTGGCTTGTAGCTGGATCTAATCACTGACCTGTTGGGGACTCCTTCTATGGAGGCGATGAGGACGGCATGCGAAGGCGCTCGCGCACACATTCTCAGAGGACCTCACAAACAGGTACGCAATCTATTTTTGTATAGAGCTTTCCCGCCTGTCTCCCTGAAAAGATTCAGTGATACTGGGTTTTTCTTTTTGCTAATAGCATTTGAGCTGCCATTTAAAGAAAGGCAAAACGATGGGGTGTGTCTAGATTAGTGGTCTAATGCAATATGCATATATAAATCAAATTTACAGTTTTCTTATTCAGTTTGATATTAAAATAACGATAATAAAAATATTATTATTAATATTGGCTTGGTGCCTGAAATCAATTTGTTTACACTGATATACAGCAGCCAATAGATGGTACTACTACAGAACAGACTGACTTCACAAGCCATGACTAGTTTTGGCACTATTGAAGGCCACATTGTGGAGGGTGGCCTCATAGATCTTTGTAACAGCAGCAGCTGGATAATTCCCTGTGCCAATATTTCCACACCTGCCCAGATGTGGCCGTCCATCTTTGAAAATGTAGCCTGTAGCAGTAGTACAACCATAGTTCAGTCTCCTCCTGCAGTTCCGGTTCTGCCCCCACACCAGGCACTTCACTGTAAAGTCCATTCTCAGTGGATGTGCACTGGTGCCTTCACGTTTCTACATCACACTGTACAAGTTGTATACTGGACCAGGACTGACTTCCTAACTATTTGTGATGTCACAAATCATGCTGATAGGCCACACGCTTATAAATCTGATTTTGAGTGAGTTTAGAGAAACTTTCCACTTTCAGCAGATGAATGTGAAAACATCCTTCTAGGAACAAGAAGAAATGCTGATTTTTGATTGGAGGGGACTTAGATGATAATTCAATTCAATTCAATTCAATTTTATTTGTATAGCGCCAATTCATAACAGAAGTTATCTCAGGACACTTTTCAAATAGAGCAGGTCTAGACCGAACTCTTTATAACATTATTTACAGAGACCCAACAGTACCACCATGAGCAAGCACTTGGCGACAAGGGCAAGGAAAAACTGCCTGTTAAAAGGCAGAAACCCAGGACAGACCCTCCGGCTCTAGGTGGGTGGTCGTCTGTCTCAACCAGTTGGGGGGGAGGGAGGGAGGGAGGGAGAGAGGGAGAGGGAGGGAGGGAGGGAGGGAGGGGAGAGAGGGAGAGAGAGATGCACAGCAACAACAGTAGCAACAACTAACTAATAGTAGTGACTGATGATGATGAACATGACAACAGCAACGATGGGGGACGATGAGTAGTGACAACAACAACAGTAACCGTAGCAATAATACTTATTATTATTATTATTATTATTATTATTATTATTATTATAATAATAATAATAATAATAATAATAATAATAATAATAATAATAACAGTAATATCAGTGATATTAGCAATGGCAGTCAAGCAGGACCATGGCAGGAGGCTCCACCAGGATCCATGAGAACCTGTGAGACGAGAAAGCACAAGAACTCCGGGGAAGAAGTGAAGTTAGTAACATGCATTAAAGGGACATGAATGAGTGCAGAAAGAGAGAGGAAGAGAGGAGCTCAGTGCACCATGGGAAATCCCCCGATAGTCTAGGCCTATAGCAGCATAACTAAGGGATGGTTCAGGACTCACCTGATCCAGCCCTAACTATAAGCTTTATCAAAGAGGAATGTCTTAAGCCTACTCTTGAATGTGGTGAGGGTGTCTGCCTTCCGAACCACAACTGGAAGCTGGTTCCACAGGAGAGGAGCTTGGTAACTGAAGGCTCTGGCTCCTGTTCTACTTTTAGAGACTATAGGAACCACAAGTAGCCCAGCATTCAGAGAACGTAGTGTTCTAGTGGGGTAATAGGGTACTATGAGCTCTTTAAGATATGAAGGGGCCTGACCATGAAGAGCTTTATAGGTGAGGAGGAGGATTTTAAATTCTATTCTAAATTTTACAGGGAGCCAGTGCAGAGAAGCTAGTACAGGAGAGATGTGATCTCTTTTTCTAGTTCCTGTCAGTACTCGTGCTGCAGCGTTTTGAATTAATTGGAGCGTTTTAATGGACTTATTGGGGCAACCTGATAATAAAGAATTGCAGTAATCCAGCCTTGAAGTAACAAATGCATGGATTAGTTTTTCTGTATCTGTCTGTGATAGGATGTGTCTTTAGAAACCATGCATCCATGTTTCAATCAACCTGCCGTCTCCTTCCCCTCATTCTGCTGGCACAAAGCTATGTTTTTTGCACATTTTAAGGATATTGAAAGATTTTATTTTATATAGACCTATAGGGGAAGATGGTTGACGTTATGATGTTGTTTTATCTGCAGCCATCCCTTCCTGTTCTGTACACACTGTCTAGCCAAGCAACCCATGAAGCTGTCCACCTCCTCTGCAGGATGCTGGTGTTTGATCCGGTGAGTCATTCCGTTACACATAGTTTTGCATTATGCTTTGTTAATGAGTAGAACCCATTCAATGAGTCACTGAAGTAGATTTAATCAAAAGTATTGTACAACACAGTGTACACAGTGTGCTTGTCATGACAACGATCTGTTTGAAGAAAGCAACTAAGTAAAACAGAGGAGACTGGCTTATTTTAGTTCAAACTAAAATGCACTATTTGAGCCTTGTTAGCAAAGGAACAGCCCCATTAACATTACAGGGGGAGGTGGGGAATGAAATCTCCACTGTGCTCCTCTAATTTAACTAATCCTTACAGTCGGCATATGAATCCTTGTGAAGTTGTAGGACAGGGTTTCTAATAGACATGGACACTGAGCAGGACAAAGACAAAAAAGAAAGCCTCCCCAAGGGGGCGCTGGAGAGTTGGAGGGGAAATGTTTTCTGTGTGTGTAGCATAAAGGGACTGCAAACAATCATTTTGTTGTACACAATACAACCTTGTGTTGTATAATGATGAATACATATCCCTGATCCTTGAAAATACAGCACTAGATGTATTAACATGTCAAAAGCTTATACTGGGCTTCTTTTTGCTACCAATGCATCTGCCCCCTAGTCTCTGTTAGAAAGAATGCAGGTATAAGGTAGCCCCAGGAGCTCTGTGCACTAATTATTTAACAGTCTTTGGAAAAACTCAGAGATCCAATGTCCTCTCCATCTTAGCTCTACTTTACACGTCGTCTTTTACTGTCGTCTGTTAAAGAAAACAAAAACACATTAAGTACAGACATCATCAAATGTATGCAAGGAAGTGGTGTCTTTTAAACCTATCCAAATAAGCTGGAAACTTTAATGAGGCAGAATCTGTTGGTTTGTAGGTACAGCCAGGAAGTTAAAAAGGAAAAGATAAGATTTTGCCTGTACTTTATTTCTCTTTATATGTATTCTGAGCATATGTTGTTTTGGTCTCCAGTCTAAGAGGATTTCAGCAAAGGATGCCCTGGCTCACCCTTACCTGGACGAGGGCCGTCTGCGCTACCATACGTGCATGTGCAAATGCTGCTACACCACGTCCTCTGGCCGTGTTTACACCAGTGACTTTGAGCCGGTCACTAATCCCAAATTCGACGATGGCTTTGAGAAGAACCTGAGCTCTGTGAGACAGGTCAAAGGTGAGATTAACTGCTCAGCCGGGCTTCTGCTGGCCTTTATGTTTAACACTGACCAAGAGATTTCAAAAGAGCAGTTGTTGAACCTTATTCTTCTTTCAATAATAACACAAATTTGGGTTCTTACTATTGGCAGTCTGTTTGATTCACGTTCACTGAACAACACAATTGTTCTGAGTCAGTCTGCCAGCCTGTAGAATATTCACCAAATCTAATATCCCTTTTGTGACTGCTCTTTAGAATGAAAATAGAACACTAGTGCCAACAGATACTAGCACCTACAGAACGTGTCTTTGGCTGTCTGGATTTGGACATACACTAGTGACAGATCTTAATTCATAACACCATGTTTTTGTCAACCTGGTGCAATCTTGCAGGAACCTTACTGAAACCTCCAACGTATGGCTACTGTACATGTACAGTTATTTATATATATATATATAATATATATATATATATATATATATATAAGTTCACTTGTCACTGGATGTTGCACTAGAGCACCAGCATCTCAGACCAAAACCATGGGACAGAAATAAAGTAAAACTCACCAAAACCGACTTTGTTTCTAGTCCTTGGGGACAAATGCACTATCCAAGTCTGACCACTAACAGTTCTTTTTGCCACTGCCAGGCTCAGATTGTTATTCTGTTAAGTGCCTGACAACATTATGGAAAGGATCCCTACAGAGATATCCCTTTTGTTTAACAGGAAACAGCCGTAATATTGCTATCACTCCTTGAGACTCCATACACAAAAATTAAAATTTGACCTCGCATATCATCATCGTAACATTGTTACTTCATTCAGAGTGGACAGAGACAAAATACATGTCCAACGATCACCAACTCTGGTTTGGTTGCTTCAAAAACATTGTATTTGTCACACTTACGCAGCAGGCTGAAGTCGTAGTCTGTGTGTTGTTTGTGTGCCTGTTGGCAGTGTGCATATGCATGTAGAGGGAAAAAAATAAAGATTTATAAACACAAACAAATAGTGGACGGATGTTGTGGTTGGCATTCATCAAATTTGAATTTGAAGTTTTCTTTGTTTTGTTCAGAGATTTAAGTGAATATTTGGTTGCATTTACATCAGTATTAACATCAATCAACACCACCTCCACCTGCTGCTGTCTATCCCCCTCTCTCTCTGTCTCTGGCTTACAAAAAATAAGAAATCAAAGTGTTTCCTAATCTTTTGCTGGTCTGTGTTTTTCCCTCCCAGAGATCATCCATCAGTTCATTTTGGAACAGCAAAAGGGGAGTCGAGTGCCACTCTGCATTAACCCTCAATCAGCTGCTTTCAAAAGCTTTATCAGGTAGGAGGCTCTGTAATCTACAGCTAAATATAGAGATTCTGTATGTGTTGATAACAAACATGATCATCAGACAGCTTTGTAGTTGGAGGAAGGTGTAGTTTCTTTTAACCTTTTTGATTGAGCTAGGTTTTCCTAAAGAAGCCACATACCCTTTGCACAAACATTACTTTGCTAAGTGTTTTCTGAATCTGGGTAAGAACAAAAAAGTGTTTCCCAAAATTGTAGAGTTTCTTTTTTCTACAGTATGTTATCACTAAAGCTAGTTAAAGCATATATTTGGAGAATCAGCTTTATTGGCCATGGATGTGTACACATACAAGGAATCAACAAAGGCCATCAGCTTGCGGAAGCCTCCTCCTTAATGGGAGTCACCATTTTTAATAAGAGCCGGCTAATCTTCTCTTTCCAGCTAGCATCAAACAGGCACTTGCTAACACTGCTAACGTTAGCAAACAAGGTGATGAGAGGTTAATTGTCAAATTAGTTGTTCTACGATACTCAAGTTTAATGTTACAGACCCCGATCAGCCATAACATTATGAGCACTAACAGGTGAAGTGAATAACAGGTTCCCTGGTTATCATGGCTCCTGTCAGTGGGTGGGTTATATTAGGCAGCAAGTGAACATTTTGTCCTCAAAGTTGATGTGTTAGAAGCAGTAAAAATGGGCAGCTTGAGGATTTGAACGTCTTTGACAAGGGCCATATTGTGATGGCTAGACGACTGGGTCAGAGCATCTCCAAAACTGTAGCTCTTGTGGGGTGTTCCCTGTCTGCAGAGGTCAGTACCTATCAAAAGTGCTCCAAGGAAGGAAAAGCAGTGAACCGGAGACAGGGGTGGCCAAGGCTCATTAATGCATGTGGGGAGTGAAGGCTGGCCACAGCAGTTGGAGCTACTGCTCAAACTGCTTAAAAAGGAAATGCTGGTTCTGATAGAAAGGGGTCAGAACACACAGTTTGTTTCTATAAAAAACAGCAATAACCAAGAACATACAATGTCTGTTTACAGGTCAATAGTTTGTGTACATTGTAAACAAATACAAATGGGGCAAAGGAATAAATATTGGTGTGTAATGTAATAGATGACTCTATATACATGAAGTTGGTGGTTATATACAGTATTCATGTATACATACAGTGTGCAGCATCTTTTTAACATTTGTGGATCACTACATAACAAGACAGCCTAAGAGCTAATATTAACTTGTTGGCCTCCTTCTGAACAGTTCCACAGTGGCTCAGCCCTCTGAAATGCCTCCATCTCCGCTGGTGTGGGAATAGCTGCTGTTGCGCATCATCATCTTTCCCGACTGACAAGCTGCTAAACTGGGAACAAGAACGTGTCTCAACGTCTTCTATCATCTGCGTAGCATTTCACTGGAGAGCAGGACTCGCAGGTCTGCTGTGTGTGTGCTAAAATATGAAACAAATTAAGAGAAATCCACTGATAATTGCTTTATTGTTGGGGGTTTATTAGAGGGGTTTGGTAGGCAAATGAAATGAGACAAATAGACCAAATCAGAATGTTTGAAACAAATCCATCTAGTCCCCTTCTTGGTAGATAAGATTAAACAGTTATTACATAATAATGAAGTGCATTTTGTTTATATATTAATACAAATTTAAAAAAAATATGCCTATTTTAAAATGTCTAATGACATTGGTTAATTTCCCATACAATCAAACCTCTCAGAATTATTACACACACCTTCACCTCTGCACTGGTAAATTAAATCCAACTTTGCTTCTTATTCAGACAATCGATTGTAATTGTGTTGGTAGGCTCAATGTTTAACCAACTTAAATCTCCCCATATGTTATAGGAACATGCTCTTAAGCATATTCATATTTTAACTTTTATTAAAAGTTAAAAAAAGGTTATTACAGGCATGTTCCTCTGTGTCCCCTGCACATTTGGCCATCGTATTTACTTATCTGACAATCTTTGCCAAAGATCAGGCGCCTCATGTATAAATGATGCATAAACATTAAGATTGTGTGCAACAAATTTGCAAGGTTTGGGATTTATAAAATGCACATTTTCTATATTATGGTAAGTCATGTGTCTGGATGGACAGACACGTCAGGCCACATTTTAATGGTTCATTGTGTGTTTTAAACAACTAATTTGTACAGTGTATCATCTAATGACATTCAAAGATAAAGGTGTTTCTACCTGTTCCACCCCTTGCTAAGTTGCAAGAATTGGGTTATAGCCACACTCTAATTTCCTTCTTAAGTCCCACCCCTTTTTGGGCAGCTCCAATTATAGTTGAGAATGCCTCAGTCAGCACCTCAGTCAATTTTTCCCCAACTATACTGTACTAGATATGCTATGTGCTAGGCTTGTCTTTGTTGAAAAGACATTTTGAAGATGGTTGAAAGATATGTGACATGTAGTCACATCTAGTTTAGCAAAACATTAGCTAACAAGCTAACCAATAATTAACTTTCAGATTTAACTTGCTAGCTAGCGATTGATGTAGCTAGCTAGCTAGTTAGTTAGCTAGCTAGTGTTTTACTCTGTTGAAAAATGCTGCTAACCTTACTCTGCCTATGATTGGCTTACCATGACGTTCTTACCGTAACCCGTGTCACTCCTAATGCCTAAAACCAACCAAACCTGTGAAGGCGTGTAGGATGAGAGAAAGTTGATAGAGGTTCTGACTGAACAACTGTTATTGTAGAAAGCAAAAAGGGGCGGGCTTAATATGAGTGTGTAAAGTGTAAACAGAAGCAACAGTGATTGAATTGCAAACGTATATTCATTATATGTGTAATGAGCAGAATTCATTTTAAATTATATTGATATTGGTGTCAGCACGTCGACATGCACTTTAGATTTTACCTGTCATTTTTTTCACCTTCTCATTGGTTTGTCATCTATTCATGGTGTTATCCTTCCATATAGAGTGCACTGCAAGCTTCAGTCATTTATATTGTACTAGTTAGTATAAGTACTTATAAAAGTAAAACAAAGCCCACAACCTGGCACTTTTGTATATTTTCAGGGCCAAATACAATGGAGATTAGTTAATAGAATGAATAGATTTAAAATAAATTGCAACCATTTCAACTATTTATGGTTGTTGTCAAAGAAGATGAGATTATACACAAATCCACAAGCATTTGGCGACAGGAATGTAATTATTGTTTAGACATATTAAGTTTTTCCATGTACCTATATTGTACATGTATTAGAAAGAGTGAACATATGCATGTATCTGCTATTTTGCGCATGATTTTAATAATGAATGTATGCAAACGTTTATACATGAGGCTCCACAATATTTGTTATTAACCTGTCCCAATATGTAAACTTTACTCTGTTGTGGAAAGGGTCAGATATCCCCTAAAAAAAAAAAGGCCAATAACAGCTTTATTTCTGTTTGGAATAATGGAACTGAGTGCTCAGTGTTCATTAGATTAGCATACTGCTGTGCGGAATTTAAATCTGCTTGTGTTTTAGATAAATAGTGTTTTGTTGAGATCATTCGGTCTTGAAGGTGAAGGTTTAAATACTCACTTGCATGTTACATGAAGAACAATTTAACCTTTCTGTGAATAGGAAATAAGTTCAAAAAAGGGATCAGACTAAAAGCTATCCTTGTACTACGCCCTTCTTCCAAAAAAGCTCTGAAGGCCTACAGTCATTTTCTGTACAGAACAGGAAGTCTTACAATGCTACTCAGACCCCTCCTTTGACCAGTCATAGCTCTTCTGTTGCTATTGTATGGCTAAACAGTCCTGTCAAGAGTTTTTTTTTTTTTATCAAGGAATGTGTGCTGTCTACTTGTGTGCCTCCTAATTTCACTATTGGACAGCAAGGTAACTACTGACACACTCAGCCAAACTGAGCAAATTTTACCCCAAAGAGTACGTAGAGAAAGTTTCATGAAACAAAATCTTTCTCAAAACAGTACTAGAGTGAAATATGTCAGCTTCCCAGTTCCCACATGACCTTTGCTTGATTTGCTCTCTGTACATACCACTTAAATGGAGTTAACCTCTACAGCCTGTTGGTCTTTATAGTGTAAATTCAGTTTTTCACAATCTGGGTCTTATTTTTGTGCAGCATGTTTTAATCCCAGTTCGTCAGATACCGATGCAGTTTTGTCATGTCGTATAGACCCACATGGTAAACTTTAGGGTCTTTGTGAGACTCCTGTTTAACATTTGGTTAATGTCGGGCTTAGGCAACAAAACTACTTGGTTAGGTTTAGAAAAAGACCATAATTAAAATAAAAATTACATTGGCATCACTGCGGCAATAATGTTATGTAACGTAAAACTTTAAATGAGTCAGCATTGACTTTGGCTTCACACAGGACACAGACCCTAGTCTCCTGAGTGAAAGTCCTGTGTTTGTTTGACCCATCCATCCACCACAACCATCTCTTTATGCTGACTTTAGCCCTATTTGTACAGGACTAGTATTCCATGTGATTTAGAAATTACTCCTCATGTCTGTGTTTCATGTGCCACATTCGCATGGGATAAGCAAATTTGTATTTTACTTAAATTTATTTAGACATTTAAACATTATCACACAAATCAGTGTGTTAATAACCACATACGTAAATGCACACATCTCAATTTAAAGACGCACTTATGCTTTCTGGTGCTGTGTGATGCTGCAGGTTTTTAATCAAGTCAAAGGAGCACAGCCAGCTGTGGATAGCAGATGTGAGAGTTGGTTTGTGACGTTGGAGAGCTAACCCTAACCATGCAAATTGTGGCATTTGCGCTCACTGCAGTTTTCATTATGGACCAATCTATGTGCTGAAAAGATGAGAAAAGCTTGAAACACTGGAGACAGCTGCAAAAACTTTCTTCCATATCTTCTTCCAACATATTTCTTCCATTGCCACTCCACGTTAGGTTCCATTCTGTTAGCTGCAAATACCAGTTTGATAGCCTGTAAAAATAAAAAAAACTACACTCCAAATCACAGAGATGCTGATTGGCACGGGAATAATATTAGCACAGGACCTCTGTGTTTGGTGAAATATGTTCGTTAATTTGCAGTGGAATTACTTAACAAATTACGGACATGGCAGATTGGCACAGGATTAAGACCACAGACGACCTCGGCAATTATCTCAAATCATATGAGGTCCCATGATCATACTAGTCCCGTCTGAATAGGGCTTTTATCACTCTTAATACTACGTCACCTGTAACAGATGGGTTATACTGGAGTAATGAAAGCCTGGTGCATCTCGAACGGATCCTAGAGGGTACCTTGTGTGTCTGTATGAGACACCAAAGGGCCATGACAAAACATTGGTATTTGACACCGTGGGAATGAGAACAGGCTTTGTGCCGTTGGACCATCCTTCCTGTTGTTTATGAGAACATTTTGCACAACAGTTTGTGGCTTGTCATGTTGGCCATTGGTTTTAAGATGAATTTATTTACCACATAACTGCTATTTTTCTGTTTCGAGTTGGGCAGAGGACCTTTGTTGGATGTTATCGCTCTCTTTCTCCCTGTGTTTCCTGTCTGGTTCTCAACTGTGACACAGCTCTCAAGCACACGCGTGATCAGGCATCGTTACAGTCAACACCGAGGGTTTCACTTTTAATGTAAGTGGTTAGTTCACTGGATTGAACTGGGGGATCTACAGACCATATAAGATCCCTTTTACACCTTTTTACACACAAAAAGACAGACATTAGCCAGTAAGTATGTTGAATATTACAAGAAAGACAACAAGTACATTATGAGTTCTGATTGCCATGTAGCATAGATTTTTTGGGTGTTTTTGATGAAACACCAAATCTTCTTGAATTGGACATCTTGACACAATGACCAAACTACTACAGTCCAATGAGTGCACATTGCTCTACTGATACTCCATTTCCATTTCATTTTGAACTAATACATTTGGTGGAGAGTAGCTGGGGCATGTAAGGTCTGTTTGAATCCACACAATCTAAATGTACGTAAGTCAATGTACAGTATTCGACTAGTATGTTTAGACAAACTGAGGCAGATTATACCAGGTCTTATCTGAAATATGTTTGTTTATAGTTCTTTCAAAATCATTGTCTTGGTATTCTTTTTGTTTGTCCTATTGGTTGTAAAGCTGAGGTTAGACCCAGATTGTAAAGAACTCCTTAGAAGCAGTGCCTGAAATGGACCAAAATTGTTGCCCGTACCCTAATGCAGCACAACCTTAACCCCAAACACAACACAACCCTAACCCTAATTCTTTTGACGTTTTTAAATTCTTTTAAACCAGGATCCAGTGCTGTCAAAGGCAAACAAGTTAAGTGCTCAGTACTGGTGAGTATTGGCCCATTTCATGCACTGCTTAGAACCTTAGAGAAAGAATGTGGCTGTGGTAGCTTACTGCAGGCAAGATCCAGTCTTCCCTCGGAGCCTGCCTTTGTAAAAACAGGAGGCCTGTTCTGCTTGTTCTGGACTATAAGGATGAATGGGAAACTGTCATCGTGAACAAAATATCAAAAGAAAGAAGCAGTTAAACCAGCAATATCATTCTTTAAGGGTGTTACTTCTTTGTTCTGTCTACTTGAATATATCGCCACATACATATGAACAACTTCTTCGTCACGGATTGCATTCAAGCAGATCACCATGGGACAGAAACAAGTAGCATATGAATGGTTTCTAAATGATGACAGTCTCATATATGGCTTTTTCTCAATGATAATCCAGTGCTAGTGCAAGTGTGTCCCTGCTCCTGCTCATACATTGTACACTGTCTTCAGAAAAAAAAAAGAGCTTTGAAGTAAATTATTTAATATATTTTTAGAATTGTTTTCTATTCATATTCTGTGTCCTATGGCATGCATTCTTCTCACACCTCAAAGTATGATTATGTATATATGTTAAATAGAGAAGCAAGTCTACACACCAACCTAAAAAAAAACACCACTGTATAGAAATTGTATTAGCCTGCACATTTCTAAGGCTGTGAAGTTAATATTATTTTTAAAACTTGCATACAAATGTATATATTTTCTTGATTTTTACCCTACAACTAGGATCTGTAGAGGACAACAAATCCTATAACGATTCACAGTCATGTTAACTGTATCTTGTGTGTACAGCAGAGTTGTAGATATATCTAAAGGAGAAGCCTTTTTTGTTATTGTTGTTAATTATTTCATCACAGCAGCACTGTGTGAATATGTATATAAAGGATTCACCGTGTTGGTCTCTACCTCTTGAGCTCAATAACTTGGCTTTGTTTACCCCCACGCGGTTCTGATTTCACGTGGGGATGAATTGAAAACACTTGAATGTCTATTCAAGCTTTTATACTGATATGATAAAATATACTGCCTCCCCTCCCCCCTCCTTCAGACCTGTGCAAAGCATTCACCTGGAATTTTGAATCATCAAATGTTTGTATTACAAAGTCCTACCAATAGCCAAGGGTTCCCTGACTGTTAGTTAATTTTTCACTCTTTGATAGGATAGGACCATATGGAGAGGGAGAGTCACTACTTCCACCACAGTGGCTGTGTTCAAAGCTCAGTATCAATGACTCCATTTGATAAAAAAGTTGATTTTTAAAGTTTCACTTAACATGCTGTCTTCTTCTTTTTAGGCTGCTGAGAATTAGACCAGTGTTTTGGTGTTGTTTCTGCAGGCTCTACTGTATATTGTTGGGGTTTAATAGCATTTAATCAAATCAGAATCCAGTATTGAATCCGAATGCTCTCCAGTCCATCACTGAATTGAGTTTAGATTTGGCTTTTTTAATTTAGCAGATAAATAAAGTTATAAATAACTAAAAGGCAAATATTTAATTAGAATATTGATATGTGAAATGGTAAAGGTGCAGCAAGGATTTATTAGTGGTTTCTGATATAACGAGAACCAGATCCGATATGGAAACGGCTATCAGAAGATAACAGCCTTTAGAAGTAGATACATTTGTTACCACATGTGTACACAGTTCTGATTGGCTGCATGCTTCTTCTTGTTTCTCTTGACAAAGACAGTGCCAACACAAAGTTTCAGAAGATTAAATAATAGAATTGCTCCAATACAAGTATCAGAATTTCCTCCGATACTGTCTTAAATGCGATATCTGGTATTGGCGAGTATGCATCCTTACACAGATCCGATACCATGTAATTTATTAGCCCCAAAACTACTAGTAGCCCCTGCTACTTCCCAGCAGTCTCCAGTTCGACCTTTTTTTCCCCCAGGATAGCGGAGTCATAATCTGCCCTATTCTGACTCTAACTAAGGGTTAAACCTGAACCAGACTATACAAAGGTTCAGCAATCAGAATGGAAAAAATGGCATTGGAACATCTGTTAGCTAATAGCATACTGTATAGTAAATAAAGAAAACATCTTCAACACATTGCAGCGTTAGAAAAACAAAACAAAAAAAACCCCACAAGCAACTAAGATACATATTTGCCAGTTTGAAAACACATACAGCACAAAGAAACACTGCGGATACAGAAATATAAATAGTCTTACAAGTGTAAACCAACAGAAATTTCCAAGTGACACTAAAATCCAACAAATGCATAAACTATTCAGTGATGTCTGTACAGGAGTTTAAATGTTTATTTAACATTTTCATTGGCTGATTCCGATAGCATAAAGCATATTCACATTATTGTGGAAAAACAGCTCTTGCTTTCTGTATTATTTTGCAAATGGTGTGTTCCTGATGTACCAGCTTTGCACAGTTCAAAACAGTTTGACCTTAGTTGCTCCTTTTTTAATGCAACTAACATCTGCTGCTGTGATTAAAGATGACAGAGATATTGATAAGGACTGTTTCCCAGTGTAACGATACAATAACAAATCCTGATTACATTGAGAGCTTTGCTCCGTGCAAGGTTCAATCTGAAGGCTTGGTTCAGATTGAACCTTGCACGGAGCAAAGCAGAACGTTTTTCTGCTAGAATTGGTCTATTTACTGCTGTTACTGCTCATCAGTTTTAGTGTCCCCTGGAAACGTCTGTGACGTAACGTCGTGTATGAGTTTTGGTATTTCTCCATTTGCTTGTGTTTCTTTATGCGACCTATGGGTTGTCAAATTGCTAAATGTGTTTCATTTTCTTGTTTTTTTTATGTTTTTATTTGACATATGTTGTCAAAATGTTAATGGTGTTTTCCTATATACTCTGAAGTTTTCTGAAGTTTCAGTGCAGCTACTGTAATACTGGTAAAAAGTAGGAAATAACCTGAAAGTAACTATAGTTAATATAGTTTCACTCTACCCAGTCTTTGCTATAGGGCTCATAATTTGATTCCAGTCACATGGCCATAATTATTATAATCCACATAATCCACTCCAACCCATTATGCCACTGGGTGTTCTTTATCGCATTATCACTTACCAATTCAACAAGGAGTATCCTCAAAAAAACGAGACAATAGAAAAGAGACATGCTGTGGGTGTCGATTGGAAACTGAATGGGAATTTTCTCAGGAATGAACAGCTGGCAGTGGTACAAGCCGTCACTCTCCCTCCCCAACGCCTGTATGAACTCTTTGTGTAGGTATAGTAGTTTCCTATATGTTTTATTTTGTGTTAGAATGAAGTACTTGAATAACATGATGCTCATGTTGGAAAATTGTAAAGTAATAACTGACAAAGTTTATGTGAGGGACTAACCACAACTCAGCAACTACTGAACTATTTGGATTCATATAATTTGTTGTCCTAAACAATGTTTGTATATTTGATGTTTTAATCAGATGCATTGTAATTTGAATAAAACTTTCAGTATATACAGTACATGATGTATCTATCAAACTGTGCGTTCAAGCACCGTAAATCAAAGTTAAGGACTAGGTAGGTCTTACACAAAAGGTTTCATCTGGAAAATAATGGTAAAAACATTAAATGTGACATTTAAAGAACCTTGTCCATACTTCTCTCTCAGGACACATAAAAGCAAGGCACACACAGCACAAGACCACACAGCATGAAAAGTTTGATCCTTAGTTTTGCATCTGCTCCTGCCACATATTTTTTTATTTTCTTAGGACTGGTGGGATCAATACTGATAGACTCACCCTTACTCTACATTCACACTGATAAATGATGGAAGATAGACCATGGATCATGCCCACCCTATAATAAATACACTGCTGCCAGACATTAAACAAATTATGCATATGATGAAAAAAATGTCACACAACATTTATTATTAAAGAGTACAGACACAGTGTATACACAAAGACCTTAACAAACGACTTTTAAACAATTTTTCTATATGTTAGGCTTCGATATATGGAGCTAAATATTAAAAATATTTCACAGTTTATGTCATTTCCACACAAAATAATGCCCATTGTTTATAATTGACAAAAAATACAAATCAGAAAGTACAGGTAGAGATCACATTTGAAGAACGGTCCAAAACATGCTGGTCCCAGCACAATGATGATTTTGGTGACTGATTTAAAAACTAAATAAAATAAAGAAAGCAAAGAATAACACAACTTCCTCTCCAACTGTCTCACCTCAGTGTGCTGTAAAATGATGGGTTCTTTAAACCTGAGCTCCTCTTCTTCCTCTGTCTGCTTGTGGCCTTTCTCATTCCCGTTCTTTTCCATCACAAGAAAGCATCACTTGTTCCCTCCAACAGCTGAAGAAAACAAAACCAGCTGAAAAAGCTAATTCAGTCATAATAATGAGGGGAACCGTTATTGTTTCACATACATCAGTTGTCACTTCTACATTTCTCCTCTCACATGCAGATATTCTCACTTGTGTATAAACTCTCCAGTCTCATTCACTCTCATAGTACATAGTAGAGCCAAACCATTGTATTGCTTGGTAATATATATATATATATATATATATATATATATATATATAAATAATAAATAATAATTTATGTATATGTTATCCAATATCCAAAGTGTTTTTTTTTCAGTATACAGTATAATGCAGAAAAAATGCGAAGTTTATCCAGCAGAGTGCGCTGTGGTTTTCAATACTGTAGGAAATGGCACAGAACAGGAAAGAAGAAGCAGCTCTCAGCAATGTCAACTAGAACTGGTTGACAGTGTACAGTATGTTTAATTATTTAACATATTGATAAAGTAATTTGTTTAAGAAAGCAGCCCTCTGAGTAGCTTTGCATAGTCATATCCGTCAGTGCACGATCCACATAGAAAAGGTCTGTTTTAAAAAATGTACTACATCGCCATATCGCCAATTTTAACCCTCTAAAATCGGTATTGTGTCAAAATTCCTATATCAGTCGTGCTTTAATACATGAATACACATATGTGTATTTCTTTTTTGATATTAATTGTTGTATATCAAATTGAATATATTGATACATTTTATACATGTATAAAATAGACAAAATATGTAGTATGTGAGAAGCCCAGAGTGAATTCTGCCTTGCACAGCTCCTCACAGATTGTGGTGGTTTTTGCACAGATGTGACACAGTGTGGCCATTAATAGTCCTCCAGTCATCTATCTATCTATCTATCTTCTATCTATAAAGCAAGAAATCTGTGTGTGTGTGTGTGTGTGTGTGTGTGTGTGTGTGTGTGTGTGTGTGTGTGTGTGTGTGGCTCAAATATCTCTGCAGATCAGGATCAGACTGACCTGAGAGTTTCAACATGGCTGCTGTGTGGTTTAAGGGTGTGCAACGCCGGCTTTGTTTGGACTACAAATATACCGTTAATAAATTATTTCATAAATTATTTCCGAATTCCGCTAGTATTGCCAACGATAGCCACCGTAGCCACGTGCGCACCAGAGCCAATCACTGCAGAGCCTGTGTTGAAGGTGTTTCCCAGTTGTCTCCCCCCGTCAATCTAAACCCGCGGACACTTTATAATCATATGGATGCTGTTATAATGTGTAGTGATTGAGATCCTGACCCACCAAACATCCTGGAAAGTGACGAAGTTATGTTTTTCACTCTAAATGACACAATTATTACACAATAATCACCAGCAGTAAACTGACTCCCTCACTCGCAACACGGAGAATGTTTTAACACTCCGTGAGTTTTTCGCCGGTGACAGACGCTGTTTTTCGGGCAGAAATGTAACGGAAGAGTCGGTAGGACTGGCGGGAGGACAGACGCTTCTCCACGTACAGCTGTGGTATTTTTTTTCCTCATGTAAGTTTCCAAAGACAGTTACAGTTACTACGTTACTGTTGTTTGGTGCTGTAACGTTGCTTTGTGGGACATTTCTCTTTATTAAGTTGAGTGAGAGACCTGTGCAGTTATCAGACTGTCTGACCGACACGCCCTCGCTCCGCGCCGTTGGCTTATCCGTTCACACTGTAGATGGTTCAAAAATAATGCGTCCCTGACACTACGGAGCGACGTTTCCCATATGTCCTAAATGTCCCTGACGTCCCACCTTCAAACACAACCTCATTTGGCCATCCATGAAAAAGCTACTTAACCTCACACTTTTCTATAGCAATACATTATTCCTACAGGCACTGCACTAGTTCCAAATAAAGCAGGAGCATCACTGCCACACGTTTCTACATCACACTTTATAAACCTGATGAAAAGAATTTCTCTGCATATTTCTGTCTCTTTGCATGCAGAGTTTTAGTCATGAATCTACAGTTGTATCTGGCCCCTGGTTGGGACAGGACATAGTATTCCTACTGAGGTAATGAAAAGTAGGATCATACCTGTGTGGATGAAGTTTCTGACTGATCCAGGACACAGACTGAGTGGAGACCTGAGCCTGTCTCCTCATCCTGAACATGCATTGTGGGATGTAGACGTCCATCTCCATTTGGCAGAAGAATTTCACACTGGTCCTTCGTGCAGTGGCAGACAGCCTGCTGCCTGCCATCCTGGAGTGTTAGCTTGTCATGGAACAACAGTGGAGAAATGCCTAACTGCAGGAAAACATCAGAAAGCAGTAAAAGGCGAGTTCTGATCCTGTGCTGTAGTAGTGAACACATTGATATGACTGCACTTACCGCTCTGTAAAAGTCTCTTCCTGGTATAGATATAGAGGTGAGGATGACTTTATCACCACTCTGTCTAATCTTTTTGACAATGTCTTCATGCTCCATAGACTCAACAGGTTCTCCATTGACAGCAAGCAGCAGGTCTCCATCATCCATCCCTGCCCCCTCAGCCGGACTCCCCACGTCTACCTCCCTCAGCACATGAACTGGGTGTGGAACAGGTGTGGAAGGGAGAGAAAAGAAGTTCAGAGAGGCTTTAAAGCTCCTCATTATTACTGAGAGAAAGGTTCTAAAATGGACTTGAGTAGAGTTTCATGTAAGTGGGGTTGGACCAACTCAAGTCCTACAGTTGCTAAGGCTATGGTTGGCTTTTTTAGTTTTCAGACCATAATAAGCTAGTATGTGCTGGGTGCTTTGACGTGAATTAAAGGTCTAGTATGTGGGATTTAGTGGCATCTAGCGGTGAAGTTGCAGATTGCAACTAACTGAATACTGTTTACCTTCCAAGTGCAACTACATTGGTTGCGAAACTGGTGAAAAAGTAAAAGGCCATAGAGCGAGTGTTTGGTATGTCAGTTCATACATAAGTATGTTTTCATTAGTGTATAATCATCTAAAAATATGAATCGTTGCGTTTTCATTACCTTAAAATGAGCTGGTTTTATCTACAGAGGGAGCGGTTCCTCTTCTACAGAGTCCGCCATGTTGAACGACCATGTTTCTACAGAAGCCCAGAATGGACAAACCATTGTCTTTCGCAAGTTTGCAACCACCATAGTTTCTCCTTAACACTTGGAAGGTAAGCAGTATTCAATTGGTTCTGTAACCAATCTGCAACTTCACTGCAAGATGCCATGAAATCCTACACACTGGACCTTTAAGGTATCGTCTTTTTATTGCTAACTCTGGGAGTGGTAATTAAGCTTATGCATGCTGTGAAATCTTGGAGGGACTGAATATTGCAGATTGCGACACACACAGGATCAACAAACAATCAGAAAGACATAGTTGATGTCAAGAGAGAGAGAGCTGTGAAGATTTCAAATGATGCTTTTGTTATCTCAGTTCTCCACTATATTTGTGTAATCTGTACTCATTATATCAGGATTACACTGACGTTATGAAATGGTGAGCTGGCTCTTGAGGTGAGTGAGTGTGTGTGTGTCTGTGTATGGATGTGATTGTTTCCACATGTCCATCAGTGTATCTCTCACCTATCCGTTGAGTGCCTGCCAGCTTCTCTTGTCTCAGCAGGAAGCCGTATCCATCGCGTCCTTTAACCAGACACATTGTCTTGGCATTGTGTGGGAGGCGGCTGCACTCTGCCAGCACAGGCAGGATGGGCATCTTTCTCTTGAGGTAGCAGCACTCACTCTCACTGTCAACGACGAGCAGCGTCACTTCCCCACTCTTCTTCACCTGACAACCAAACACACTGCAGCACTCACACACATGTTCAGTCTAACAAACTGCAGCAGTTAGATCTGAGCTGACTGAGGAAACTGGATTCTTACAGTTCTGCTGAGGACAGTGTGTGTGAGTGTTGACACCATGACTCCATTCATCCAGATCAGTCTGTCTCCATTGCGGACACCAGCTCTCTCTGCTGGACCATCAGTCTCTGTGCTCACAACATACTGGCCCTTCTGACCTGGTGACACATCAATACTATTTATCAGAATCAGCCCAGTCGTTGGACTGGATTCAAAAACACACCTACCAACTAATTAAGGTCACTGAATGACACATTCAATCTACTTGTTTAATCTTCAATCTGTAAACAACAGAAATGTAAAAATAATAGTTTGTGGTTTTAGGGGGCGATGCAGAACTACTTCTTGGACAGTAAGTGATAGGGTGCAGCTTCACAGTGACTATGGTTATGTGCATAAATATTCTGGTTTTTGCTCTTATTCTGAAAGAACAATATTCCTACTAAGCTGTTTACATAGCTAATGGAAAGGAATATTCCTTGGGGTGCACAGAAGCTCATCTGGTACTGCCAGCCACAACCCATTTAGCCAGAGTCCTTACTGCAGCAGCCTGGGAAGTCCAAGTGGTGGCAATTTGCTGCATTTTGTCTCTCTCCCTCCATTCCTGTCAATCTTCATCTGTCCTTTCTAATAAAAGACATATAAATCCCTATGTATATATTTACATATATACATACATATAAACACATACGTATTTATGTATATACTGTATGTATATTTGTATATGTATATATGTTCATCACTTAGACCACTTTTGCTAGGTACTGACCACTGCAGACCGGGAACACCCCACAAGAGGCCCAATAAGAAATATCCAAAAAGAATATGCTGTTTACATGACCCTTATCAAATGAGGAATATTGTCATATTCAGAATAATAGTGAAACATTAGTTTATATAGTCATTCCATCACAATGAGGCTGTCTGCTTTGATCAAGAGATGTAAACCAAAGTGCTCACCAAATGCATCTGGTAACCTGTGCTATAGCTGGAGACAGAAGAGTTAGGCAAACCTGTTCATCAAGAAATTTAAAAAAACCTTCTAAGTGAAGACAGTATTAACTTTAATACAAATCGAGCCTTGTGGCCTTTTTATGCAGGTGTTTATAGATCAAGGGTGAACAAAAAGAAAAGAGTAGAAGGAAGTGAATCATTAATGCTCTGTGGATCAATGCTGGTTGGCATTCTTGTGAAACGCCACAGGATCTCTGTGTATTGTCTTCAGACAAGCTGTAAATGAATAGTTAACACTCTGTCAAACAATGACCTTACCTTCCACTGAGATGATGGCCATCCCTAGACCATGCTCCTGGTGTCTACTGATGTGACACAGTCTGGGTCTAGAGCAGCAGCCCCCTTTGGAGGCCTTGGCAAGAGTCTGCATATCCACACCAACAGACACTGCCTGGAGAGGAGAGACATCAGCATGATTCAACTCAGGAACAATGTATTGAATGCAAGGAATTATTCTTCTTCTGCTAAAAGGATTGCATTTTTGGTGTCTGCAACGCAGGTGTCTTTGCTGTGGCTGACAGATTATATGGGTCCTGCACATTGGTATGGCAAAATGGCTTGACAGCAACAGTTAAGCGCAGCACCCGAGGCATGTTACACCAATCAGTATGAAAATCGAACCAGATGTACAAATAAGCCTCTTGGACCCATATGCATCAGGAATTCAGCCATTTTGAATTTAGTGATCCTTCACTTTAACAAACTGCTCCTTGGGAATCGATTGTATCGACTTCAATTTGGGTCAATGCAATCTAAAGACCATCATGATTCAAAGATGTGTTATATGTGCATCTCATGGCATGTCAGAGACTGCAAGGGCCCATTCATCGCTGCTTGCAGCTTTAGTATTACTGTATTGTGTTTGACTTGCCAATCAGTTTAATAAAGTGTACAATATGACACACTGGCACAAGTGCAACCCACGTGCAGCCATAATCCACTTTTAATGAAGAGAACTCTTGAGATTGGCTGTGAGAGGAGATTGGGGCTGCAACTAATGATTATTTTCAATGAATCTGTTGATCATTTTTTCAATTAATCAAATCAGATGTCTTGTTTTGTGACTTTTCACCTGTGCCTGTGTTGCTATGAGAATGTCTGCTATGAAAGCAGCCTATTGTCTTTACCACATGGAAGGAAGGGTGTGATGGGAAAGACTGTAATGTCACATTAATCCTAATACAGTACCTGTTCATACTCCTCTCTCCTCAACACCAGGAGGAACAAGTGTAAACCGCATGACTGGATCTTCCTCACCACCTGTCAGGTGCAGGAGAGACAAATAGTTCAGTGAATAAACTCAACATTTTCATCACTAATGCCCATGAGGCCCTGTTCCTTAATATTTAGGTCCATCCCAGATTACATGAAACTGGGCTTTTGTGAAAAATTCATGTTTAGGAGGTCAAAAGGATTAAGATAAGCAAATGACACATTCAGACCAAAACCTTCAGACCAGTCCAGTCCCAAGTATAAAAAGTGGTGTGTACCTTCAATAAGAACAGTTAAACAGGCCACCCTATAGACTGCCACACAGACATGGATTCATGTGCTTAAGCCTTAAGGTTGTGCACGTGTGTGCTGCACTGAGCAGGACGAATGCATGTAAAGGTGCTGGCCCCGAAGGCATTGCTGGAAGCGTGCACAGTGTCGGTGCAAGGCAGCTGCCTGAGGTCTTGATTGACATCTCCAACCTCTCACTGGCCAAAGCAGCTGTCCCCAAATGCTTCAAAGCCACCTCAATTGTGCCGGTGCAAAAATACTCCACTGCAGTGAGGCTAAACAACTTCCACCTGATGCATAACAATAAATACACCAACAGAAAAGGCTTAAATATGCAGGAATTGACCAAGGATTGTGCAAGAGTTCTCAGCGTAAAGTATGAGGAATATGTGCAATGTACAGAGATAATCCAAAAGATATCAGTGGATCAGCAGCATACCGGGGGGGTGATGATGGAGCTGATGTTCAGCTCCCACTTGAGGTACTGGGTGATGATGCCTAGGAAGCAGAAGGACTCCACAGTGTCAACTAGGGAGTCACATATGATGATGGAAGTGGGTGGGCTCGTCATGAATTCTGCTACCATCTCCACTGTCTTTGGAGCAGTGAGTTATTCTGTCCACACCAGGTCATCAGATGGTCATCATGCTGTGCTTTGAGAGGCTAGTCCTGGCTTATCTCAAAATCTGCCTACCACCCAGTCTGGACCCCCTCCAATTCACCTACCACCAGAGCAGGTGTACGGAGGGCACCATCTCCACGAAATTCAACACAACCATCCCCTCTAAACTGACCATCAAACCTTGGGATCAAAACCTCCCTTCGCAACTGGATACTGGTCTAGTATAAAGTTTGCAGACTACACAACAATGGTTGGCCTCATTAACAAAAATAATCAGTTGTCTTATAGGGAGGAGGTCCAGCACCTGACCGCATGGTGAACCACCACAAACAACCTGGCCCTAAACATCAAGAGGACCAAAGAGGTCATTGTGGATTTTAGAAAGACCAAAGGCAGCACACACACTCCCATCCTTATCCAGAGAGAGGTGGAGCATGTGGCCAACTTTAAGTGTCTGGGTGTTCATAACTCTGTGGACCTCTCTTGGACCCTGGTCAAAGGGCACACCAGTGTCTCTTTCTCGGACTGGTTATCTACTAAATTCTTGACACTAACCGTGGAGAAGTCCATATTATCCACATAATCCTCGTTGACTTCCAGCACTCGGTCTCCGTCTCTGAGGCTGCTGTGCTCTGCAGGACTCCACGGCTCCACACCTCTAATCTCAAAGCCCCAGCTGCTCGGTTCCATCCGCAGGTAGAACCCAAAGCTCTGCCCCTCCAGACGCTTCAGATGGCACAGTCTGGGCAGCATGCTCTGTTCAGGCTCTGCACACATGGTTAAATAAATATCATCAACACTGCGGGGACAAATGATTTTAAGAGAGGATTTTTGAAATGTTGTGTATGTAAAGACATAGCTATAAAGCTCACCAGGATCATCACTAATGACCAGAGCTGGATTATCAATCCCTTCCTTTGGATTGAAGGTAAAGCTGATGTGAGGAGAAATTAAAATTAAATTTGATTTGTACGGAGCCAAATCATAACAGAAGTTATCTTGGGATACTTTTCAAATAGAGCAGGTCTAGACAATATTGCTTACAAAATTGTTTAGAGTCCCAACAGTTCCCACCATGAGTGACAGCGACAGCCAATTTTTCCAAACTGACCAATATCTGCTGATAGAGTTGGAGGGTAATAAATTATAATAACTTTATTTATATTGCACCTTTCAAAAAAAATTTTATTAGGCCAGCATATCTGAGCTCATAGTTCAGATTTTATCTGCTTCAGTGTTATCAAAGTTATGTCATCAGTGCATGGCAATGAACACAACACACTGTCAAGCGTTTGCAGAAGGACTACATCCTTGGTACAGAATAGTTCTAATGGAAACTTTTGACAGTGGGTGAATTATCAGAGACATTGTTCCTGGAAAGGTGTTGAACTTAGTTTATGTTTCAGTGCTTCAAGCAACACAAACTACATTCCGGTCACCTCCAAAAAGATATGACAGAACATGGACAAATCAAACCAAAATTATCTGCAGAGGGAAGTGTGAAAATCTGTAACTTTTTATATATTTTGTTTCATTTGTTTGAACAGAACCTGCCAGTGCTTCTACTTTGATATGTTTTAGAAACTAGCATTAAAGCTGCAGTATTTCAATTTTATAAAGATAACTTTTTGTCATATTTACTTTCACTATATCCTGACAGTAGAACATGAGACAGATAATCTGTGAAAAAATCAGGTTCCTCTGGCTCCTCCTAGTGCTCCTAATGGCATTTGCAAGAATCCACCAGGCCTGAACGAAAACAACCAATCAGAGAAAATCCTGAAATACAGATGATTTGGGACCTGGGACTAAGACTCAACAACCAACAGTCTTTATTTGCTCTGACTGAGAAAGGACCAAAAACAACCAAACATATTTATAAAAGTTACCTACTGCAGCTTTAATGGAACACAGGTAGGGACCTTTAAAAAACAGTGTCATTTTTATTGTGAAGTAAAAATGTATATATTTATATATGTAAATATATGTGCATGTCTATAGCTGGACATACCGTGGAAATTCCATTGCATCCTGGCAGCCTGTGAGAGTGACAGTAACAACAATATTATTTATATTTTCATTAAAGATGAATTATTAATTATTAATTATTGGTAAATGGTAAATGGACCTGTACTTGTATAGTGCCTTTTTAGTCTCCCGACCACTCAAAGTGCTTTTACACTACATTGACTCAGTGATGGCAAAGCCCATCTAATAGAGTCTAACTCATTCATACACATTCACACACCGATGCACAGTATCAGGAGCAATTCTGGGTTCCGTATCTTCCTCAAGGATACTAACATTTGCACAAGAGCCTCAAACATCAATACACAAGAGTAAGAGAAGTTTTTACAGAACAAATTGTTTTATAAAAGTACAGATATGGACACATTTTACTCTAATGATACTTGTACTCGTAAAAAGTACCGGATGCTCGTTTCAGCCGAGGGCACACTGTTTACTCTCTGTGTATCAGCGGCAGGAGGACAGACGTGTGTGCAGTAGGTTACACACAACTTTCTGCTGACAGTGGAACATCATCTCTCCAGAGGTCTCTATTACTCCAACTGTCAAAGCCTCAGTGTAGCACACAGTAAGTATTGAGATAAGGACCGTGGATGGGCAATATTTATCCAGGAAGAAAACAACTGGAGTCATTGTGTGGTGTTAAATCCAAAGCAGTCAGGTGACAAAGCATCTAAATATCACAACAGACCAAACAGTGCCCAAAACCATAAAAAAAACAGGCTTTACCTTCAAATACAGCAAACATGTAATTGTGACTTATCACCACAGCCATGAAGACTTCAACTCAAAGCAGCATGGAGGTTTATATTTGAATAGTCAAATTATGGCGTCACTGGTTTGTGAAGCAGAAAGAAAGAGCCTACCTGTGGAGGACCTCATGGAGACCTGAGTGTGTGTCTGCCTGCTCACACTGTGGACGTACAAGGTTCACGGCACACACCGACAATAAAAGACTCATTCAGCAGGTGAGATGGTGACTCTCCAGTTTTGTGGGTTAAATATTTACTGACTGTTAGAGAGAAACTGTGTGCTGAGAGTTACAGGTTGTGATGGAAGAGACAATGTTATTACTAAAACCTTACATTACTCATTACTCAGCTGTCATCACAATTAGATCAACGTGTCGAACAACCTTTCAAATTGGAAGAGCTATAGTGTGATATTTAATAACAATGTTGCTCCACAGCAGCAGGTGGCACTATGGTGAGCAAAAACTATAAGTCAACAATAACCAATCAGATCCTCTCATCCTCTTTAAACCTTTAAAGACATCAGAATATATATTTCCCCAAAGTTATGACACAGCACCCCAAAAATGTCTTTCAAAGGCGCAATATTATATTTACTCTCAAAGGGTCCCAGAGGAGAGTTATTTAACGGTCCTGTGTAACATTTAGAGGATCCATGGGCAGAAATGGAATATAATATTCATGTTTTCATTAGTGTATAACCACTCATCTGAAAATAAGAATTGTATTTTTGTTACCTTACAATGACCCTTTTTTATCTACAGATGGAGCGGGTCCTCTTCTACGTCCACCATGTTGGATCACCATGTTTCTACAGTAGCCCAGAACAGACCAAAAACTGGCGGCAACCTCTATGGCTGGCAAATGAAGCAAACAAGGAAATGCCAAAAACTGCAGTTCCTCTAATGACCACTTGAGGCTGGCTCCAGCAGTGAGTCAATCTCCTTAAGACCCCATACTTCTTGTATACTTATATACAATAAAATTGTTTGAACAAGACTTAAAGTGAAGGGATTTGAATTGTGATTTGCTCAGCCACTAACCAGTTGCAGGGGTGGGTATTGTTTGGATTTTAATTTTATTTTACCCATGCTTTTATCGGCCTTGTTCTTTATCAATACTCTGTAGAAATTAACCACATTAGTACAAGTCTACAACACAAGGGGAAGAATGAATGAGCTCATTAATACTTCATTCTGAATATGAATGTACAATGCCGGAACTGTCAAGAATCACTGTAAGCTGGACCTTTTGAACTGTCTTGGTGTTCTTTCAAGAGGACAGACTGTACCTAATAAACTGGCAACTATTGGAAAACACTGCAAACACTGTATCCAGTACATTATATCTGCCTAAAGTTACAACAGGGGTCTGAAACTCAAATTGGTATTGTCATCTCATAAGAGGACCACTTCACATTTGTTGTTTGCAGCCAAACAATAAATGAAAGCCACAAACCTGCTGTCTTATTATCAACCGTTTGCACACATTTGCAGGCACCTTTGACCTTTGACATTATTTGATTTCATTTTGATAAATCAGTGCTTTGGGATCTTTTACAATATGTGAACAGTGTGTTGGAGCCCCAATCAACTCTCAGATGTCAGAGAAGCCCAATAGTGGATAGAGATTTGTGTAGCAGTACTTTGTTTTTTCATTTTTCCAAACCCATCATTTATCTCCTGAACCCTGAGACTGACAAGTAGTTCAAACTAGCTTCACCTCAAGCAACTGCAACAGTAAAACGCTCTTTACACAGTGATGGGTAAATCTAATAATATCATGTAGAATAATGTATAATGTATCTGGGAATATTTTCCAGTCCACTTTTGTGGTGTTGGTACTTTTACTTAAATGTACTACAACTGTTTAAGTGGCCTCTATATGACCTACATAAACAAACAAGATCAGCAGAGAGAAGATTGGTTATTTCTATATTATAATTCTTGTCTGCAACTGGATTGGTTTCAGTAAAACACTACCGCTCTTGTCCACAGGGGGCACCTAAAATCAACACAAAATTAAAGTTAAAGTAAAAGATCTAAGTACTTCTTCCACCCCTGGTACTGTATACAGGTTGTATAATGCAATGTTATGTGTGTGCTGAGCATAACTAAGGGTGTGTCTTTCATCTCTACAATGTCCTTACAGTAGCAGTAATTTTGTGTATTTTAAGAAAGTTTGTCAAATATGCTGTTGTTGAAATATCTTAGGATCAAATTCAAAATCAATCATCCATAAATGCAATACCTCAACTCCACCATGAACATCGGTTCAGACATCATGGTTCCCAGTCCATAGACTATATCCTAATTCAATTCAATTCAATTCAATTTTATTTGTATAGCGCCAATTCAGAAGTTATCTCAGGACACTTTTCAAATAGAGCAGGTCTAGACCGAACTCCTTATAACATTTACAGAGACCCAACAGTACCACCATGAGCAAGCACTTGGCGACAGGGGCAAGGAAAAACTGCCTGTTAAGAGGCAGAACCCTAGGACAGATCCTTCGGCTCTAGGTGGGAGTTGAGGGAGGGAGAGAGAGAGAGAGAGAGAGACACACAGACAGATGCACAGCAACAACAGTAGCAACAACTACACTAATAGTAGTGACTGATGATGATGAACACGAAGATGATGACGACGATGACAACAACGATGGGGGACAACGAGCAGCGACCACAGCAACAACAGCGACTGTAGCAACAATAATAATAATAATAATAATAATAACAATAATAATAATAATAATTAAAGCTGCAAGCAGCATTGGGCGGGACCTCGCACTCCACGCACCTCGGGTGCCACGCCACGTCACCCCACGCCCAAGCCTTCATTGCCAGAAGCTGAGGGAGACCGCTCTACATTGTCACACATTTTCTGTGCAAAAGACTTACACTTTCATAGTGAGATTCTTCATTGCGAAACTTGGAAATTCAGTGCCACGCCACGGACACGCCGTTTGACGCACACTAAATATTTGATTGACTTTTTTCAACGTACAGTCACAAATCGGACAACTATTAATCAGCAAAATTTTTCAATAGTACTGTCCAGTTTTGAAGCTGATCCGATAAATTCCCTAGGAGTTTGTTCGTTCAAATGCAAGACCACAGAATTCAAAATGGCCAACTTTGACGGCACGCCTCGGACACGCCCTTCAACGTACAGTCACAAATAGCACGGCGTTCAGTCAGCAACATTTTTTGACTGTACTGACCAATTTTGAAGCAGATCCGATAAATTCCCTAGGAGTTCGTTCAAATACAAGGCAAAAAAGTGAAAATGTCAAACAAAATGGCAGCCAAGAGTGAAAATGACAACGAAAATAGCAGACTTCCTGTGGGTTTTGGGGCATGGGTCCAAGAAGCTTTTCTGCAGGTCTCGGCTCATTACACGTGCCTACCAAGTTTCATACATTTTGGTGAAACGTGGCGCCGGGGCTGCTTTGTTGAAATACTGTAGGGGGCGCTACAAACACGACAAACACGATGTTTGGTATGTGAGCTACAGGCACCAGTCTACATATGTCCTGTGAATTTCATATTCATAACTATTACGGTCTCCGCAGAGTGATTTACCCTGCCACCAGAGCGCAACCCAGTGGCGTGGTTTTTTTCTCCTTTTTAAGTGAGCCTCAGGGAGCCATGGGCAATCATCGTACCAAGTTTTGTTTCAATCACACGTGCCAATGTGGAGATATAGACTTCTTCATTTTAAAAAGCGCCACCTTGTGGCGATGGCCTGAAATTGTGCACGATGCCTAATGAAGACGTGGTGAACTATGGACCCAAGCCTGGTGTCAATTGGACGTACCAATGTTGAGATACAGTCCACTTCCTCTTTTGACAAAAAGTCTACAGGAGTTGCTAATTTATAACGTGCTTATTTTTTGAAATATCAAAATACTTTAAATATTCAATATTCGGTCTCCAGATGCTACGTGAAAAGTTTTGTGCGAATCGGACAAAAGCGCATTGATGGAACACGAAAACGTAGTTTATGGACTTTTAGCGCTCTAACGTAAAAAAAATCTAGGCGGAAGTGGGCGTGGCCTATACCGGCAGATGCAGCTCCATTAACCGAACTCGTGGATATAAGGTTTTTGAATGCGCGACAAACGATGTGGGAGTTATTAGCCTAATGGACTTTGCTTAAAAGTAGCGCCGCCTAGTGGCCTTCCTAGTGGCCGACCTGAAAGTGACTCAAAGAATATCCAATTTTGCACCAGGCCTGACAAGTTTGCCAAATAAAATAACTCTGACGGTATATGTTCAGGGGGTCAAAAATGCAGTGAAAGGTTCTAATAAGAATAATACTAATTAAAGCTGCAAGCAGCGTTGGGCGGGACCTTGCACTCCATGCAAATTGGGGCGTGCTGCGTGCGCGTCACATGCCTTCGTAACACGTGTGGACCACAACATGAAAATGTCACGTAAATCAGCTCAAAATCGCCACGCAGCGCTTACTTCCTGTTGCCAGTAGATGGCGCTCTCACTATTACTGAATATTATCACATAGATGTGTTCAGGGTGGAACTCTTATCAGGCAAGTGAAGTTTGGAGCTGATTGGACAATGTACACTCAAGTAATAGCAACTTTGTTTGTTCTGGCAGTACATCAAAATTTGACGCCACGCCACAGACACGCCCTTTAACAAAAATTCACCACAATCATGAAATATCATCAACAACATATTTTGCATTTCCTGACTAGATTTCAGCTTGATCTGACCATCCTACTAGGAGTAGAACATGGAAGTATAAAAAATGACATTTCCTTTCACCTTTCCTTTGAAAGGAAATACGTGTGCAAATCGCCAAAAACTGCCACAAAATCCAAAATGGCCAACTTCCTGTTGGGTTTGAGGTATGGGTCCAAGAGAATTTTCTGCTTCTTTTATCATGATACACATGCCTACCAATTTTTGTACATGTCTGCCTTACGTGTCTTGGGGGGCTGATTCTGGGGGGCGTGGTTTAGCCGTTTGGTGGCGCCCGTGCACGTGGACAGTTGCATACCGGTATTTTCGATACGTTTGAATTTTGTGCAAATTTCCATGACTTTTCGAGCATGTTGCGGCCAAATATGCGGTCAAAGGGGCAGAAGTATAATAATAATTCCTAGTGAAACAAGAGGCACCTTGCACTTTTGTCAGTGCTCAGTCCCTAATAAACAAAAAAACAATAGGGACCTTCCAGTTCACACTGGCTCGGTCCCTAATAATATTTCAGTGATATTAGCAATGGGAGTCAAGCAGGACCATGGCAGGAGGCTCCACCAGGATCCATGAGAACCTGCGAGACAAGAAAGCACAAGAACTCCGGGGACCCGATCTGACTGTTATCATACCATTGAATCAGCGTTATCCTGATACAATCATCCCACAGATAGGGGCCAGTAGGGGCCTACTCTACCTACTAGTAGGTGCAGGAGGGAGTTATCACCCATTCATCTGGCTGATCCAATACTATTCAAGCCCAGCAGGTACAGAAGGTGTGTTATCGAGCAGAGCAGTCACGTGACTGTCAGATTTCTGCCTGCGGAAAAATTCAAAATGGCTGCATTTTCTTTTATTTTCAGTGGAAAAATTTATTTGAAGATATTTTTGGCATTAGAGTTCGTTGTGATAACATTTCTAGCGGGAAATGTGTACATTATTTCCATAATCTCTGTTGAATGAATGCCTATGATGTTTCGTTTTTTCAGGCTTCTATGGTGTCTGTTCTATGTTTATGGTTGCTATGCAGTTGCTATGGGCGTCTTATCGCTGAAACACGTGAATATTGTTTTAATAATTGCATCAGAGCTGTAATGTTATTGGTCTTATTTTATGTAACTGCTCAATGACGATCTTAAAAATAAAAAAACGTACATTTCAGATTTTGCTCGTAATTTAATATTAAATCCGGAACCTTTGTGTTTGGCTGACCGGAGGACCAGCTGCTATGAGACCGTGGCACTGTCAAAATATATTATAATGTTTATTATCTATTATATACTTATAACTGAACCTCTGCTAATATTTTACTTGTCCACAGACAACAGATAAATTCTACAAGCTAGAAACTGTAAACTGAGAGTTTTATGTAACCCAAACGGACAATAATCTAATATTCTGTATAGATGAAGCATATTTTATTCATCAAATCACAGGATTTTATAAGCACAATCATGAATGCATTTCATTTTTATTCCTCTGCGTTTGTTGTAGATTTCTTCTTAAAATCATTATTGAAAAAACATTCAAATATACAAACCATTGGACGACAGAGCGGTTTTAGTAATTTCCTGTATGTGTGTCACATTGGTTTACTTTAGCCACAGCCAGTGCCATTAAATATAATTAAATATGAAATATGTATATATACAGTACAGTATTATATGTATATAATACAGTAATTGCAACACTGTTCATACATGAACAAATATTCATGGACATATTTATTAGTCTTCTTCACTCAAACACTGACTGCATATACTCCTGCTCCATTGATTCTGTACATGCTGATGTTTTTACACATTCCTATGTATATTTTTTTCATTGCTTATGATATAACATTGTATATATGACTTGCATATTAAAAACTAAAGGAGATGTGGATGAGTGTGTGAAAGAAACATTCAAAATGTAATGAAAAAGGCAAACTGAAACTGAACTGAAATAAAACAAATTAACAAATCTTTATTTTTATTCATGCAGAGAGAGAGAGAGAGAGAAAGAGAGAGAGAGAGAGAGAGAGAGAAAGAGAGAGAGAGACAGAGAGAGAACAACATTCAACATACAGGTGTCTTAAAGACACACAAACAAAAACATTAAATGGAGCCTATAAAGTTGCTGGCAGGCTCCCTGGTGTCTTCTCAAGTTTTGCCACTGAAAAAAAAGAATGAATGCAAACAAGTGTAAGATCATTGCATATACCACAATATTAGTTTATATCAATGGGGTATCATAGAACAACAAATGACTTAGGATCGGTTTTTCAGAAGCCTGGTACTAACCAGTGTGGAAGTAAGTACATATATATTTATAAAGCATACCGTAAAAAAAGCTAACAGCTTTAAAATCAGCTAATGTGGATCAAAGTTCTGAGCTCTTACCACGAGGAACAAGGCAGCCAGCTCACTTTTACCTCTTCTCTTCTCTGCACACACACACACACACACACACACACACACACACACACACACACACACACACACAGAAACACAGACAAAAAGAAGTGTTAGCCATTCCAGCAACCACTGTTAAATGAACTGCTATTTCACTCAGTCAGTTACTTACCTCCTTTAGTTGTTTCTTTTATTTCATTGTAGTGAAATATTTTTTGCTTCTAACATTTTCAGCAGCCTAAAATTATGCAAAAAAAAGAAAAGAAGAAAGAAGGAGAATAAATTTAGAAACAGACTTTGACATCCCCCAGGTGAATACAGCTGCATTTCCACTGTCAAGAATTCACAGGGGTCAGCACAACCGAAGCAATGGCTGAGCTTCGCCCTGGGTGAACCACCTTCTTGATCATGATATCTCACCTATTTACTGTTCTTTGATTGTTATTGTGGACCTGGTACACCTTGGTCAACGTTAGCTAGCTGAGCTGACACTAAAAGGTGGTGTGACATTACTGCCAACCACTGATTAGTCACACCACAGTTGACGTCCTGCATAAAGCCTAGATTTTTAATAGCCAAACTATCATTAATAGTTAAGTTTTTTTTATTCACTCAAAAATGGCAGCCCACAACACCATGCTGTGGTCAACTGACAAAGTACAGACTTGTCCAGAACAATTCAATTCAATTCAATTCAATTCAATTTTATTTGTATAGCGCCAATTCATAACAGAAGTTATCTCAGGACACTTTTCAAATAGAGCAGGTCTAGACCGAACTCTTTAACATTAATTACAGAGACCCAACAGTACCACCATGAGCAAGCACTTGGCGACAAGGGCAAGGAAAAACTGCCTGTTAAAAGGCAGAAACCTAGGACAGATCCTCCGGCTCTAGGTGGGTGGTCGTCTGTCTCGACCAGTTGGGGTGAGAGAGAGAGAGAGAGAGAGAGAGAGAGAGAGAGAGAGCGACAGACAGACAGACAGGTGCACAGCAACAACAGTATTGGCAATGGCAGTCAAGCAGGACCATGGCAGGAGGCTCCACCAGGATCCATGAGAACCTGCGAGACGAGAAAGCACAAGAACTCCGGGGAAGAAGTGGAGTTAGTAACATGCATTAATGGAACATGAATGAGTGCATAAAGAGAGAGGAAGGGGAGGAGCTCAGTGCACCATGGGAAATCCCCCCGATAGTCTAGGCCTATAGCAGCATAACTAAGGGATGGTTCAGGACTCACCTGATCCAGCCCTAACTATAAGCTTTATCAAAGAGGAATGTCTTAAGCCTACTCTTGAATGTGGTGAGGGTGTCTGCCTCCCGAACCACAACTGGAAGCTGGTTCCACAGGAGAGGAGCTTGGTAACTGAAGGCTCTGGCTCCTGTTCTACTTTTAGAGACTATAGGAACCACAAGTAGCCCAGCATTCAGAGAACGTAGTGTTCTAGTGGGGTAATAGGGTACTATGAGCTCTTTGAGATATGAAGGGGCCTGACCATGAAGAGCTTTATAGGTGAGGAGGAGGATTTTAAATTCAATTCTACATTTTATAGGGAGCCAATGCAGAGTAGCTAGTACAGGAGAGATGTGATCTCTTTTTCTAGTTCCTGTCAGTACTCGTGCTGCAGCGTTCTGAATTAATTGGAGCGTTTTAATGGACTTATTGGGGCAACCTGATGATAAAGAGTTGCAGTAATCCAGCCTTGAAGTAACAAATGCATGGATTAGTTTTTCTGCATCTGTCTGTGATAGTATGTGTCTAATTTTTCTAATATTACGTAAATGAAAGAAGGCAGTCCTAGAGGTCTGCTTTATGTGGAAGTTAAATGACAAATCCTGATCAAAGATAACTCCAAGATTCCTGACAGTGGTGCTAGAGGCCAAGTTAATGCCATCTAGAGTGACTATATCTTTAGACAATGAGTCTCTAAGGTTTTTGGGGCCAAGAACAAGAATTTCGGTTTTTTCTGAGTTTAACATCAGAAAATTGCAGGTCATCCAGGATTTTATGTCCTTAAGACATGTTTGTAATTTAGATAATTGATTAATTTCATTGGGTTTGATTGATAGATATAACTGCGTATCATCTGCATAACAGTGAAAGTTAATGGAGTGATTCCTAATAATGTTGCCTAAAGGGAGCATATATAAAGTAAATAGTATTGGTCCAAGTACAGAACCTTGTGGAACTCCATGACTAACTTTAGTATTTATGGAGGATTCATCGTTAACATGTACAAACTGAGAACGATCTGATAAGTATGACTTAAACCAGGTTAGGGCAGTTCCTTTAATGCCAATTTGATGCTCAAGTCTCTGTAAAAGATATGAACATAGCTTCATATCCTCTGTTATGAGTAGCGTAGCTTTTTATGTACGTAGTGTGTTGTCAGTGTGGCAGTAAATGTACAGTGTAGCTTAGAGTCTGTCAATAAATAAAGGCTGCAGCTTCTCAAGACCAAAGTAAAGCTTGTTTCCCAACTTCATTGCTCTGACAATCACCTCTGCCTACATTGAGGGGTCCCATCCAAAGTTCTATCTACAGTGGAAAAGGAAGTAGAGGACCCAAAAGTAAATAGAGTAGAGTTGAGCTGTACAATGCTGATGCATAGAGGAAGAGAAAAAGTGTCCATCTTGTCTCATATGTGTCCACATTAGTTTTTGTTTTATCTCATGAATAATTTATCTTCTACCTGTAGATGAGGACAAGTTAGTGAGTAATCCTTTATGTTTTTTATTGTTACAGATAATAACAGGGATTAGGGGGGAAAAAACTGTTCTCCGAAAAGTCTTGCATCCTTCTTTGCATGTGTCTGGTTCATTGTGTCTACATGCACACAAACAATATTATCATGCTGCTATCAAGGAATTGCATTGCACATTTAATTTGATGAGTAGGCTGTACCACAAAAACAAAAAATACCTCTCTTCCTCTTTTTCTTCCCTTCACCTGTTGCACTGGTCAAGGAGATAGTAGGTCTGGGAGAGCGGGAGCACTGTGCAGACACACCTGTGACAAAGATGCATGACTTTAGACACATTACTTAAAATATGGCAGAAGGTGATTAATGCTAACACTCACTTTCACTCATGGTTTTTTGAGAGGGAGATGCTGAGGCGGTGCTTGGAGGCTGGACAGGGATGAGGGTTAGGGTGTAAGTCTCCTCCTCATAGTCCATTTGGGGACGAGAAGTAGATGGGAGAAAGGTGGAAGAGTCTGGAGGATGAGGAGGAGAAGAGGGTTGGGAGGGAGAGGAGGTAGACTGTGGAGTTGGAGATGGGCTGGGAGCTTCTGGCAATTGCATCCTTTGAGAATCTGAAAAAATATAAATATAAATATTACTCACAATGACAGAACATCCCAAAGCATAAATCATAAAAACAAATGTTTGCCTTACTTTTAATAATGTACTCATATGCCCTGCTCATCTTTTCTAAAAAGGGTTTTACAGGCCCGTCCCCTCATGTAGGTGATCATTTCAGCATTTACTGTGTTCACCCCCTTCTTCTTCTTCCTGATGAACAAAATTGGGTTGTAGCCCAAGGCAGCAAGCTTGCTCACCTGAAATGTACACAATTACACAAAATGTTAACATGGCATTATTATTACACACTGACATGTTACAATTTTTTCACTTTATTTGAGTGTTATGTGTGCACCAGTGTTTGCTAATGTCTATAATCTTTTTCAAGGGTTTCTTGAGAGTTTTCTAATGAACTGTAGGTGTGTGTACATATAACATTCTTTCAGACAGAAAAGTGTGGACAGGGTTCTGTGGAGCGCTGGGATGAAGCACTTGTGCATTGAGAGAAACAAATGCTATGTTAACAGAGAGTTCACTGTCTCTGTTATTATAGTTTCTGTCTGAAATATCATAAAGCTCAGGAGACAGACATGGCCGAAACAAGTTCTCCCTCCATTTCTTTTTAGTTTAGTTCTTCGGAGATGCAAACACATGCATTGCACCCTCATTTTAATATTTTGCACTTTCAGTTCAAATTGCATATTAATGCCAAGCATAAGGTGGTCTGGCACATGGACTGCGTGGGCGTCTTCATGCTCACCAGCAGCTCAATCAGCAAAAGAGTTGGATGAAGATTAATAAAGGTCAGTGGGTGTGGTGATTAATAAATACTCTCCCAGCTTGTCACATCACTGGTCTCATAGCTCTGAAACAACTGAGCTAATCAGTTAAACATGATAGCAACAGCTCAACAAATAGAAATCTTCGTCTCAGGAAATGTCTGGATGATTCAGAGAGTCACAACATGAACACACCTCACCACCAATCTGCAGCCAATGACAAATGAAGTATGATTTTCCCATAAATAGTTAATATAATAATATATAAACTGATTGATTATATGATTATTTCGGACAAAGACTGTTTTAGTTGGAATTTGAATGTATCCCACCTCATACATGGACACATAGTTTAGTAATTAATGATATACAAATGTGTTTGCACTGCACTGGTCACAGTATTTAGCCATGATTCCTCTGAGGACTGGAGTTTGAGGGTATGGGTGTCCTTCTGACTCGTAAAGCAAACTGTTGCTGAAAATGACTGACACCCTGTTTAACTTACTGCTGTCTACAACTTTTTCCGTCTGTGTTCAGCATAATCTGTTTATCTGGGACCCAACTCTGGATCATCATACACTGCTCTACTTTAATAGCTGTTGGCAGCTCGCACTGTAACTACTAGGGTACCACCACTAAATTGAGATGCACCTGAAGTCATTTGGTTCTGGAACCGGGCCTAGCTCTCTCCTCATTGGTGAAAAATGTGCTATTGATCAGAAAAAAATGCTATTTGGACCACAAGCCCATATGTCAATAATGAGCCAACTAATTTTGAATCTTTAGCTAAATTTAAGGTTAGGGGTGGCTCATATAAAGTGGCGGCATTATGTTCAATAACCTTTAATGAATACAATGGATGCACACACACAACACATCCAAGTCAATTTTTTTTCTTTTCTTTTTCTTTGAAAGACTTTTTTTGCAGGAGGCAAACACAGCAGCTGGCACAGGTCTTCTGATTGGCATGATGCTTGCTCCACAATAGGGGCAGCTTCTTGCTTTGGGCTTCGTCATGACTTTGAGAGCAAGATGAATGGAAAAGAAAATAAGAGTGTGACACATAAAAAGAACTAAGTTATAATTGACTGCAAGGGCTGTCTAAATACAGCCAGCAATCTCGATAGCACACACCAATTTACCGTTGACCAGCATAATGTGCATAACATAGCATGCATTAGCTAACCAAAACTGATGTTACATTGAAACCTTTTTAATGTGTTATACCTGTGTGTAGCACAAAAGTAATATTGCTGCATCTCTAAATATACAAACTATATTGTTTTATAGTTTACATTTGTAGGTACACACTCAAAACATTAACTGTGTTTCTTACCTGCTTCTTCCTTCTACTAAACATTTTCTAAACCTGTGTTTCTCTCCGTTTCCCGCACGAGGACAGTACCCGCGTTACCAAGTACCGCGAACGAGACGTGGTGAATGACGTCACTTCTCGTCGCTTGCACTTTAAATCATAAAACATAAGAAACAGTATTTCAGTAAAGAGAATTTAAAAATATGTATATATGTAAATTAAAAAAGAAGTCAAAAAAGAAAACAGAAAAAAATATATGAAGCGGCTGTAAAACTATGTGAAATAAACATATTTACTTTTTTTAAATATCAAGAAGTGTAATTACTGATTCGGCTGCCCTAAATGTTTGATATATTCAATAGATGTCTGATATTATGACCCTATTTTACAACCCTACTTTGAAAACCGGAAGAACTAGCTAACCCAAATCCACATTTATAGAATAACAGTTAGTATATCTGACATAAGCCAACATCTTTACTTTTTCTTAAAATTAATCACATAGATGGAGTGTAATTACTAATTCGGCTGCACTTAATGTTCGATATATTCATTACATATATCTTTTTACGACCCTATTCTTAACAATACTTTGCAAACCAGAAGAACTACAAACATGGTGCTTATTTGTATCAAGCTGCATGGCGCGGCACAAGGGAATTGTAGTTTTTGTTTTTAATGGTACATTTCCTAAAAATGGAAATTGTAAATATTAAATTAACAGTATACTGATAGATTTAAAGGGGTGGGAAACACATTTATGTGATCAGATTGTAAATATGCAATTGTTAAATTGGTGAAAATTCATTTTGATCATACATGACAGTGCCCCCACTTGGTGACTATATTTATATGAATATAGTCACATAGCTGAAGTCAAGAGCTTTCTAAAACAGTTGGTCCCATGTCTGTAGCCTCTTCTGTTGCTGAATGACAAGCCTTCCAATATGCACTGAGGTCAAGGTTCAGAGGTCAATATTTCACAGTAGGAGCCACTTAAAATCTTCAAACTGACATATGTTACTCACCAGGACAAAGTTTAATTCTCACCTCTGTTTGGTGCCAGCCTCTTTCAGGTGTAGTTTCTGAGACCATTTGAGACTCCAGCCTGGATGAACTCAAGGTTTTGGATTTTTTGCTTATATGTTTGATAAAAACCTTCAAGGTATTGATGTTTTTCCTAATCACATTCATCATTTGGGATCTGGGCTAGTGTAGACCTTATTTTACCCATAGGCAGATTATGAGACAATGGTCCTCTCGCCACGGACATGCCAACATCGCATACCCCCACAGCAGGGCACTCACTTGGCCCATGTTGCCTAACACTAACACATATTTAAAGAATACAGTCAAGTGATGCACCACATAAATAATAATAAAGAGCATTCTTCAACAGGCAGCACTCTCAAAACCTCTAATATGCCACCACATCCTCCAAAAAATCTACTTTATGGTCATGCACTTGTAGATTGCAGGCCCATGCCCGTGTGTCTGTGTTGGGGGTGGTAATATATATATATATTATTTGGTCATAATCCTAATTATAGTCATTTGAATCTACCGGGTGCTTTGCATATGCCTTTGTGTCAATGTGTCACCAGTGGTGGAATGTAATGCAGTGCTTTAACTCAAGTACTGTAATTAAGTACAAATTTGAGATACTTTTACGTCTTTAAGTCTTTTCTTTACATGTTACATACGTTTTGACGTTGGCTTGTTCATCTGATATACAGTATATCACTATGAATTGTGGTTTGCTAAATCATTCAACCTGTGTAAAGTTGGAGGTTATACTATATAATTGCATTAAAACAGTTCATGTTATTGAAAACTTGATGCTGAAAATCCCATGTCACTAGTCCTTCCTCTGAATCTCTCCTCTTGCCATATAGTGAATTCATGTACTCTGAAAGCATGTGGGAATTGCTCAGATAAAATAAGTCTAACCTAAAACAGTAGTAACATCCAAGGACTCAATCAGAAATGTAGCTTTATTGTGCCTTTGTTTAATTAAACATTAAAGAACAATTATTAATCAAACAGTAAAGATCAACTGGAAAGAAAATCCCTGAAAAGATGCTGAACTGAACGTGAATCAAAGATAAGACAGTAAAGGACAGTGTTTTTTGTTGTAAAGATGTAAGACAACATTAACCAGGAACTTCCCACAACCCAGTAGAAAAATCCAACCTTATATAAGTGATGAAACATTTCAAAACCAAATGCAGAAATAACAACAACCTAATACAAAAACTACAACTGTCATCTCCAACTTAATCCTGACAATGAGCACATACGTTAGTCACTTTTTAAAGCCACATGCTCTGTGTGACCATGTGTCGCACACGGTGCACTGTGATCATGAGCACCACATCTTCCTGTTTTACATTGCATCAGACTCTGAATCTCCACAGCTAATGTCGAACTCATCTGAACTGTCCATTGTGTCCATTATGTCATCTGCTGATGACAGCACATGCAGGTAGTGTTTTCTTGTATGCTGCTGCAGCTCTCTCATTTCCCACTGGAAGGATGAGGCAGGTGTGACACTTTGTTGCTTTCTCTGTGAGATGTCCTTAAGAAGGGATAAAATATGTCACTATCCAGGTAAATAACATGTCTTTCACAACTTAAACATAACTTTGTGAAACATTCGAATTTTAAAAAATTAAGTACAAGGCCGCATTTACTTTGCATGGCGTCTTCACTCTGATGCTGAGACAACTCGGACAAGACCCTGGCATGGGCTTTGAGAGACTCCCAGTGCTGCTTCATTTCTTTCACAAGGATCTTCTTCTCCTCTTGAAGCCTTTGAACACCCATGACCCTATCGAAGACTTATTTCTTTGTGCTGAAATCAGCAGAGCCTGTAATACATCAATATGAAAAGTTCAGACCACTGCATATAGCATGTAGCTTCAGAGATCATTTCTGTCATACATATGCACACTTGGTCAGAATGCAAATATGTCCACTGGAACACCTGAATGTAAGAATACTAATGATGAAATGTGTATTCACTAAAGTACTGTGCTTTAGTATAAATTTGAGGTACTGGCACTTTTCTTTTTATGCTACTTTCTTCTTCTACTGCACTACATCTCAGAAGAAAGTATTTTACTTTTTACTTCACTACAACTTTAAGGATACTTAACTGATTATACTGAATATTTTACTTGTGATCTGAGTAATTTTAGAGTGTAGTATCAGTATTTTTTACTTTGTAAATAGACTTTATGCTTTTAAGTAAAGGATATGATACTTCTTCCACCACTAAAGAATACGCACAGTACATGAAATGCATACCACTCTGTGTAATAAGGGATGTTCTGTGTCCAGAACGCTATCCATGCAACAAGACTGTTGTACTCCGCTACCATGGCCTTTAAAGTGGTCTTCTGTTCCCTTACTTTCTGCGAATTCTATGTCGGCCTTTGTTGCGGTCTGAAAACCAAAGAAAAACAATAAACCCACATTATATCTTTTAAATACACTAAGTCCATGATCTTGTTTAAGTTACAGCTGTAACAACAGAATGACAATACATTTGCCAAACAGATGGATCATAATAGATGTACTTATAATAACTGAACGCAAATCAATTTGTTTTGGAGAAGTCCAACACATGAAACATTACTTTTTAGAACTGTATGGACATTGTAATTATGAAGTGAGTTTGGAGACATTTCAGACTGTGATCTGAAAAGGCCTAAAATGTTAACCTACCATTTTTCCGATATAGGAGTTGAGCTCTCGTGTTGATGCTGGTTGTGAAGGCCTCAATCTTCTTACACAAAGCTTGTGGTGTGCCTTGATGGTCAATTTCTCCTGACAAAATTGATTGCAGGTAGCGTCAACTTTACAAACGACACAAATGTTTCTCCATGTCAGATAATGTTTCACGTTCTTACCATCTGCCCATTCTTTTACTTCTTGCACAAATTCTTCCACAGTTTGTTCACCCAGTTGATGCTGGGCTTTGAGGGTTTCCAGGTCCCCAATCGGGATATTAAAAGCTTTAGATGTCTAAAATGACAAAATTATTACCATAAGCTAAAAGTCAGTACAACATGTACAGTGTACAAATGCAACTCAAATCAGGCAAAAATGTTGTAACTATCATGTATCACAAGCCTATGTGCACAAAACTGTATGCGTGTTTCTTTGACCTACACTGTGCCATTGCAGCAAAATAATATTGTTTCTATTTACCTTATGGTATCTCTGGGAAAGTCCAGTAGCCAGGTTTGGACATTTCTGCTGGTTCCATCTTACGGCCAGGAGTGTCAGCATGTCATTGCGTCCTGCAAGTACACAGAGATGAGTTCTGTAAAGATTCACTTGTAATAATATAAATGTCTTTTATTCTGTATACAGAGGTACAATTATACAGCACCTGCTTTTGAAATATGCTTTGTGGTGACTGATATCCTGGAGAGGGAAGCATTACATTGCTCTACTTCCTCCCCTAGTGTTTTACCAGCAACTTCTTGGTTTGTGCCACTCCATTTCACCTGGAGAGAGGGACCCAAACAGAAACATCAAGGGAATTTAGTACAGCAGAGACCTCAAGCAATGCCCAACAGTCACTTTTATTTCAATTAAAAGCTAATCAAAAATCAAACTGTCACCCTTCCACCAAGTTGTGTGTACATTAGTGGTAAACCTCATGAGTAATCTTGTTTACAAACAAAGATACACAGACAGGTGCAAAATAATATCCTTGACAAAAGTAGATGTGTCAATTAAGGGCTGTTCACATCAACAACTATAACAATACAAATGTTAAATAATCTGTTAAGTGATAGTTAAACATTACACATTTATATGCATCATTTATAGGATTGCAAGTCATTTGATAAAATGTACTGTATTATACTAACCTCACATTTGAAGTCATGCGCTTTAGCATGTACAAACATATTAAGGGCAGCCAGCAAGACATCATGCCTGCACACTGCCAGCTCCAGTCCCTCCTCATCCACCTTACTGCTTGATCTTTGGGAGGTCTCTCTGGCAGCTGACCACTCCCCACCACAATTGCTCCTTCCAGTGACCTACATTGTAGAAAATCATAATTGACAAATAATCCCATCAACAGTCATTACAGGGAACAATTATACATTTCTCTTAGGGGACAAGGAACAGATAAGTGTTAGCAGATTAAGAACAATTAGGTATACAGGTAGATATCACAATACATGGGAGTACTGACAGACTATGAATTATAATGTTGTATTGAGATATAAATTGAAGTCTGCTATTACATGTATTTTTTTGCTGTGGATGTGATCCACAAATCTGGTCACATCGTCATCTTTTGCAATGAAGACACCGTCAAAGATGGCCCGCTCCTGAGATCTAAAAAAACAATAAGAAATAAAAAGGCTCCAATGTTTAAAAGGATAGTTGAGTACTCTGAAGTGGGATGGTATAAGGTACTTATCCATAGTAAGTGTGTAACCTACAGTACACAGTGTTCAGACAGCCCTTTTCCTTGGCACTACATTGTCTCAACTGTAGAAATGCATATTTCTACATCTAACCCCAACTACAATCCTGGATATTGGGTTTTTTTCAGGTGGGCCTTTTATATGTGGCTAAAACACATTTTTCTGCTTCTCCACAATAGAGGCAGGGGATGGGTGGCGGTGACCATTGTCTGCTGTAGGTAACACACTGACCATGGATAAGTAACTCATACAACCCCACTTCAAAACACCTGAACTATCTTTTTAACATGTCATACATCGAAAGGTTACTTGTTGTATAAAACATAACTATCTATCTGTACATTATTGTATACCTTGCAGTACTTTTGAAGCGGTAACGCTTGCGGTTTCCATCCACTGAGACAGAAAGCATTGCTGGGGTACAGGCAGGACAGATGAATTTCTCCTCCTTGCAGGTGGAGTCAACCTCATATTGTACAGCAGCCCATTCAAAAAAAGCTTTTTTGGAAGCTGTCTGATGAGATCTTCCCAGTCTATGTAAAAAAGAAAAAGCACAAAACAATTTTTTAAACAAAGACCTTTCCATTTCAAAACACAAACATATAGAGAAATACTTACACGGCCAAAGCGAGCAGTCCGCTTCTCAAGCATTCTTAGATATGCCTGAAAAGACATCCCGGGTGATGCCATCTTCATGTCTTCAAACGTATAAAACAGGTCTGTCTCATAAATTGTTACAAAATGAAGGGTGGCAGGTCAGTATCCACTTTTTATCAGGTCATCAAGTCCTGCAGTCCAAGTTGCCTGGCATCCCTCGCAGGTCAGCTCAGGCATGTTGAGATCATACCGTCCTACAAGGTAATATTTACATTTACAACCAGCCATTTGTTGCCATACTCTCCTTGGCCAGCATGCTACTAAGAAGAGATGGTCTCTTTTCTCTCCATCTCTCTGAAAAGAGAGCATTGCGAATGCTCCAATCCAGAGAAGCCAGAGGAGCTCTTTGGGCTGCTGATGCTTCACTAAGCTCTTCATCAGAGCAGCTCAGGGAGGGTTGCAGATCTTGCAAAAGACATTCTATTGCAATTGTAAAAGAAATACATGGAGTAGTTAGAAGGGGCCCAAGGTTGTTTTTGTATCATATGCATACAACTAGCAAAAACATGGACTTCATTGTTACACAGATAAGAAGAAAATATTGTTATATGACAGATATAACATATATAACAATGTGAATGGTGCTTGGCAATTGCATATCAACAGGGAGAAACGTTGTCATAAAGCTTGTTTTGGAGACTTTGTTTTGTTCAATAGCTCATTTTGCAGATACTAGGTACAAGACATTATACACAGAACATATCTAATGAGACACACACCAGCAGAATCTGTGTGTGAAGCAGTCTCTGGAGCAAAGGTCCCCTCTACATGAGGGTGTGAGGTGAGACCGGTCTTACAACGGCGTTCAGCTGTAATGCAGAAAAAACATAAACACCTCTTAGAGCAGCATATATTTGTCTAACACTTACATTTGTTTTTAAAATATCTGTTTGCGATCTACATTTATACGATACAGTACAGTTTTCCTATTTCATTTTTTGGGTGGGGCGTGTGTCTTCTTTTGGAAAAGAGGCTCCAAGACCACCTACATAAAAAATGTAACTCCTGTTAGCCAAATCATGCTTACAGCAAAAAGTATTTCTTTATTTTTCAGGATTTGAGATCTATCAGAGATGACACATTGATCTGACCTGGTGGTATTTAGCTTCAAACTTCGATAAATAACATTTTGGTGTACTTTACATATTTATGGGCAACTGATGGTCCTGTAGTCCATTGACAGTGTTGCACGTTATCCCTGCCACTGGCCCACACTGACATTCAGGACTGAAACCATTTTAAATATCTAGAATATAAAATACCAACCATGTCTGGATCCGCGTCCCTCTCTGTCCACCTCACCTTCAGCGGGGGTTGAGGAGCTGCTGCTGCCCCTGTCTGAACCCCTGTCTGAAGGAGGTCCTCAAACTCCTGCTGCTCCACCAGCTCCTCCAAGCTTTCCAAAATGTGGCGTTGTTCTTGTGAACTCATCCCCACACACAGACACACAGACACACACAGACACACACAGACACACAGACACACACAGACACACAGACACACACAGACACACAGACACACACAGATAGAGGGTTAACTTGCTAACGTTAGTTACTAGGAGCTAACTTTAGTTGCGTTTAAGTTGAGCTAACTAAAATGCAAAGCTTTTGAGTTTTTACAGGCAAATCATAAGAACATGTAAAAACTAAGCATTGTTGTTATTTACTTTGTGGTTGAATTTTTAACCAAACGTATCTTACCGCCACGTGACATCCAAGTTAAAGGGTACCGTATCCAACGTGCGCGTCGCGTCGGAGAAGATGACGTCGACACGCAACGGCAGAGAAATCAAAATAAAAGCTGATGTTTAAGCATTTGATTAATAAAATATGCATTTATGTATACAGTAATTGAGCAACTAACTTAACTAACCTAACGTTTAACTTTCCTTTATCCTAATAACGCTTCTACAGGATGTGTATTTATGAAATAGAAACCACTAGTGTCTTTAGTATTAACGTTACTCTTGCTCGTAAAATATTCTCTTCTGGCTTTATTTTGAAAGTGCATATTTATTTTGCTAATTCAGTCCACCGGATGTGGGTAAACGTGTTGTTGTGTTGTTGCTATCTTGACAGTGTCACGGTTATCACAACGAACTCTAATGCCAAAAATATCTTCAAATGTTGTTTTTCCACTGAAATTAAAGAAAATGCAGACAGAAATCTGACAGTCACGTGACTGCTCTGCTCGATAACACACCTTCTGTACCTGCTGGGCTTGAATAGTATTGGATCAGCCAGATGAATGGGTGATAACTGCCTCCTGCACCTACTAGTAGGTAGAGTAGGCCCCTACTGGCCCCTATCTGTGGGATGATTGTATCAGGATAACGCTGATTCAATGGTATGATAACAGTCAGATCGGGTGCCGGGGAAGAAGTGAATTTAGCAACATGCATGATTAATGGAACATGAATGTGTGCAGAAAGAGAGAGAGAGAGAAAGAGAGGAGCTCAGTGCACCATGGGAAATCCCCCGATAGTCTAGGCCTATAGCAGCATAACTAAGGGATGGTTCAGGACTCACCTGATCCAGCCCTAACTATAAGCTTTATCAAAGAGGAATGTCTTAAGCCTACTCTTGAATGTGGTGAGGGTGTCTGCCTCCCGAACCACAACTGGAAGCTGGTTCCACAGGAGAGGAGCTTGGTAACTGAAGGCTCTGGCTCCTGTTCTACTTTTAGAGACTATAGGAACCACAAGTAGCCCAGCATTCAGAGAACGTAGTGTTCTAGAGGGGTAATAGGGTACTATGAGCTCTTTAAGATATGAAGGGGCCTGACCATGAAGAGCTTTATAGGTGAGGAGGAGGATTTTAAATTCAATTCTAAATTTTACAAGGAGCCAGTGCAGAGAAGCTAGTACAGGAGAGATGTGATCTCTTTTCTTAGTTCCTGTCAGTACTCGTGCTGCAGCGTTCTGAATTAATTGGAGCATTTTAATGGACTTATTGGGGCAACCTGACAATAAGGAATTGCAGTAATCCAGCCTAGAAGTAACAAATGCATGGATTAGTTTTTCTGCATCTGTCTGTGACAGGATGTGTCAAATTTTTGTAATATTGCGTAAATTATATGGGAATTAAAGGACATATCCTGATCAAAGATAACTCCAAGATTCCTGACAGTGGTGCTAGAGGCCAAGGTAATGCCATCTAGAGTAACTATATCTTTAGACAGTGTGTCATTAAGGTTTTTGGGGCCAAGTACAAGAATTTCGTTTTTTTCTGAGTTTAACATCAGAAAATTGCAGCTCATCCAGGATTTTATGTCCTTAATAACTGTATCATCTGCATAACAGTGAAAGTTAATGGAATGATTCCTAATAATGTTGCCTAAGGGAAGCATATATAAAGTGAATAGAATTGGTCCAAGTACAGAACCTTGTGGAACTCCACGACTAACTATAGTATTTATTGAAGATTCATCGTTAACATGTACAAACTGCAAGCGAGTCTCTGTAAAAGAATATTATGGTCAATGGTGTCAAATGCAGCACTAAGATCTAATAATACAAGTACAGAGACAAGTCCATTGTCAGAAGCAATCAGAAGGTCATTATTAACTTTAACCAGAGCTGTCTCTGTGCTGTGATGAACTCTAAATCCTGACTGAAAATCCTCAAATAAACTATTGTTATGTAGAAAGTCACACAACTGCTTGGCGACTACTTTCTCCAGAATCTTAGAGAGGAAGGGGAGGTTAGAAATCGGTCTATAGTTGGCTAAAACCCCTGGGTCAAGAGTGGGCTTTTTAAGAAGGGGTTTAATTACAGCTACTTTAAAGGACTGTGGTACATATCCTGATAATAAAGAAAGATTAATCATATCTAGTAAAGAAGTGACAATTAAGGGAACAACTTCTTTAAGCAGCCTAGTTGGGATCGGGTCTAATAGACAGGTTGATGGCTTCGATGAAGAAATGATTGAAGTTAACTGATGAAGATCGATAGCAGAAAAACTGTCTAAATATACATCTGATTTTACACTAGTTAAAGTCCCTGAACTTGGAGAGCCACTGATAACTGTTGATGGCAGTTGGTGATAAATTTTTTCTCTAATAGTAATAATTTTATTATAGAAGAAGCTCATGAAGTCATTGCTACTTAAGTTTATGGGGATATGTGGCTCAATAGAGCTGTGACTCTCTGTCAGCCTGGCTACAGTGCTGAAGAGGAACCTAGGGTTATTCTTATTTTCTTCTATTAGTGCTGAGTAATAGGCTCCTCTGGCATTACGGAGGGCCTTTCTATAAGTTTTAAGATTATCTTGCCAAATTGAGCGATATTCTAATAATTTTGAAGAGCGCCATTTCCTTTCAGATTTCCGTGCTTTTTGCTTTAATTGGCGAGTTTGGATGTTGTACCACGGTGCTAGTCTCCTATGTTTTAATAATTTCCTCTCTATAGGAGCGATAGAATCTAATGTTGATCGTAGTGAGCCTGCAGCCCTATTAACAAGATTATCGATTTGGGAGGGACTAATGAGTCTGATCTAGTGCCAGCATCAGGACAAATGTTTTGACAATAATAACTATGAGAACACTGTTTGCAGCACAACATTTAATGTGACAGGTTTAAATTACACTGACTGTAGAAATATTACAGCACTGATCAGTCATAAACGCTGATCCTTTCATATATAGCACACAACATGCATCACCATTACTTTGTTCTGAGGGGACACACTGAAATAAAAATATACCAAATCATCATACAACTGTCTATTTAGAGATATTCATCTTGAACAAACAACTAGGATGGGTATAGTCTGATATTTTTCAATACCCAAGTTTGGGTACTGATAGTTTTTGACATCTCAGTTTGAACATGTTTTTCACAAAGCCTTTCTGTTTTTTCAACAAAAAACCCAAAGCTTAAATATGTTGCAAAATGAGCTGCATCAGAGTAAGAGAGCAGAAGCCACTCTCAGCAATGTCAACTAGAACTGGTTGACAATGTATATGTTAAATTATTTAAAATATTCTTGAATAAATTATTTGTTGAAGAAAGCAGCCTTCAGTATACCTCTGCAGAGTCATATAGAAAAGGTCTATTTTTGTTTCAGCTCAAAAAGTCACTATATCGGCCACCATAACGGTAATCAGGGATTCTTCTCTAAAGTCTCATATTGGTTAGGCTCTAATATTAATCCTTAAAAATGTATGTCAAGAACTGTAGGTTGGGGCGGCTGTGCCACAGGCAGAATGGATTGTCCATTGATCACAAAGCTGGTGGTTCAAACCCCGGGGCCTCCTGTCAACATGAAGCGCCCTTGAGCAAGACTGCCCAATGGGCTTGGAAGCTCTGCCGCCATTGTTGTGTGTGAATGGATAAATGTCTGATAAGGCAGAAATGTGCTATAGAAATGCAGTCCATTTTGTAAACAAAATCTTTGAATCTAACTGGACATTTGATGCCAGGTTTTGATAATTGGTGACCTATTTCAGTCAGTACCAAACACTGCTCTATTTGAAAAGTGTCCTGAGATAACTTCTGTTATGAATTGGCGCTATACAAATAAAATTGAATTGAATTGAATTGTATAGAGGTTGAACACGCAACACACATTAACAAGGTCAAACAAACTGCAGCATCACTGTTGGTGTTAAATGAGCCAACTCAAAGGTATCAGAGAAAGGCTAATCTGTTGAACAACAAAGACAGACTACACTTCAATAGAAGGACAGCAAAAATATATCATCTGCTGAAATAAATGAGTGCTTGGAAAAACAACAATGTACAGTCATAGTACATTTAACATAACATAATGTTATCAATATGGCTTTGCATAGATGTGGCTGTGTGTGGCTCCAAATGACAAGGCAGACAAAACTCTGGAAGACATTAGGAATGCACCCATCAGACATTTATTATTATAACACCATTTCAGTTACACTATGAATACTGAATATTGATCCCATAACTGTGCTCTTTTCTACAATTAAAATGTCTAGCTCACTTGTTGATTGCACATTGTATGCACAACACTTATTTAACTTAAGCTCTTATGCACTGAGGCAGTTGAAAGCCCTGTGACTGAATAATCTATTTTAAAAAGTTACTAACTACATTGTGTTTGTTATTTCATAAAAAACTGAGTACAATCATTAATTCCGGTTAAATGTATTCATTTATTGTAACTAAAGATTGGAAATAGATAGATTGTTTAATGTCTGTAATTACTTTGCTGATATACTCCAGACTTCATAGCAGTGATCAAACAGACTAAGGTTTTAATTTCACTACCCAAGTTATGTAAGATCTGTACATAGCAGTGGCTGAGTGGGCTGTCTGTGTTATCACTGCTTAACAGGACTCTCCCTAACAATCATTTCACACAAAATAAATCATTGCCTGTGCACACTGCTTCTACAGTAATAAGGGATCATTGGTTCCAATATCCTCTGGCCACTCAGAGAGCACAGACCTCCTCCAGTGCCAACAGTCTTATATGATATGCAAATCTGCAAGGGCAAGCACTATATATGTCTGTATTACAACTGACCTATCTTGCAATGTTAATGAAGGAGAAAAATAATCTGCGTATCCGTTCTGTAATTTAATGGTTTCTTCCTTGGCCCATGCTTCTCTCTACCACCAAGTTTCATGAAAACCTGGCCAGTAGTTTTTCCAGAATCCTGCTGTCAGACAAACAAACAAACAAACAAACAAACAAACAGCACCATTACCTTGACCTAACCCCTATAAGGAAACTACTGAATTAATGGGAAACACAGCTGACTTAACATGTCTGAGTCACAAGTACTACTCAGCCTGTGAGTCCATTTGCTACACAAAAACAATCCTTCTCTATCCTCACTTAACTTTTAATAGTATAATTTTAATGAGTTGTAACTTTAATCCAGCATGTTAGAAAGTGCTTTTTACTCCTTATAGTCAGCTGCTTCATTTGAGTGTTGAGAGTAAAGCACCCAAAGCATGCTGGTAGTATTTTCAGATTTCCCTGTAACGTTATTTACTATTTATTTATAATTTCAAGCCCTGAACAATATTATTGTAATATTCCAATAAGGAATTAGAGAGGACGATTGCATTACATTTGGTTTAATATTCCTTTTTGTATATGAAGTGATACCTGTAGACATACGTCGTATGGCATCAAGCAGATGGTTGTTTGTTTTACTGCACTTTCTTTTGTTGGCTCAGTTTGTTTGAGGGTCCAGGGTGTTAATCCTCATTAGAAGTAAAGTGCCAGCTGAACACTCATAACACAGCCACATCTGGAACACCTCTGCCAGCGCAGAAAAATCATACTAGTGTTTTATTGTTTTATTATCCATGGAGACTCACCAGTGTAATGGCCTGTTAATACAGAAAGCAAAGCCAATTTTTCATGCAATGAGATTATGTACAAAGTCAATACAATACGGCAAGTATTTAACTTTGAGTAATAATTTTCATCGTGGGGCTTTTGCAGTGTTGTATGGGGAAGGCCAGAGAGACAGAGCTGCTGCTGGACCACAGACAGCTGCTTGAGTCCAGGGAGAAGGAGGCAGAGCTGGAGCTCTGATATGGAGCTGTACCAGCAAGAGGAAAACTAGAGTTTATTTTTAAAACAATCAAAAAGTGGATTTATCTTCACTATCGTTTCTCAACTGGTCTGTTGCAAACCACAGAGGTGCCACCTCCACTTGTATCAGTCTGTGTGCAGCCATAGCTCTATGCATACTACTTCATATTTATACAGAGACTGGACAAAATGAACTAAGTTGGCATAGCCCCGACCGATCAAAACTCCATTCAGAAAACAAGCATTTTAAAATTTGCTTGTTGTCTTACGTATGAATTCACAGTTTTTACAAACCGCCATCATGATGTAGTAATTCAGTATCCTTTTAATTCATTTATAGCAATTAAATCACAACAAAATCTGTTTATTTTGGGCTAAAATGTATATTTCTGCAATAAACTGAATTACAGTTATTTTATGTAGGATTCTTGCAGTTTGGGAAAATTTACAGGCTCTTTGCTGAGGGTTTGAATTCCTTAAGCTGCTCTGTAAATTGAAATGCTGCTGAAGACCTTCACTTCTTGGTTTTTATTGGTTACTTGCTGCATTTTGTAGGTGGAGGTACAGTGTCCTTCTCCAGCATCTTTAGAGTCTGCCGGACTCCTTTCTCCACCCTACGGAAGTGCAGCCTCTTCCAGAGACTCTGCTGCTGCTGACGCCCCCACTCCAGATCACTGAGGAAAACCTGCACAGAGGAGAACTGGGTGACTGACACACACCTAAAAAAGGACCACCAAATCAACTCATACAGTTTACATATTACCTGTATTTGTTAACTTTGTAGGGAACTGCAGTGCAGAGTACTACAAAATACATGGGGACAAAAAGTAGATCTTAATATAAGACGAGGTGACAGAGTTATTAGTCTAGAGAATATCACAGCCTGCAACAGGTGATGCTCCACTGTCAGGTGTTATAACAGAGAATAACGGACTGTGACGTGTATTAAGAGAGTTTTACAACAACTCCTGAACTGTAGAAGTACCTGTGTTTACCCTTGTAATTCATGTCAAAGTGGCTGTGAAAAAGGTCTATCGGTGGCCATGATGATGATCATGATCTGATGAACAGAATGTTAGTTTTTCATCAAGTTTGTTTTCACTTTTCATTTATATTAAAAGGCATTATAATTTGTATGTCAAACTTGTACAGATACAAGGGTCTAAACACTCCTTTGTCTCTTGTGAGTCCCCCAACTTTAAGTGCAATATTAAATGACTGGAGTACATCACTTGGAGAACAAGTTTGCTAACCTCGTCTTTGACAAAAGCCTGGAAAATAATATTTAAATTTCTCTAGAACATAATTAACTCTTATGTTGGCCTAAATGAAAACAACTCAAACAAAAAAATGAAGTGAAATGCAATACATGCTCTCTGTATTTCCCTTTTATGTATGCGTTTAATGTGTCATAATACAGTTACACACACTAATTAGTAATATACAGGCTTCCTATACATTTTCCATTTCAAAATTCCATACTTTTCCAGACTCAAATTTCACAATAGCTGAGGGTTTATGATGTAAACAAATTGTTTTAAAATCCAACCGTTAACATTACATTCTACCTATGTATGCTATTATGTTGCCAAATAATTGCCAGAAGATTGTAGCTCAGTAATGTAGTTCATACAAATACATTTACACCAAACCCCGTCTGTGCAGCCTTGCTTATTCACTGTGTCCATGGAAATGCCAAAAAGATGAGTTTTCTGAACTTGGCTGAGCTGGCTGTTGGCTCCTAACACCATGAGAAACACTGTGCTTGTATGTTTTTAGAAATTCTGATTTTAGAAAACAGTATAGGGGCAATAGTCTGCAAACAAATTTTTTTTACATACTTATCCATACCTGGATATACCATATCACATACCACGTTGCCACGGCAATGCAGCGGAAATCATCCTTTGTGTTAACATTTGAACAATTTTTGAGGGGCTAAACATGCCTGATCCTCATGAAACGTTGCATAAAATTCAGTCGAGGCGAAGGCTAAGATATTGTCTTGGTCCTGCAAATGGGCGTTGCATAATGGCTTAGCCACGCAACCCCAGAATCAGCCCCCAAGACATGTAAGACTGACATGTACGAAAATTGGTAGGCATGTGTATCATGATGGGACAAGCAAAAAAAGCCTCTTGAACCCATAACCCAACAGGAAGATGGCCATTTTGACTTTCGTGTTCATTTTTGGCAAATTTTTTGCCTTGTATTTGAACGAACTAGGGAAACCTAGGGAATTTATCGAATCTACTTCAAAATTGGACAGTACAATCAAAAAATATTGCTAATTAAAAGTTGTGCTACTTGTGACTGTACGTTGAAGGGCGTGTCTGTGGCGTGCTGTCAAAGTTGGCCAGGTTGAATCGAATGTCAAACTGTGATGCCATTTCCGGCAAGTTCAGGGATTCTATTTGAACTAACTCCCCCTAGTGAATTGATCAGAACAACTTAAAAATTGGTGAATACAACGCAGAGAAGTTCAGAATGTTAGGTTATTAAAATCTTTACATTTGGTCAAACAGAGTGTCCGTGGCATGCCTTCAAAAATCAGTCTTGACATGACAATGGAAACCCTAACCCTACTGCAAAACCTAACTGCAGTACAGATTCTCCATTTGCACCCAAACTTCACAAGTTTGTTAAGAGCCCTGGCCTAAATGCATCTAAGTGCCAATATTCATGTTGCGGTCTGCACATGTTACACTTGCTCGTGATGCGGCCGCAGCACACCCCAAATTGCGTGGAGTGCGAGGGCCCGTTCATCGCTGCTTGCAGTTTTCATGTTTTAGTTGTTTTTTTGTCCTCTAAGTGTGTACCTTAAGCTGCTGCTTGACACGCTCGCGGTCCCAGGAGGAGGCATTCTCTCGAATCACACTGAGGATGGGGTGCCAGTCCTCAGATAAGTCTGAGCCTTCAGTGACTGAAGCCAGGACCCGGACCCGCTGGCCACTGTCCCCGTGGCTCTTGGGAACACCTCGGACGTACAGGGACTGCTTCCCCACATCGCTGAGAGGGTTCAGATACAAGCTACACAAACACACAGCACACTACAATAGCACAGCAACTTACTGAGAATGCAGTGACACTGTTTATAGAATACATGTGTAATAGCTAGCACACATTAAAGCTGCAGTAGATAACTTTTCTGGGTGTAGTGAGCTGCTTACTGCACAGTGTGAATGCTGGGGTGTTCCCTGCAGGCGTCCACCAGAGCCAGAGCAGCATTGTCTCCAATGTTGTTATAGGCCACGTTGAGCTCCTGGAGACCCGTGTGCTGCTGGAGCTTCTCAGCCAGCTCCAGGGCCCCCTGATCCCCCAGCCCAGTGTGCATCAGGGACAGATGTGCCAGGGACTGGTTCTCTGGCAGCATTTCAAGCAGGGTGCTGGCTCCAGACTCCAGCAGAGGGTTGTCACACAGTCTGGAGAACACATAGGAATAATAAGACATTTAATGAGACAGGTAAATGGTAAATGGACCTGTACTTGTATAGTGCCTTTCTAGTCTTCCTACCACTCAAAGTGCTTTTACACTACGTGCCACATTCACCCTTTCACACACATTCACTTAGTGATGGCAAAGTCCATCGAACAGAAACTTATGCATTCATACACATTCATACACTGATGCACAGCATCGGGAGCAATTCGGGGTTCAGTGTCTTGCTCAAGGATACTTTGACATGTGGCCAGGAGGAGCCGGGGATCGAACCAACAACCTTCCGATTAGTGGACCCGCTCTGCCTCTGAGGTGTGAGTTTAATAAAGCATGCCGGCATCCTGGTGAACTTACATACACAGAGCAGGTCTGAGTCGGTAAGCAGACCCACGGCAAATAAAATTAGGTACTTTTATACATAGACCAGTACACTAAACAGTATGTAAAAGGAAGCCATGGATCAGGCAGTCGGCAGACGTAGTATGATAAACATCAATATATTAATTCAGAACGCTGCAGCACGAGTACTGGTGGTGCCTGTTGCCATAGTCCTGCTTGACTCCCATTGCTAATATCACTGACATTATTGTTATTATTATTACTATTATTATTATTACTACAGTTACTATTATTACTATAATCACTGCTCATTGTCCCCCATTGTTGCTGTTGTTGTCGTCATCATCTTCTTCAGGTTCATCATCATCAGTCACTACTATTAGTGTAGTTGTTGCTACTGTTGTTGCTGTGCACCTCTCTCTCGCGCTCTCGTGGTCGTCTGTCTGGACCAGTTGGGGCGAGAGAGAGAAAGAGAGAGAGAGAGACACAGACAGACATACAGACAGACAGACAGAGGTGCAGCAGTGATTATAGTAATAATAGGGACTGTAGTAATAATAATATTGATAATAATAATAATAATATCAGTAATATTAGCAATGGCAGTCAAGCAGGACCATGGCAGGAGGCTCCACCAGGATCCATGAGAACCTGCGAGACAAGAAAGCACAAGAACTCCGGGGAAGAAGTGAAGGTAGTAACATGCATTAATGGGACATGTATGAGTGCAGAAAGAGAGGTAATATAAAACTGAGGGGAACATACTGTGTTTAATTAACTGTAATTTGAATATTCTAAATTAAAAGACAGCAGCACAGTGAAGAGAGGATTCCATTGTACACACAGACTACAACAACGTAAACACATGAATTAAAGTGTAGTCTTACTGTAGAGATCTAACAGAACTCTTGGGGTCTAGTAGCAGATCTCTCAGGAGGATGCAGGACTCAGGACCCAGGCTGTTAAACTGCAGACTGAGGACAACAGAGACAGGCAGACACAACAATCACAGCAAACACAACATTCACATGCAAGACAGGCATGGGAGTCACCCAAAGTTAATAAAAATACATGTAAAAGCTGCAGTAAAGAGGGCTATATTTAACACTGTAAAGTAACTTAGTAAAATGCTCTGATCATTTTAAATGAATATCGCTGGCATTATTCATTGTTCATATACAGTGTATATTTTTATTCCCATCCCATGACCCATTTATATCAATGAGGTTAGGCTAAATAACAGAAACACCTCTCTGTATAATGCAATACAGTTCAACAGCAGCATAGACTACATCCTCCAAAATGATCATAAAGTTGAATCAAAACGTCATCACCTAACCTATTGCAGGAGTGTTGGATCAGACTGACCCTGTATTAGCCAAATAAACTGGTAACTGAGTGTATTTTCACTGTAGTGCAGTGCTGGACTGATCCTGTCTTTGTTATATCTTAATATGAATAATTCTTTAATGAACTATTTGAAGTTAAGTAATCCAGTATTCTATTAACATGAGCTGATCAGTTAAACTCACAATTATTGTGCCTGCTCACAAGTTACTATGCAGCCATTACATGTACAAAGTACAATCAAGCAATAAACAGAAGTCACTAGTGTGGGGATGTCTCTCCGCAGTCCGTGCAGGTTGAGATCTTATGTAAACAAAGACACTAGTGTGACATGTAGGCTACCTACCTGTGCATCCCAGCTATAAACACCACATGGTACGCTACATCCAGGCTAGCAGAATCTTCTCGTCCTAAAAGGCTCAGAGTGACCATCAGGACTGACAGTCATCCAGGAAATTTACAGAATCATAGCTACCTCTGTAACTTCCTATCAACCAGTTGCAGTAAACAAAGTGGATCATTTATAGAAGTCCTGTCACACAGAACAGACATCCACCTTCTGGTCAACTGAAGAAGCCAATGGCAGAATAGCTGATGCCAATCTAGAAGCAATATTTAAGTGTTAAAACCTGCTGTCCAGGACACTAATGCGCACATCTCTGATTGTGACACCCCCCTAACTGCTGTCCTGGATGTGGCCAGACCCCTGGTAGAATGACAGATGACATCTGAGGGGTGAAATGTCCTTGAGATCTATGGAAGTGAACTACTCTCTCAAACTGATGATCTTAAGGGCGTTGATTGTATGAAGCATCCAAAATGAGGTCACCACCTCCTTAGGTCCAGTATAGGACAGAGTAAATAGTTTTCCTTTGGTATCCGAAAATATGTTGAGTAAAACCCATCATTCAGCATATGTGGCTGTACTACTCTGATGGCCTTTTTGTCCAGGAGTGTGGCTATCTCCTGAGACAAAAACTGGGCCTTCACCTGGCCTGTGACTAAGGTTCCCGTTGAGTGTTGTCGGGGCGCCCACCACTCTCAGCATGTGCCTTGAGATTTATTTGGGTGCTTTTGAGGGCACTGGTTATGCCGATGTCCCCACTGGGGTTGTGGGGCCAGAATTTGATCACGTCTGGGCTGACGCCAACTGCAGACAGTAACCTGGATGTGTTATGGTGATGTGAGTGCTGTGGGTCCTGTGCAACACTTTTCTTAGAGTGCTGGGCTGGGGAGTCTCATGCCCCTACCCTGATGACCCCAGGACTCTGAAGCATGGACTGATAGTTTTCTGTGCTCAAATGCAATCCAAGAAACAAACAACTCTAACCTTCAAGCTAGCTGTCTGTCTTTAACGTAACTTAACAAAATAGGCTAGGAAATCCAGATGGGAGCTGTGGACTACCCCTGCACAGAACTGGATCATCTTTCAACAGGAGTAAATCAATAAATAGCACAGCCAACAGTTTAAGACAGTCAGTGTAGCTGGGGAACAGCACTAACATATAGAATACATATCCACTTACTTTACTGTCACTAGCAGTAAGAGAGGAATGAAACAGAACATGTTTACTTTGTTATTCTAGGATCTTCACTGCAAACCACAACAGTAGTTATTGAGTTTGTCTCACTTGAGGTTATGTGTGTGTCTGAAGGCAGGCCGCAGCATCTGAATCATGCCATGAGTCAGGAGACAGGAGGACAGGTTCAGCTCTTCAAGGTGATAACTACAGGAAGACATCATAACACATTTAGCAAATATATATTAAGACTAAACATACTAATTCTTTGCATTTCATATACAGAGGTATTTGCCAACTCTAAATCTACTTCTAAAGGAAGTTTTTCCTTGCTGTCGTCGCCATGTGCTTTCTCATGTTGGGTACTGTTGGGTCTCTGTAAATAATGTTATAAGGAGTTCGGTCTAGACCTGCTCCATTTTGTAAAGTGTCCTGAGATAACTTCTGTTATGAATTGGCGCTATACAAATAAAATTGAATTGAATTGAATTAAATTTGCTATAACACAATTTAAAACTACACTATGCAATCTCATGTTAATGGTAATACGCAGCCACTTCCCAGAAATATTTTATGGACTTCAATACCTAGAAATTCTGTAAGCGTGTCAATACCGTTTGACCAACCACAGCTAAAAAATACAAAGAGCAGAGCTGTTTTCTACAATAATGTCTGCCTTATGTCAACAGTCCTGTAGCAAATTGCTGTCTACAAAGTCATGCTTTGAGCTAAATGCTATCATCAGTCAGTTAGTTTCAAATTGTTGTGTGCAGATGAGATTTAAAAGAAGGATATTCTTTTGGATCAAAATAAAAATATCATACACAACAGCAAATCAATAGAATCAAAACCCTACATAATAAACAGGTGCCAGTAAAAGCACAGCCCATAGCTTACCTTGCAGGGGCGCATGAGAGCACAGAACTCAGTACAAAGCATTTGAGTGGCGTCATACGAATGTTGCTGAGGCGGATGGATCTTATTGAGGCCAGAACTTCTGCAGTCAGTCTTGGGTTCTGAAACTCATACAGAAGGACCAGCAGATCCATCAGCTCCTCTGGTGGCTGTGGCTTGCTGAGCTCTAGCATCAAATAAGGTAAAAGATTTTCATTATCTCAACAGACTATTAAAATAAATACACCAAATTCCTCCACTCTTGGCTCAGGCAGGACTCCAAGATACCATTACTCCTGGTACACAATCTTGGGGCACAATTCCACCCATACCTTTTGTTTTGGATATGTTTTTTGTAAAATTCACACTTGTAACTTTCTTGTAATGGAAATGGAAATAGATTGAACTGAGCGCATTTCTAGCCTTTGGGTCACTCAAAGCACTTTATGTCACATTTACCCATTTACGCACATTCATTTATAGCACACTCGGTGAACTCGTGTGAGGGTAGCAATTGTTGCAGTAGGGGTAGAAAAGACTAGACTGATAAAAATCAATCACAAATCATACCTGTGAGAACACACAAAACTATATCTGTATCTGTCCAGTATCGGACTGGTCAGAGTTACCTACAAAGGTTGACACCTTTAATTACTCAAGCAAACATACTATCTAAGCAAGACTGAAAAGAAAATGAACTTACGTCTGACCAGGTGCTTCCTAAGGGCACGTGTGATTTGGGCCACAGTGGTGCTCTTAATGCTGCAGCCAAGTTGCTGGAGAAGTACACGGTTACCATAATGTAACAGTCCTCCCATGAAGATAGGGTAGAGCTCAAAAGGCTGGCCTTCACAGTACTGCTGTGGTTGTGGGCCATGGACTCCCAGGAGGCTTTGCTCCACCTGATCAAGGACATCCTCATTGTAGCTATCCTCTGTACGGAACATCTCAGCTGCCATGGTTCTGGCAATGCTGCCTTTGTTGCGACTGATGATTTTCTCATAGAGCTTTGGAAACAGCTTGAGGAGGTTAAATACGGCAAAGATTCTGAGGGGGATGAACTTAGAAAAGATGTTAACAAGGGCATTAACATCTTCACTTGCTGGACCAATGGCCACAGACACCTTCCTGGTCAGCTTCTCTAGAGCTGATTTATTCTCTCCTAGTACCACGTAGAGAGCCGCCAGGTACTCCTGCATGGCTGGGACGGCAAATACATACCGCATCTCATCATTCTCACTGGGTCCTTCTGGTAAATGCTTCCCACTTTCTACACAGGGAGCCAGGAAGAAGTCTAGCACGTCAGTCCGGAACATGGCCAGCTGACGTAGCTCCTCATCTGTCTTGGTCTTCCCTCCTATCCACTGCTCTAGTTCCTTTTCTGAGAAGGATGTGCGTTTGTATGTCACACCGTCAAATGCAAGTTTACCAACTGTACGGACTACATACAACATCAGAGAATTGTGGTGCTCCTGAATGGGCACATTTGTCCCTGTCCCTGTGCCCAGCACCTCACCCCCAAAGTTGAGCCTAAGGAAACTGGTGTATATGCCAGTCAGTGTGCGGATGGGTGCATTGGCGTCAGTGAAATGGAGGAAGTGTAAGGTAGCACACGTGAGCCAGCAGTATGAGGGGAGGAAGCATGCTGCGGCCAGCTGGCTTTCTCTCTGGAGGTTGAGGTAAAGCAGCTCTATAAGAGCCTGGGCATCATGGTTACATACAGTTTCCCCACTCTGCTGCAGGAGGCGGCCAGTAAAGTATGCCCGCTGGCGGGCTGGGTCATTAAAGCCACAGATCTGTGCATAGCGACTCACATACTTCTGAGGGATACGGTCCAGGGCAGACAGTCTGGTGGTAACCAAGATGGAGGCCTGGGAACCATACAAAAAAACAACATATTGCAAAGCCACCAATCACAAATACTGAAATGAACACACTTTAGGAATAAACAAGGATTCAAAAAATAAGTTTTTGACTTGAAATGTTTGTAAACTCCTAGGCTTGTTGAGCCTCAGTTATTTCTTTTTTATTTACAACCCCAATTCCAATGAAGTTGGGATGTTGTGTAAAACAGAATACAATGATTTGCAAATCCTTTTCAACCTATATTCAATTGAATACACTACAAAGACAATTTATTTAATGTTAAAACCGATAAACTTTATTGTTTTTTTTTTTCAAATATTCACTCACTTTGAATTTGATTTGCGCTTCATAATGGCCACACATTTTCAATGGGAGACAGGTCTGGACTGCAGGCAGGCTAGTACCCGCACTCTTTTACTACGAAGCCAGCCTGTTGTAACATGTGCAGAATGTGGCTTGGCATTGTCTTGCTGAAATAAGCAGGGAGGTCCCTGAAAAAGATGTTGCTTGGATGGCAGTATATGTTGCTCCAAAACCTGTATGTACCCTTAAGCATTAATGGTGCCTTCACAGATGTGCAAGTTACCCATGCCATGGGCACTGACACACCCCCATACCATCACAGATGCTGGCTTTGGAACTTTGCGCTGATAACAATCCAGATGGTCCTTTTCCTCTTTGGCCCGGAGGACACAACGTCCACAATTTCCAAAAACAATTTGAAATGTGGACTTGTAACTGACAATGGTTTTCTGAAGTGTTCCTGAGCCCATGTGGTAATATCCTTTACACATTGATGTCGGTGTCTAATGCAGTGAGGGATCAAAGGTCACAGGCATTCAATGTTGGTTTTCGGCCTTGCCGCTTACGTGCAGAGATTTCTCCAGATTCTCTGAATCTTTTGATGATATTATGGACCGTAGATGATGAAATCCCTAAATTCCTTGCAATTGTACATTGAGAAACGTTGTTCTTAAACTGTTGGGCTATTTGCTCACGCAGTTGTTCACAAAGTGGTGAACCTCACCCCATCCTTGCTTGTGAATGACTGAGCCTTTCGGGGATGCTCCTTTTATACCCAATCATGACACTCACCTGTTTCCAATTAACCTGTTCACCCGTGGAATGTTCCAAACAGGTGTTTTTTTGAGCATTCCTCAACTTTCCCAGTCTTTTGTTGCCCCTGTCCCAGCTTTTTTGGAACATGTTGCAGGCATCAAATTCAAAATGAGTGAATATTTGCAAAAAAACAACAAAGTTCATCAGTTTGAACATTAAAATATCTTGTCTTTGTAGTGTATTCAATTGAATATAGGTTGAAAAGGATTTGCAAATCATTGTATTCTGTTTTTATTTACGTTTTACACAACGTCCCAACTTCATTGGAAATGGGGTTGTACTTTCATTTATTTTTCTCGGGCAGGAACACAGCATCTCTATGAAGAACAAAATTAAGGCCAGTCCTTAATAAAAGCCAGGCAAGACAGAGATAGGGAAAATGTGCATTTCCATAGCACTTATTCCATCAGTACAACAACAGTCATGTCATACCCACCACTCTGCACACTGCAACACTTTCTTTTAAGCAAAAGTTCCGCTTTCATTTACAAATTAATTTCTTTGTTAAGCCAGTGTCAAGGAAACCCAGCACTTCCTGCAGATGCTATACATTAAAAGCAAGAAAAGTAGAAGGGGAGGATAATTGCCACCATTGCCCTTACCCCTATTATGGCTGGTTATTGATCCTCTGTCCTTTTATTTAGTATCAAACTAACAGAGTATCAAAAACTGTTGAGTGCTGAAAGGTGGCATCAAATACCTGATCAGATTTGTATACTTGTCTGTTTAAAATAAAAGCTTGGAGTTGAGTAAAATGTAGGCTGCAGCCACTATTATAGATCTCATGGTATTTATAACAGGGTACTGCACTCCACTCGATATTCCTAGTTTCCAGGATAGTAACTTTATTCGCATTCTCAGTTTAAGAAAGGGAATCTGACTGCAACTTGCAAGCCTTTACTGTAAAATATATTTGTCATTTATATCAAATTTTGTTTCTCTCTGGCTCCTTCTCTTTTTTGGGGGGACTTTTATTGCCTTAATTTGAGAGTTACAGCCAAAGATAGACAGGAAAGGGGGGCAGAGAGAGAGGGGATGACACGTAGCAAAGGGCCGCAGGTCGGATTCAAACCCTGGGCCGCTGCAGCAAGGAGGACTCAGCCTCGGTACATGGGACGCCAGCTCTACCAACTGACCTAAACAAGCGCCCCCCCTTCTAGTGCTTCTAATGGCATTTGCAAGAATTGAGTGCAAATGAAAACAACCTATCAGAGCCAAGATAGATGGAAAGACGCTTTGGGCTGATGGCTTGAAGGTAGTTGATTGTTGAGTCTCATTCCCAGCATCAATATCTGATGACTGGTTAATGAGACTCAACTATCAACTGTAAAAGTTTCAGCAAATATAACAAAAAAGTTATTTTTATAAAAGTTACCTACTGCAGCTTTTTAATTTTCAAAATTTTATAGAACATAGTAAATTTGTAAGGCCTTGCAACAAGACTTAGGAAATTGTTCTGCTCCTTAAGTAACCCTATGCATTACCAGCAATGGTCATGGCAGTATTTTGCACTTCAGAATGACAAATGCCCAAAAATAGATGACAGTGTAAAACAGTGCATTGATGTTGGCCTGTCCCTTACCTCAGGCAGGAGGTACTTCCTCAGCAGGTTCACCACCACTACACCTGGAACCAGCACCTCATTAGGGTCACTGCAGAGCTCTGTGGCTCCAATCCGGAAGTCCAGTTTCATCTTCTCCATCCCATTAAAGAGGAACAGCACATCTTTGGCCTGGTCTCCCTCCCCACTCAGCAGGGGGTGTTTTCTCAGGTGGAGGTACTTCCTGCTCACAAGGTCCCTTAAGGAAGCCGCCCTGTGTTGGAGGGGATTTGTCAATTTGTGCTGTTTATTACTCACAGCAGTTTGATGCAACAGTCTGTATAACTGACCATACCTATATTCAGCTAATCGAATTATTGTTGTAAACTCACTGATTTGAGCAAGATTCTGCACAAAGTGGCAAAATAGGAAATGTGGTTAGCTAAAACCACATTGATGCCAAAATAGTGTTTCTTCTTTTGTCCCAATCCAATTATATTTCCCATTTATATTTTCTGATGTTCTGTGCACACCCCCAGTACAGGTAGGTGAATCAAATCCAAGAAATACCTTTGCTCTAATGCCTCCTACACTATTCAGTTTACTGCCAAAGTATCAGTAATAGTTAATGATATAATATCTATGAATAGAAGGGTGTCACTGTGGACCAGTTGTTGCCTGAGTGGGTGAGATTAGGGTAAGTCACTCATTTGTTTTGCATTTACTCAATAGAGAGTCTTAGCCAACGCACTTTTCATTTATGGGATAGTTGCAGAAAGACAAAAAGTTTTTGTTGCACATACAATTAACATCACTGTGCTGTGGAAAAATTAGACTTGACACAAAAAAGATCGCTGCAAGTCCAGTTTGTGTCTGGTTATACGTAGTTTTATGTAGGCAATCTGAGTGAGTGAGCTAAGATATAATGAACATTTTTGAGGACAACATAGATTATTTCTAGGATATTTGGTCATTTTAATCCATTTCCAGGTGTTTCCATGACTGGAAAACCAGTCTCTAAATTTCCGGGTAGGTAGTACAAAGCCTGAGTTGTACAGTCTTATAAATTGAAGACGTCATTTTGACTATTTTTGTGACATTTTATATAATAAATGATGAATCCGTTAATTGAAATATACATTGATAATACAAATAAATATTTGCTGCAACCTTAATCAGATCTGATATGTATGTAACTTTATAATGTATTTGCTGAGTGAGAATGTGTTGATAGGCTCTGATGCTGGGGGAAATGGCTAATAAAACATGATTCCAAATTCAGCATATCACATATACAGCATATGACATAAGACAACTGTGTAACTGAGTAAGAGAAAGATATTTTACTTTGACAGTTGGCCAAGGTCCTCACAAGAGAAAGGAACCAGTAGTTTGAAGTGGGTCAGGGTGTTCCCAGCGCACCAATCCAGCACCAGCTTTCGTACCATTGTACTCTTTCCTGTTCCCACGGCACCGTACAGCAGTACATTGAGCCCCCGACCTGCACTCCAGCCATCGGTGGGTTCAAACAGCTGTTCCACAGTCACAGAGGGGCTGAAGGGGGTCTGGGTTTGGAGAGGGGAGCTGAGCAGTCCTGCACTCTCCTCGAACTTTCTTTCCAAGATCAGAGGATCCACATGCATGGTCTCTGGGCTGAAGCAACCACCAAACTGTTTCTCCTCCTGAGGAAGGTGGCTGAACCACAGGAAGAGCTTCTTCTTGTGGATCTCTAAAGGATTTACTATAAACAAAGAAAGGGGATATTTTTAGAATTTGAGTGTATGTATCCAGCTTTCTTTCTCACCTATCTACATTTTCCCTGACATGATAAAAGAGTTGAAACAGATATCTATCAACGTTGAATTTGGAGCACTTGTGAAAAACGGATTCAAACAGAAAGCTCTAAATCGAAGCAGCAGAGACTGAGATATTCTGACTTCTAGTCCCTAATATTGGTCAAGTTTCAAAACACTGGATCCTACATTTCCCATTATGCAATCCTGCTTGGTAAACGCCCACATCTTTCAAACTCCACACCCCCAGTTTGTAACGTAGGCTTTCTGTCACAACTTTAAATCAAAAGCTCCCCCAGAACCGCATACATCATAGAGTTGTTCCCACAGAATGAGTGGTACTTCTAGAGATTACTAAACTAACTTTGACATATGAAACTGTAGGAGTGCTCCTTCAAAAACTTTGTTCACAGGAGACCTTTTGGAAATCAGTTTAAACTGAGTTGCCCATTCAGTGTTCCCACTCTTTTTAAGAAATCTTTCCAGGACGACACTTGCTCACACAGTAAATTTAGCCTGGCCCACACCAGTAACTAAAAGTCAGGATATCTTGTCCACTGCTGCACACATTTTGACCACTCTTTTTAAATCTATCTCTCACTATTTCACAAACTATGGAAATGGAATACAAATTGCTGGATGAACAACGTTACTACAACTGCTACCACTAATATTTCATACATACACTATGGTCACTAACTACTTCAGTGATTGTCAAATAGCAATAAAGCAACAAACTGAGTTGGGCACCTGGTTCTGAAGTGGTGGAGCAGTATGTGCTGCAGTGAAAGCCAGGGGCTGGGTAGAGAGACACCTCCACCCTCCTCCTCCACCTCCATACTCGGAGCAGCTGACTCAGCTGTCTGCAAAGCACAACACAGGCTGGTTCAGTTGACATTGTTCAATCTTTACAGGACGTAAAACCACAGAGACAGCCTATAAAGGTCACTCCAATCCCACAGTCAACACCTCACCGTCCTCACAATGTGGTTTATTCGAACTGATCCAAGATCTGCATCACATGGCGGTTTAATGGCAGAGAAGAGCTGCTATCAGGCTGTTTGCAGGTTGTAGCAGGTATACCGACATACCTCCAAGGCACTGACATTCATGCAAGCACACAAATGTACGCCCAGTAACTCAACTTAGCCTTTTCTAATGCTGCTCCATATTAATAAAATATGAAGCAATATGATGATGGGCTCTTTCCAAGAAGGCACCAGGCATTTCTTAAGAAAATAAAATGAAGCTCATATAGGCTGTAATTTACTAAATCTTATTAGGCAAAACAATTCAATTCAATTCAGTTTTATTTGTATAGCACCAATTCATAACAGAAGTTATCTCAGGACACTTTTCAAATAGAACAGGTCTAGACCAAACTCCTTATAAAATTATTTACAGAGACCCAACAGTACCACCATGAGCAAGCACTTGGTAAGGTAAGGTAAGGCAAGATAAGGTAATTACTTGGCGACAAGGGCAAGGAAAAAGCAGTGACTTTTCAACATGACAAAGTTAAATAAATTAACAATTTAAGTTCTCATAACAAACTAAAAACAGAGATATCCAGATACCTGGTTTCAAAAATTCAAATCCCCACATTCACTTCTTACATAACTTTCTAATGTTTTGGTTTTAAATCATTTCTTAATGAACCCATATTTTTACTTTCTTTCAATTCAATGTCAAAATCATTCCATAATTTTACTCCATACACTGACACATTTTTACTTTTCATATTAGTTCTTGTCCATTTCCTTTCAAAAATGAAATTTCTCCTCAGTGGATAAATGCTTGTCCTCTTTGTGAATAACCCTTGGATACAGTCTGGAAGTGTTTTACAATGTGCTCCATACATTAACTGTAATGTTTTAAAGTTAACCAAACCTGTAAACTTCAAATTTTGAGAGTGCACGAATAACATATTGGTGGGGAGAGTATATTCAACCTTGTTACCTGTCTTATAGCTCTTTTTTGCAACAAAAAAATGCAATTTGTATTAGTTTTGTAAGTATTTCCCCATATCTCGATACAGTATTTAATGTAAGGAAGAATGAGTGAGGAATACAAAATTAATAATGATTTATGTCCTTAGTTTTATAGAGTATTGCAATAGATTTTGATATTTTAGATTTAATGTAGTTTATGTGGGGTTTCCAGTTTAATTTATGGTCTATCATTACACCCAGGAATTTGTTTTCATACACTCTCTCTATTTCTACCTTGTCAATCCTGAGTTTAACCTCATTGTTGATTTTTTTATTTCCAAACACTATGAATTTTGTCTTACTTAAATTCAATGACAGTTTGTTCACATCAAACCATTTTTTCAAATTATACAATTCACTTTCGACTTTATCTAAAAGCTCATTCAGATCTTTATGTGAACAAAACAAATTAGTGTCATCAGCAAAAAGAACTGACCCTTGGGGTACCCCCAAGCCAGGAATATGCTACACCTCTAATTTTCCAGCTTACTCATTAATATTTTGTGATCTATTGTATCAATAAAGGTTGATAAATACCCTCACTGTGTACTCTTTGTTGTCTATTGATGAAGACATTTTTTCAACCAGTTCCATTATAGCCAGTGTGGTTGATCTATTGGCTCGAAATCCATGCTGTTGCTCACTTAATACATTGTATTTTTCAACAAAATTATCAAGTCTTTTTACAAATATCTTTTCTAAAATCTTAGAAAATTGAGGAAGTAAAGAAACTGGTCTGTAGTTGGAAAACAAATGTTTATCTCCATTTTTATAAAGAGGAATAACTTTTGCTATCTTCATTTTATCTGGATAGATGCCTGTTAAGAATGTTTGATTGCATATATGTGTAAGGGGTTTGACAGTAAATTCGATAGTGTTCTTTACTATTGACATATCAATGGCATTATAATCCGTAGACTTTTTATTTTTAAATTCCTTTACAATGTCCAAAATTTCATTTTCATTTACTCCATTTAAAAACATAGAATTCATTTTTTTTATTACATCTATTAATGCCTTCGATGTCACTCGGCTCTTTGATCTCATTAGCTAATTTAGGTCCCACATTTACAAAATATTCATTGAATTCATCAGCTATCTCTTTTTTATTATTTGTAGTTGCATCATGTTTTTTAGTGAAGTAAGAAGGATAGTCTTTGTTCTTACCACCTTTTCTAATTAGGCTATTAATTATCTTCCATGTTCCTTGAACTTGTAACTTGCATATCTGCTGGGTAGCTCAGTATCTGTTCACCGTGTGGATTAGTACAGCTGTGATCAGAAGAAGACACCGTACTGTGTATAAATTCAGCAGCGGAGGTCATTAGTTTGGTAGGATTGTAGCTTTGATTAGCACACAGCAGCTCTGTGATGTCACTGTGTTACTATAGTTACTGAGTCTGTTGGACTTTATGTTGTAATATGAGGGACAGTGTGATCGTTAACCCTCGTTAGAAGCTACCAAAATACCGGGAGTGAGTTATAATGATTATTTTCTGTTTGTGTAACTTGCTAACGTGCTAACCAGCTGGGGCTAGCTGCGTTGTTTTCCGTGTGTGTGTGTTACGGTGTGTAAATGAACTTGATCTACGTGCACCGGAGTTAACGAAAGAGCTACTGTGAGAGAGAAATAGTCAAACTGCAGGGATTCATTAGTTTAGTAATATTGTGTAACTATGTGCTCACTAGGCTGTTTTGTGGAGTCAAACACTGTTTTATTATTTTATTTTATAACTTAGGACTACTTTGAGCCACAATGAGCTGTTGTACTTGCACTGCATTTATATATATATATATATATATATATATATATATATATATATATATATATATATATGCTGCCTTACAAGTAACTCAGGTTTTTTTTTTTTTTTTTTAACAGGTGACCTGATGAAGCTCAGGTGTTCCTGGACCCATCAGAGGACAGAGACAGCTGCTGCATCAGAACAGCCTGAAGGACACGATCTGCACGGTTTACATTAAAGTTATGGTTTTGTTACTTGCAACATGTGTAACTGGAATATGAATGAAAAATAAAGTGTTTTACTTTTAAGAAGAGTTTTGGTCATTTTTAAATTCAATTCAATTTTATTTGTATAACGCCAATTCATAACAGAAGTTATCTCAGGACACTTTTCAAATAGAGCAGGTCTAGACCGAACTCTTTATAACATTATTTACAGAGACCCAACAGTACCACCATGAGCAAGCACTTGGCGACAAGGGCAAGGAAAAACTGCCTGTTAAAAGGCAGAAACCTAGGACAGATCCTTCGGCTCTAGGTGGGTGGTCGTCTGTCTCGACCAGTTGGGGTGAGAGAGAGAGAGAAAGAGAGACAGACAGACAGGTGCACAGCAACAACAGTATTGGCAATGGCAATCTAGCAGGACCATGGCAGGAGGCTCCACCAGGATCGATAAGAACCTGCGAGACGAGAAAGCACAAGAACTCCGAGGAAGAAGTGAAGTTAGTAACATGCATTAATGGGACATGAATGAGTGCAGAAAGAGAGAGGAAGAGAGGAGCTCAGTGCACCATGGGAAATCCCCTGATAGTCTAGGCCTATAGCAGCATAACTAAGGGATGGTTCAGGACTCACCTGATCCAGCCCTAACTATAAGCTTCATCAAAGAGGAATGTCTTAAGCCTACTCTTGAATGTGGTGAGGGTGTCTGCCTCCCGAACCACAACTGGAAGCTGGTTCCACAGGAGAGGAGCTTGGTAACTGAAGGCTCTGGCTCCTGTTCTACTTTTTGACTATAGGAACCACAAGTAGCCCAGCATTCAGAGAACGTAGTGTTCTAGTGGGGTAATAGGGTACTATGAGCTCTTTAAGATATGAAGGGGCCTGACCATGAAGAGCTTTGTAGGTGAGGAGGAGGATTTTCAATTCTATTCTAAATTTTACAGGGAGCCAGTGCAGAGAAGCTAGTACAGGAGAGATGTGATCTCTTTTTCTAGTTCCTGTCAGTACTCGTGCTGCAGCGTTCTGAATTAATTGGAGCGTTTTAATGGACTTATTGGGGCAACCTGATAATAAAGAGTTGCAGTAATCCAGCCTTGAAGTAACAAATGCATGGATTAGTTTTTTTGCATCTGTCTGTGATAGTATGTGTCTAATTTTTGTAATATTACGTAAATGAAAGAAGGCAGTCCTAGAGGTCCTGGAGATAACTCCAAGATTCCTGACAGTGGTGCTAGAGGCCAAGGTAATGCCATCTAGAGTAACTATATCTTTAGACAGTGAGTCTCTAAGGTTTTTGGGGCCAAGAACAAGAATTTCGTTTTTTTCTGAGTTTAACATCAGAAAATTGCAGCTCATCCAGGATTTTATGTGCTTAAGACATGTTTGTAATTTAGATCGGGCTTGATCGATAGGTATAACTGCGTATGATCTGCATAACAGTGAAAGTGATTCCTAATAATGTTGCCTAAAAGGAGCATATATAAAGTAAATAGTATTGGTCCAAGTACAGAACCTTGTGGAACTTCATGACTAACTGTAGTATTTATTGAAGATTCATCGTTAACATGTACAAACTGCGAACGATCTGATAAGTATGACTTAAAACAGCTTAGTGCGGTTCCTTTAATGCCAATTTGATGCTCAAGTCTCTGTAAAAGAATATTATGGTCAATGGTGTCAAATGCAGCACTAAGATCTAATTCTACAAGTACAGAGAAGTCCATTGTCTGAAGCAATCACAAGGTCATTATTAACTTTAACCAGAGCTGTCTCTGTGCTATGATGAACTCTAAATCCTGACTGAAAATCCTCAAATAAACTACTGTTATGTAGAAAGTCACACAACTCTTTGGCGACTACTTTCTCCAGAATCTTAGAGAGGAAGGGGAGGTTATAGATTGGTCTATAGTTGGCTAAAACCCCTGGGTCAAGAGTGGGCTTTTTAAGAAGGGGTTTAATTACAGCTACTTTAAAGGACTGTGGTACATATCCTGATAATAAAGAAAGATTAATCATATCCAGTAAAGAAGTGCCAATTAAGGGAACAACTTCTTTAAGCAGCCTAGTTGGGATCGGGTCTAATAGACAGGTCGATGGCTTCGATGAAGAAATGATTCAAGTTAACTGATGAAGATCGATAGCAGAAAAACAGCCCAAATATATATCTGAGTTTAAATTGGTAAAAGTCCCTGAACTTGGAGAGCTACTGATAACTGTTGATGGCAGCTGATGATTAATTTTCTCTCTAATAGTAATAATTTTATTATAAAAGAAGCTCATGAAGTCATTGCTACTTAAGGTTATGGGGATATGTGGCTCAATAGAGTTGTGACTCTCTGTCAGCCTGGCTACAGTGCTGAGGAGGAACCTAGGGTTGTTCTTATTTTCTTCTATTAGTGCTGAGTAATAGGCTCCTCTGGCATTACGGAGGGCCTTTCTATAAGTTTTAAGATTATCTTGGCAAATTGAGCGATATTCTGATACTTTGGAAGAGCGCCATTTCCTTTCAGATTTTTGAGCTATTTGCTTTAACTGGCGGGTTTGATGGTTGTACCACGGTGCTAGTCTCCTATGTTTTAATAATTTCCTTTTTGTAGGAGCGATAGAGTCTAATGTTGATCGTAGTGAGCCTGTAGCACTATCGACAAGATTATCAATTTCAGAGGGACTAAAGTTGTTATAGGACTTTGTTAAATTCAGACATGGCATTGAATTAAACACTGAAGGAATCTCCTCCTTAAATTTAGCTACAGCACTGTCAGATAGACATCTGCTGTAGGAAGTTTTGCCTAATGGCTTATAATCTAATAGTATGAATTCAAAAGTTATTAAATAATAGTCAGATAGGAAAGGATTATGTGGGAAGACTATTAAATGTTCAATATCAATGCCATATGATAGAACAAGGTCAAGAGTGTGATTAAAACAATCAGTTGGTTTATTTACACTCTGACAGAAGCCAATTGAGTCTATTAATGATATGCATTACTAAGGCTGTCATTGTTATTATCCACATGAATATTAAAATCACCTACAATAATTACTATAATAATAATAATAATAATAATAATAATTCAGTAATAAGTGTGGTTTTATATAAATAACATGTTTTTTCACAGAGGTTTTATGATGATTTCCTGGATGTACAAAAGTTGAAAACCTGGTTTCGTGTAACATCTATTAATATGAAAATGTGAAATTTAAACCTATAACACAATACATTACTGTCTCACATTCAAACTTTATTATGTTGGAAGATAAATGACATCACAATATATAATATAAATGATAGAATATTCAGTATATATACAGTATTTTTACTGGGGTTCAAACTAAATTGCAGCTTTTACACATATCTGAAGGTTAACTTTGGTAATAATACTTTCAAGTTAAAATATCAGACTATGAAATATGGATACAGTACAGTACAGTTGGTTACTTAGCAGTTTTTCAACCACATAAACAAGTTACTTTATTAGATGAGTAATTCCTTCAGTTATGTTGACATGTTATACAGGATAAAGTATTCCAGGCATATAATATGTTTAACTTCACTAGGCTGTGTAGACTGTGGGTCACTGCTCACTACTGTACCTGTAAAGACAAGCATAAAACACTGTGTTGGTTTTCATAATTAAGGTATAAACACTAACATTATGTGATAGATAGAGGTTTTATATATATATATATATATACCTGAGGAACACGTCACAGAAAGCTGTAATCCTGATTGTTGATGTTGTTCATTTCTCCATTTCTCCGTGATTTCACGTCAGGCTCCCGCTCTAACATGTCCGGTGGTGAAGTTTTTGGTTTAGAAGCAGTTATTGAATTAATATGGATGGTAGAAATGCAGCTCAGTAGCAGTGAGGATCTACCTGCCGGCAACGCCGAGGCGGAAATGGGAGGGGCCGGAGCATCATCTGCGTCATAATGCCGACCAATCAGAGCAGACTGGGCTTTTCGGGAGGGGGGCCTTAAAGAGACGGGAGCTAAAACCGATCGATTCAGACAGAGGCTGAAAAGAGGTGCTCAGCTATAGGCAGTATAAGAAAAATAATGTGTTTTTTGAACATTAAAACATCTAAACCTATTGTAGTAGAGCCACCAAATACAATTATGAACCTGAAAAGGAGCATAATATGTCTCCTTTTAACTAAACGTGCATGATAGACCTGCAAGATTAGTTAATCGCTGTCTACTATTATTTTTATAATTGATCCTTTTAACTATGACTGTAACCTGAATATCTTTGGGTAGAGGACAAAACAGGAAATCTTTTATGGTCAAAATAACTAATGGATTACTTAAGAAAATGATCGTCAGATTAATCGACAATAAAAATAAACATTGGTTCCAAATGTACAAGTCATGATTTTTCTCTAAAAATCTTAGAGTAAAGAGCATGCTGCATTAAAACTACTCCGGCAAGTGCTCATTATTACCCACCTCTGTTCACCACACCAAACATCAAGTGTGGTCAGCAGTGTGGTGCGCTGCACCTGTGACCCAAAAACATTGCCACATGACACATATGATCGCACATATCTAAGGAACTCTAAGCTGCTAGGACAAAAACAGCTCTGTGAGCCTAGTAGGGCTGTTATTGAAAGATTAGCTAAAAATATTCCTGTCATGACAGACAAGTTACTGCATGTACACACACTCTGTCACAGGAACAGTGACCAACCCAGAGTTACATTACTATGTAGCAGTGTGTCAGGCAAAGCAGACGGACAGAATTATGGGAAATGGAAGAAATGTAGGGTGCAATGTAAATGGTAAATGGACCTGTACTTGTATGCGCCTTTGTAGTCTTCCGACCACTCAAAGCGCTTTCACACACATTCAGTCAAAGTCCATCGAACAGTAATTAATTCATGCACAGCATCAGGATGCAATTCGGGGTTCGCTATTTTGCTCAAGGATACTTGGACACGTGGCGGGAGGAGCCGTTGATTGAGCCAACAACCTTCTGATTAGTGGACGACCCGCTCTGCCTCTGAGCCACAGCCGCCCAATGTATGTATTACCTCCTTTTGTCTCTGACAACTACAAGCGTAGCTACCCCATATTGTATCTCATCAGACTGTGAGAAAAGGTCAGCAGAAAATGCATCCCACAACCACATCATTTGGAACACAGGTGACTTTTGAGCCTCACCATCATAACCATAACAGTTTATCACCAACCTGTGCAGTGAGCTCATCTTTCTGTTCTGCTGCCTCTTTAACGGCGGGGCGGGCGTTCTGTGAAAAACATGCAAAATCAGACAACTTGTGCAAAAAAGAACTTCACAGTAGAGTTTCTGACAGCTTGTAGCTCTATGGAACAAGGTGTTGATTGATGAGTGGTTTGCAGTTTTGTTTGTATCTCATGCATGCACATGGGGATGCAAATGAATGTGCAAGAGATGAGATGATGCACATACCTGCTCAAGGTCTACTGAACGACGAAAGGAGCATCCTTCTATCCTCTTGTCTAAAGTATGCTTCTAATTTGTTAGCAAATCCATTTAGTCAACCAATATGGGCTTTTCAATGGCTGATGCGGATATTTAGTCAACTATGAATTATGTATGATTGTTTTTTAATGAATAATAATAATCACATAATAAAGAGAGAATTGTTTAAAAAGTTCAAAAAAGGAAAACTCATCTCTGACGCAACATTCACAAGAAATACGTTTTATACAGATTTCCTGCAAGTTATTGTGTTCACTACTTGGGTTTATTGTCAGTAGTCGACTTAACCATTAATCGAAAAGAGTCTTAGTCGACCCTTTTAATTAGTTGGATAGTCGCAAAAACAATGTTAACATTAAAGGGGAATTTGGCAACTATTTCAACTTAATAAACCCGTTTAGAAATCATTTGGATGGTTAAATGGCCTGTTCCGGTGTTAATGGTGACGTTCCCTGCTCCCCCTAGCGTCCCCAGGCGGAAACCAACCTTGCAACTTTGGGACTACCGTTCCGTTAAGTTGGAAATAGGAAGTATCGTGAGAAGCGAGAAACACAAACTGCTTTACGGCAATTCCACATAAACACACACGCCCCCCTCAATACCGGTTAGCCACGCTGGCTATAAGAACAAGCGACGATGAATGTATTACCCACCTCGGTAGACATTGCTCCACACGAAAAAGTTGCCCGGCAACAAATGCACATTAGCAGTGGTAGAAAGGGGCAGGAGGGTGCCGCAAGTGAGTTTTTTTACGACAGTGTTTTGAAATATACGTCCCAGAGCTATAGGGGGAGCTCGTTGAGAACATGCGACGACAAAAGTGAAAACCAGCGAAGAAATGGCTAGAGTTGCCAAGTTCCCCTTTAACGCCATTTCTGTTGTCATTTAACAGCTGTTACAATATATCACTTTAAATATTTAAATTAATATCTGAAACGTGCAACAATTGGTCGACTAACATGAAATATCCATCAAATATGTCACTTAGTCAGGGGTCATCAGTTTATTCAGTGACAGAAAACTCCTTTAGGGGAAAAGGTTGGCAACCACTGATTTAGTCCCAAATGGGGTTCCCAAACCTCTTCATGTCAGGGACCCCCATAATAGACGCACATTAGACCATAAAGCCCCAGTTTGAGAGGATTTTGTCTTAAGGAATTTCCTTTATATTTTTTAGGTTAGTGTTAGTGGTTAGAGGTTAGAGTTCTTGCTTTTTTTGACAAATAATTTTCCAGACATCTGCAGGAGTTTTTCTTGACAATACAAGACAGCACTTTGTAGTACAGTAATAATAGATTAGTTGGTTATGTTAATCTTTTAGAAAGTTAAAGTGTTCATTGCACACAGTGTACAATTGACACCACTGTATATTTATTTATCAACTGCGGCAATGAGAAATGTGATGCTGTATTGTAGATATGAGAATTTTGCTCATACCTCGGGAAAAATTGTACTTGATGCTGGAAAAATCACTGCAAGTCAATTCCACACTGCATCTGGTAAAGCAGTTTCAAGTGTGTACTGTACATCTTATCCTACCAACTGTCGACTTTCAAACTAAATAATTAAATTAAATTAAATGTTATTTGTATAGTGCCAATTCATAACAGAAGTTATCTCAGGACACTTTTCAAATTGAGCAGGTCTAGACCGAACTCCTAATTACATTTACAGAGACCCAACAGTACTACCATGAGCAATACGCCATTAAGTTTACATAGGCAACCTGAGGGGCACATATACAAATAAATTCACAGGTGTTTGCACGACTGGAAAACTAGTCTTTAAATGTCCAGTTTTGCCAGGCTTTCCAGAATCCTGGGAACCCTGAACTAGGATCACTATACATTACAATCAATCAAAATCAGATTTGTAAATGTGTAAATTAATCTGTAAATATGTACTGAGATTTGTGAATGTGTGCATTTGCAAATCTGCCACGGCAGAAGTGTAACAACAGTCATGTGTAAAACGACAGCCAACTGAGAGTCCCGCCTAAGTTTTAACTGATGAATTGTCTGTTTCTAAATGCAAACCCAAAACGCTTCCCTTTGGTCCAATACCATTAGTTTAACGTTATATGTTATACGTGCATATTCCGTTCCGTGAATATAGCGAAATATGTTAGTGCAGTCAACCAGAGTAACGTTAACGTTAGCCTGCCAGCTAGCGTACATATGTCAGTGTCAGAGTTTGAACTAGCTACAGTGAACAGTTAATTAATATTCATGCAAACTAAAAATGAAACCTCATGTCATGGAAAATAAAACTACCGTTACATACCGAAGATATATCGTCCTGTGTCCTTCTCTCCCACTGAGGTTGACTTATTTACGTTCATTCATTCTGTGACTTCCATTATCGTTGTCTCGACCTGTACTAACGTTAATGTCAACAGTGTCTCAAATGTTCCCTATGTTCCATTCACAGTTCCGCTACCGTTTAGGGCGACCGGAAGTACTATTTCAGAATAAAAGAGTGGTATTCTTCTTCTAATGAATTTCCGGAAAGCTGTACACTAAAAGCGTAATGCTGCCCTCAACAGATTCTCAAACCTTTTTTTAATAAGATACACCCTTTTAAACTGACCAGCGCACAATAGGGGCGGATCTAGAAGTGGTGACCACCCCAGCTGCCACCCCAGTTTGGTGTCAAATTTAACACATTAGATTAATTATAATTATTTATTTATTGAATTTATTAAATTTGTTACAAACAAATCCCAGCATATATTTCTGCCACCCCGTTGATTCTCCTGATATATTTTAAATTAACATTTAAAGATGTTAAAAAAAACCCTGCAGTACTCCAAAGTAACCCGAATTAGAGAAACAATGCTCTATACAGTCCTATTGGGTGGAGAATTTTTAGGATTACTCTACCAATAGGTTTGAAATTCATTTCAAAATGAAAAAGTAGAAGAGAAAGTTAAAAAGGTCAGATCTGACAACTCACTGAAGACGTTGCCTTTCACTTCTGCATTTGTTTAATGACAGCATGGCATGATTAATCTCTCTTGTTTTGCTTTGACAAAGTGGCAGAACTCTCCAAACTTCCCCCACAATTTCAACATTTTGGAGTTGTGATGATCTTTGCACACTGTATGCCCATTTGGTGCCCTAGGCGAGATTACCCTCCCCCCTCCCTCCCAATTTATATAAAAACTATTCTAAATTAAAATACAGATACTTTTAGGAAAAGTCAGGTAACAGCAGTATGAAGTGAAGTTAGTAACATGCATTAATGGAACATGAATGACTGCAGAAAGAGAGAGGAAGAGAGGAGCTCAGTGCACCATGGGAAATCCCCCGACAGTCTAGACCTATAGCAGCATAACTAAGAGATGGTTCAGGACTCACCTGATCCAGCCCTAACTATAAGCTTTATCAAAGAGGAATGTCTTAAGCCTACTCTTGAATGTGGAGAGGGTGTCTGCCTCCCGAACTGGAAGCTGGTTCCACAGGAGAGGAGCTTGGTAACTGAAGGCTCTGGCTCCTGTTCTACTTTTAGAGACTATAGGAGCCACAAGTAGCCCAGCATTCAGAGAACGTAGTGTTCTAGTAGGGTAATAGGGTACTATGAGCTCTTTAAGATATGAAGGGGCCTGACCATGAAGAGCTTTATAGGTGAGGAGGAGGATTTTCAATTCTATTCTAAATTTTACAGGGAGCCAATGCAGAGAAACTAGTACAGGAGAGATGTGATCTCTTTTTCTAGTTCCTGTCAGTACTCGTGCTGCAGCGTTCTGAATTAATTGGAGTGTTTTAATGGACTTATTGGGGCAACCTGATAATAAAGAGTTGCAGTAATCCAGCCTTGAAGTAACAAATGCATGGATTAGTTTTTCTGCATCTGTCTGTGATAGAATGTGTCTAATTTTTGTAATATTACGTAAATGAAAGAAGGCAGTCCTAGAGGTTTGCTTCATGTGGGAGTTAAAAGACAAATCCTGATCAAAGATAACTCCAAGATTCCTGACAGTGGTGCTAGAGGCCAAGGTAATGCCATCTAGGGTAACTATATCTTTAGACAGTGAGTCTCTAAGGTTTTTGGGGCCAAGAACAAGAATTTCGTTTTTTTCTGAGTTTAACATCAGAAAATTGCAGCTCATCCAGGATTTTATGTCCTTAAGACATGTTTGTAATTTAGATCGGGCTTGATCGATAGGTATAACTGTGTATCATCTGCATAACAGTGAAAGTTAATGGAGTGATTCCTAATAATGTTGCCTAAAAGGAGCATATATAAAGTAAATAGTATTGGTCCAAGTACAGAACCTTGTGGAACTCCATGACTAACTGTAGTATTTATTGAAGATTCATCGTTAACATGTACAAACTGCGAACGATCTGATAAGTATGACTTAAACCAGCTTAGTGCGGTTCCTTTAATGCCAATTTGATGCTCAAGTCTCTGTCAAAGAATATTATGGTCAATGGTGTCAAATGCAGCACTAAGATCTAATTCTACAAGTACAAGTCCATTGTCTGAAGCAATCACAAGGTCATTATTAACTTTAACCAGAGCTGTCTCTGTGCTATGATGAAATCTAAATCCTGACTGAAAATCCTCAAATAAACTATTGTTATGTAGAAAGTCACACAACTCTTTGGCGACTACTTTCTCCAGAATCTTAGAGAGGAAGGGGAGGTTAGAGATTGTTCTATAGTTGGCTAAAACCCCTGGATCAAGAGTGGGCTTTTTAAGAAGGGGTTTAATTACAGCTATTTTAAAGGACTGTGGTACATATCCTGATAATAAAGAAAGATTAATCATATCCAGTAAAGAAGTGCCAATTAAGGGAACAACTTCTTTAAGCAGTCTAGTTGGGATCGGGTCTAATAGACAGGTTGATGGCTTCGATGAAGAAATTATTGAAGTTAACTGATGATCGATAGCGGGAAAACAGTCTAAATATATATCTAAGTTTACATTAGCAAAAGTCCCTGAACTTGGAGAGCCGCTGATAACTGTTGATGGCAGTTGGTGATTAATTTTCTCTCTAATAGTAATAATTTTATTATAGAAGAAGCTCATAAAGTCGTTGCTACTTAAGTTTATGGGGATATGTGGCTCAATAAAGCTGTGGCTCTCTGTCAGCCTGGCTACAGTGCTGAAGAGGAACCTAGGGTTATTCTTATTTTCTTCTATTAGTGCTGAGTAATAGGCTCCTCTGGCATTACGAGGGCCTTTCTATAAGTTTTAAGATTATTTTGCCAATTTGAGCGATATTCTGATAATTTGGAAGAGCGCCATTTCCTTTCAGATTTCCGAGCTATTTGCTTTAACTGGCGGGTTTGGTGGTTGTACCACGGTGCTAGTTTCCTATGTTTTAATAATTTCCTTTATATAGGAGCGATAGAATCTAATGTTGATCGTAGTGAGTCTGCAGCACTATCGACAAGATTGAAGACAGAACACGAAGGGAGGGCGCCAATGGGCATCGAAAATTACTATTGTTTCTTTTTCTTTTCTCCCTCGAGGATGACTGGCATAGCAGATGGCGCTCTAGGCAACTGCCTATATCGCCTATGCCTAGAGCCGGCCCATATCTGGGATATGGAATATTGTACACATTATACCTGCAGATATATTCCATATCTTTGACATTCAAAACAAAGTAGAGAAGGTCTTTGATAGTTCCTGACTTGAAATAATCATGAACACCCATGCAGGAGTGCACCCATGGTCCCACCAATTCAATTCAATTCAATTCAATTTTATTTATATAGCGCCAATTCATAACAGAAGTTATCTCAGGACACTTTTCAAATAGAGCAGGTCTAGACCGAACTCCTTATAACATTATTTACAGAGACCCAACAGTACCACCATGAGCAAGCACTTGGCAACAAGGGCAAGGAAAAACTGCCTGTTAAAAGGCAGAAACCTAGGACAGATCCTTCGGCTCTAGGTGGGTGGTCGTCTGTCTTGACCAGTTGGGGTGAGAGAGAGAGAGACAGAGAGAGAGAGAGAGAGAGAGACAGACAGACAGGTGCACAGCAAAAACAGTATTCGCAATGGCAATCTAGCAGGACCATGGCAGGAGGCTCCACCAGGATTGACAAGAACCTGTGAGACGAGAAAGCACAAGAACTCCGGGGAAGAAGTGAAGTTAGTAACATGCAATAATGGAACATGAATGAGTGCAGAAAGAGAGAGAGAGGATTAGAGGAGCTCAGTGCATCATGGGAAATCCCCGGCAGTCTAGGCCTATAACGGCATAACTAAGGGATAGTTCAGGACTCACCTGATCCAGCCCTAACTATAAGCTTTATCAAAGAGGAACGTCTTAAGCCTACTCTTGAATGTGGAGAGGGTGTCTGCCTCCCGAACCAAAACTGGAAGCTGGTTCCACAGGAGAGGAGCTTGGTAGCAATTAAGGGTACGACTTCTTTAAGCAGCCTAGTTAGGATGGGGTCTAACAGACAGGATAGGAATCAATCAACACATTCAACCATCTTCAAGACACCGACCCACCGTCTTTCTTGGGTCAGATTAATTGCTTTCGTTCAAGGATTCTTGCAAATTCCTCCACTAGTGGAACTTTTTCACAGATTATCATGTACTATTGTCAGGATGTTGTGAAAATTTCATCAAATATGATGCTGTAAATTATTTATATAAAAATTACCTACTGTAGCTTTAAGTGTTTTTTGTTAATTGTAACTATTTATATAAAAAAATTAGTGACCAAAAATGTGGGGTACATTAATGAAAAAGTTTGAGAACCACTGCACTTATAGTTATACATAGTTAGGAATATTGAATTCCATTTCTGCCTATAGATCCTCCTAAATGTACACACTGGACCTTTTCAGTTGACCCATTTATAGAGCATTACCGCCCTCGTCTGGATGAGGTTTATCTCAAGCCAACATTTAGCTGATTTTCTTTTTTTTAAACAGAAAAAGGGGAAACACGTATGCATTTCTAAACTGTTTTGATGCAAAAGATAGGCACTGAAAATTAAACTACAGACGTGGCGGCAAACATTTTTTTATTTGGAACCCTCAGAGTTTTGTTTTTGAGCAGTACTATACATTTGTAGAGACACTCTTTATTTTGAAAATCTGCGACCGGAAGCCCGGTTCGCGGTACCGTCGGCGGGTCGCATGCAGTTTGACAGTGGTACTCAAAGCGGTTGTCCGGCTCCATTCTCTCCGACAGCCTCAGTAAGCAGCGTTGCATCCTCGGCATGGCATCCGACGAGCTAGCTAGGAAGCTGCAGTCGCGGCTGGTCGCCGCGCAGGAGGCTGAGCCGAGACCGGAGCCTGAACGGAGCCCGGTCCGACCCAAACCGCCACCACAGGAGCCTGAGGAAGCCTGCGGCGACTCGTCCTCTGAGCTGTCTGCCAAACTCACTCGCAGGCTGGACATCAATGAGGGCAACGCTGCCCCGCGACCGACCCGCGTCTTCAACCCCTACACTGAGTTCAAGGAGTTCTCCCGCAAACAGATTAAGGACATGGAAACGATGTTCAAACGGTAAGGCTGGTGCTTTCTTTTGTGTCCATGTACACATGTAGCACAGGTCCGACATGTTTACTTGTAGGCTAGTGGCGGGGATTGGCCGTGAATGAACACGCAGCAGTGGAAGCTTATGATGAGATTAAGCTGCTGCTGCTGCTGCTGACGTGAGCCTCCAGGTGGAAGCGCTGGCTGTCAGTGAGTGACTGATTAAAACTGACTCATCACTGCTCACTGCAGGCCCTCCGCACTATTAGCTGGCATTCTGTCCTCCTTGCAGTACATTCTGTCCATATAGTGTTGTGTCGTGATCAGAGGAGGGACCTGTGAGTGAGCTGTCCTGGTACAGCTGAAGCAGCCAGGGTCGACCCATTAGACTCTGACATGTCACACAGGTGTAGTCTATTTGTTTGTGTTTTTCCAATCAATTGGCAGAAATGGAATATAATATGAATAGGTATGTTTTTATTAATGTATAATTACCTGAAGAATTGTGTTTTTGTTACCTTTTAGAATTAGCTATTTTTATCTACAGAAGGAGTGGGTCCTCTTCTATCCAGTCCATCATGCTGAACCGCCATGTTTCTACTAGGGGTGCAGGAAAAATTGTAATGCGATAATATTTTTTGTGATATTTTATTGATTAACAAAAACACTGTAGTTTTTTGTGATTCAACTAGATAGATAACAGTGTTGTGAATATAAACTGAGAGCATAATGTTGGATATTACAGGGATGGATGTTTGCTCAGGCTGTATGCATACTGTGGACAGTTTTCCTAAATTTAGATTAAAATGAATCTTAATATCTCATCTTAATTAAATGATAATGGATTGAACTTGTATGGTGCCTTTCTAGTCTTCAGACCACTCAAAATGTTTTTACACTACATTCCACATTCATACAGTGATGGCAAACATTTCTAATAAACAGAAACTCACTTACAGTCACACACTGATGCACAGCAGACTTGCTTAAGGACACTTCGACATGCAGCAGCAGGAGCTGGGCATTGAACCGCCAACCTTCTGACTAGTGGACAACCTGCTCTATCTCCTGAGAAAAACGTGAAAGGGCTTATCTAGAGCCAGTGTTTGGTTTGTCCATTCTGGGCTACTGTAGAAACATGGCAGTTCAACATGGCAGACTTTGTAGAAGAGGACCCGCTCCCTCTGTAGACATAAATGGCTCATTCTAAGATAACAAAAACAAAACAATTCTTATTTTCAGGTGATTATACACTAACGAAAACATATCTATGCATATTATATTCCATTTCTGACAATAGATCCTCCTAAATGTTGACCTTTTTGAAAGGTAAAATATTGTATATAATATCAGGTAGCCTGTTTACAAAAAACATCTACATTATGCTAAACAATGAATGACTCTAGAAAAAGAAATAGTTAAACTGTGAAGGTCACAGACATGTCTTCCAGTCACCAAAACGAAATTGATTAAAATGACCAAATATGCTGAAAATAATCTGTTTCCTGGAAAATTTTAATAGTATTTTAGCCCCTCACTCAGATTGCTTACTTACCTAGGTTAGAGAAAGAATGTAGGAAACTGTAGCCAAACCACTAGAGACTCTGCAGAAAAACGTCTAGCTAGTATGGAGTGTCAGGAATGCTGACCACCTATCTGTTACAAACCTGGTTCACTTCATTATTAATCCTGCATCATTAAAAAATGAGGAATAAAACCTCCCACTGTAACTCAGTGGTACAAATACATTTTTAGAATTTTTCCTATGGAAAGACTAAGTGCCAAATTAAAAGGAAATGACAACACTTTTATGGACATATGGCAGCCTCTAATAGATTACCTGCCTAAGGATCTAATTGAAATTATCCAGAGGGGAAACAATGGCTTAGAAGGTGCCAGACTGAGCAGACCGGTGATAAGAAATATTTCTTAATAGGTACACAAGGACACATATTTCTTGTTTTGTTGATAGGTTGTTGTTCCCCCCCTTTTCCCCTTTTTAAAAAAAACTTGTTTTATTCTTTTATTTTCATTTTCTACTTTATTTGAATTTTGCTTATTCATTTTCTCCTCTAGCTCAGACCACTACTTAATGATGTATGCTTACAGTGATGTGAAAACATTAGGACACCCTATGAAAACATATGTGTTTTTTAACATATTTAGACACATGGATATTTAATATGAATTTTAACAATACTGAGAGATTCAAGTTATATAACTAAACAAGTAAAACTGAAGAAAATACTTTTTAAAACTTTCTGTAAAATGTAATAAAATAAATTTCTGGTGAGGAATAAATAAGGACACCCCCACATTTTTTCCCACTTAAAATGGCTGAAATCACACACAGGTGTATCACATCAGGTGCACATGATTAGAACATTGTTACTCAGCATTTTGAAGGAGGCTTGCCCTATTTAAACCTCAGACATTCAGTTTGGTTTGCTCCTGACTGTTGACGTGAGAGTGAACACCATGGTGAGATTGAAAGACCTGTCTGAGGCCTTCAGAAAGAAGATTGTTGCAGCTTATGAGTCTGGTAAGGGATTTAAAAAGATCTCAAAAGAGTTTGAAATCAGCCATTCCACTGTCCGGAAAATAGTGTACAAGTAGAGGACATTCAAAACAACTGCCAACATGCCCAGGTCTGGCCGTCCAAGCGAGTTGCGTCCAAGTGCATGCCTCAACAATCAGACAGAGACTGCACAAGTTTAATTTACACGGGAGGTGTGCAAGGAGGAAACCTTTACTCTCCAAGAGAAACATTAAGGCCAGACTGAAGTTTGCCACAGAGAACGTAGACAAAGAACAGGACTTCTGGAATAATGTTCTTTGGACAGATGAGTCTAAAATTGTATTATTTGGAAACCAGAACAGAGAACATGTTTGGCACCCACCAATTACAGCGTTCCAGGAAAAGAACCTCATACCAACTGTGAAGCATGGAGGTGGAAGTGTCATGGTTTGGGGATGCTTTGCTGCAGCAGGACCTGGCCAGCTCACCATCATAGAATCCATCATGAATTCTACAGTGTATCAGAGGGTGCTTGAGCAACATGTGAGACCATCTGTAAGGAAATTAAAGCTGAAGCAGAACTGGACCCTGCAACATGACCCTAAACATACCAGTAAATCCACCAAGGACTGGCTGAAAACTAAGAAATGGAGAGTCCTGGAATGGCCCAGTCAAAGCCCAGATCTTAATCCCATTGAGATGCTGTGGGGTGACTTGAAACGGGCTGTACATGCAAGAAACCCCTCAAACATCACACATGTTAAAGCATTCTGCATTGAGAAGTGGGGCAAACCTTCCTCAGACCGATCTCAGAGACTGGTAGAGGGTTACAAGAAGCGTCTCACTGAAGTTATTTCAGCCAAAGGGGGTAACACTAGGTATTAGGGGGTAGGGTGTCCTAACTTTTTCCTCAGTTAGAATATGCAGTTATGTTGATGTCTTTTGTTTTAATGAGTAAAACAATGTTATTTTTTGCTGTTTACCTGCAATTAGATCACTTTCTTTTCCAGAAATAAATAAAAACAAGATTAGACATCGATATGTGAACATTTCTTAATGAATAACTGAATATTCAATGGGGTGTCTTTTAATTTTTTCACATGACTGTAAATGCATTGTTATGTAAATTCAGAAAATAAAATAAAATCTGATTATTAAAAAAAAAAGAGGAATAAAATCGGGGTTAGCTGTTTCAATACTGGACCTATCAGTAAATTATAAAACTGTATTGTTAATAAAAACTCCTAGAAAATGTCCTGGAAAATGAAAAGAGTGGGAACCCCGCCTTTAAGTTGTGGCTCGTTTCAAAAGTCTGGCAATTTTACATACATTAGTCAACTAATTAATTAATCAACTTGTGGCTGATTAGCATAGCATTAACCAATATATAGGAATAGTTTGTGCTTTGAATTATTTCGTTTACGTATTTGTGATGAGAAAATAAAGCTGCTTCAAAACACCCTTTCTGAGGGAAAGTTTCAGTGCAGGCAGAGGTCAGGCTCATCTAATAGACCTTTTTCCTTGTCCTTGACCTTGTCATTTTGACATGAAATAGTTATTACAGTTAGTTGACTTATCAGATGTTAGCGACATTAGCTATTATTTTTAAGGTGGAACTGCTTTATTCAGTGTTTTTAGTGGTTTTAATCAGCAGGTCTGTTTGTTTTGGAGAGGAGGAGACCTCTGTGGATAATTGGTAGAAAACCAATTAGAAACCTCCTGAACCATGAACACTGAAGGAATCTTAACTGGAGAAGCTGACTGCAATGACGGCAATGGTGGTGAAGACAACAACTCCCATGATCCCCACGCTGCTTTACCACCTCATCCAGCTTAATCTGATCTGAGCTGATAGCTCCTTTTTGGCTTGTCTTTTGGACGGTCTGATTTTCTCTTTTTCTGGAAAAAAATTGTTATGGAGAATTCTAGAAATATTGTTTGTGTGGTGAAGTAAACCATGTAATCTACACATGACATTGCTGTAATTGTGAAACCATAAATTCTGCTGTAATAGTTGAAAGGGTCTTCAGTTTATTGTAATCATACATGGAATCTTCATCTTAGTCTTGTCAAAATATCCTGTTTTTACTCTAGCATAATGTAGCATATAAGCTTAATGTTTTCCATCTGCTATCTGTACAGGTACATCAACAATTTATTTCACAAAGTAAAAAAGATCTGATTGGCTTGTGTGAGAATTCCTCAGATAGTGCTCATTCAGCAGACTCTGTACTTGAGATTCCTCTGCCCCTCAACTTTCTTGTCCTTTGACGTTTGCCCCATTAGGTTTGGGTTGGTGGTTAGTCAGATGATGGGGACTGCCTTTTCCTGAGCCTGCCCTCATTGGTTGGATTTTCACTAGATTTTCCCCAGATGGAGAGTCTAGAGAGCCTGGGGTTGTAGCAGGCGGCCATGAATAAGCAGTAGGCAGTGTTGTTCCACCCTCCTTTCTAACCTCCAGTCTTGTTTGACAAGTAGAAGGTCCAGTTACCCCTGTCTCAAATCTCTTTAG